TTGGAGCCAAATTTAAATGGATTGATAGGATGTTCTCAAATAACTAAATTAAACATGTATTCCTTTGAGATTCAATGTTCTAGTTACAATGGATTAAAACTTATATCTAAATTTACAATTTAGAACTTTACAATTATTTTATGGGGATTCCCTTTCTTTTGCAAAATTAAAAATATTGTTATTACTGCTAACTTTCATTTCAAATCATGTAATCCTTTAATGCCTGCTGCGGCCTTATTCGCAAATCTGTAAGCCGATCACTTTCAGTCATAAGAAATAAATAGTTTCAGCTAAAAATAAATTTTGATGTTTGAATAGATGACTGTATTATTCAACGAGAAACACACTATTAACTGTATACTCAAGTTCTGTCAGTGCTCTTTAAAGTTACATTCGCATGGAAGTATTTATTGGGTAGTTATTTCCTATAAAAGTATGACAAAATACTGGATTCTCTGAAAAACATCCATGGAGAGCAAACAAGACAAAATTGTAAGGGTAGCCTTAAAAGGCTGTCTTTTTTCTCTGGTGACATAAGGGCGCTTCTTATGTGTTGATCGAATGGCCAACGGTTGTGAGAACATTGAGAGATAACCTTCCGAAAAAGAAGTTGGCAGACGATAATCCATGAATTTACTTAGGCTTTGCTATTTATGGTAGATGGATTATGACTAATGTCATAAACAACCTTCGAGTGGATACTCCCTCAATCAAGACACATGATAAACAAGGCTGATAAAAATAGATTCTCACTGCATGGGGTAGTTTTCTTCGGATTTGAAGCAAAGTGTTGATAGATAGATTAGTTTGAATATGTTTTTAATCCAAATGTATCATTAAATTACACAGTTTGTTCACGGGAAGGCATCTTTAAATAGGATTATTAATATATACATGATAGATAGTGTTAATTCTTTAATAATTCCTCATTGATACCAATAATAAAAACAAGACAGCCTGGAGTCTTTGTGTCTATAACACGTACATGTTTAGTATAATTGTAATTTGTTCTGCAAGTAGAGTAGAAATTGTATAAGAAGACAAATAAACAAATGCTGAAGTGTTAAATTGATTTATTTATGAAGATAATAACTCTGCTTGATGTATATTATCATGTTTTGTTAGTCTAAGATAAAATCATCACAAAGTGCCAAAAGTTACTGCTGAGTTTGAAACAGGTTCATTTATGATATCCTTTCATGTATACACATTAAAAGTTATAAAAAGGTTATTATACATAACTTACATAAAGTGGTGTATGGAATGGGCTCCAACTTCCATACAGTGGTGTATGGAATGGGTCCCAATTTACATACAGTGGTGTGTGGAATTGATCCCAACCTACATACAGTGGTGTATGGAATGTGCCTTATCCTACACACAGAGGTATATGGAATGGGCTTCAACCTATATACAGTGGTGTATGGAATGGAATGGACCCCAACTTACATTAATATACATTGGTGTATGGAATAGACCCCAACCTACATACATTGGTGTATGGAATAGACCCCTGCAACTTACATATACAGTTGGGTATGGATTGAACACCCACCTACATACAGTGGTGTATGGAATGGACCCCAACTTACATATACAGTTGGGTATGGAATGGATCCCAGCTTACATACAGTGGTGTATGGAATGGACCTTGTCCCCCATTTATTACTGCACCTAATAATTGGTTTAATCAGTCAAAAACAAATATGCCGAAGAATATTCAAATGATACCAAGATATTGTTCACAAAATTGTCTGGTCAAGTGAAGTCCATGCAATGTTTTATATGTATTTGTATTTGTTACATACAAAGTAAATTTGTTACTGAAAAATTATCTTGAGGAAATTTGCTTGTAATATTTTGGAACCTGAGTGAGTTTTTGAATTCGATTAGGGCTCCTGTTAACAGGTAGCTAACTTTTGTCCCCTGCCTGCTTGTCTGTCACACTTTTAGGGACACAATAAGTCTGCTTCTTCAGCTAGAATCTTCAAACTTGGTGTTGGATGTTTATTGGGTGAATGTCTTGATACTGAGTATTTTCTGCTTAGGCTACATATTAATAGATAAACAGTTTGGATCCTGGTTGATTGATGCTTTATAAAAAGATAAATGTACGATTAATTAATATGTGTCATCTGTTTATTTTGGGGCATCAGTCTTACTGTTGGCTTATAATGAAATATTTCTAGCAACAAATAAATGTAAATGAACATTATATTCCATATTCTGTTTTCTCACAGCAGATTTATATTAGCCTAAATGTAGATACATGTAGCTAACTTATAATAATGAAAGATCCTATCAGCAAATATTTTAATTGAATATTATATTCCACACACTATTTGTTCACAAAACTGTGGCTTTTGATGGTTTAGATAGCAGCTACATGCTTATATATACCTGATCATTAAGATATCTATCACCAGTAAAATACATGTAAATAATTAATAATAATTAAATATTTTTGGTAACAGTTTTAATTCAGAATCATTTTAGAACAAAGTTTGCAGCTTATTCTATTTTTACAAGTTTTATGTATTTCTCGTGATAATATATCATCATAAACTCAGATTCTATTCATGTTCTGAGTGTAATCTCGGCCACCAAGTGAGCTGAATACTTCATTTAATTTATAATGTAAATTTCTGTGTTTTTAAGATAAAGGCTTATCGCTTATAGTTCAAGACACTATCCTGGGAGTACATTACTTTTAAAGAGGCAGATTGGCTTATCGTTGAGTTGTTAAATGGAACCCGTAGTCATGTAATGATATCCTGTTGAAATTTAGATGTGTTCATATTTTAAAACTAAACATACAGAAAAGTGTAATCTTATCAAGGTTTTTGGCTCACCTTACCAAAGATCTGTTCAGTTCTACAGGTTGAAATCATAGCAATGCTAAGATGAACCACCTTGTTCTGGTTTATGATGTCTGAGATCCTGAGAAATCCTTGAACACTTTAAGGTCCAATGCACCAGAGCTTATACATTATTCGAATAATAAAAGTCGGATATGAATATGTTAATTTCAGAAATGGATCGAAAAGAAATATCCTATTTATTACTTATTTGTTAAATATTAAAAACAAATATCCTATTGATAATTACTTAATGTTAAATTTTAAAGAAAAATATCCCATTGATAATTACTTAATGTTAAATTTTAAAGAAAAATATCCCATTGATAATTACTGATTGTTAAATATTGCCAGTGAGATATCCATTCACTTGATTTGACAGTTTTTTTTTTATTTATTACTGTGTTTGATGTGTCTTGTACTAAGTTTGACTTCTGGATTTATGTTTGTTTAATTCTGGTACCATTCTCCTGACCTTAATGTTAGGTCAGTTTAGACATTTGTTGATGTTAGAACGTGTTATGAGAGTGCAGAACATGCCACACATTAAAAACCTTCTACTGGGTACTCAAAATGACCATGATGGTTATACCGTACCACATTTTGTATTTAAAATTTTTGTGGTTTTGTGTCTATTATTTGTATTATAATACTAACGTCTATACTAAACAACAGAGTATACAGTGTTAAATTCATTTTTACACTGGTCTCTATACTGACCTTTCATTAGTTATTTCCACAAGCCATACCTATGTTTACACTTTCTTCTATAATCATGAAAATATCAAAGAAGTGCCCTCCTTGAAGTTGTAATATTATGCCAAGTTAATGGTATACGAGCCTGTAACTCACAAAGAAAATATATAAAAAAACATGGTATATGAGGCTATATACTATAGCGATACATATAAACCTTAGGTTAAATCTTGGTATACTGATATTAAATGCCATTCTTAAAAGTCTAGGTTATGTGACAGAAAAAATCCCTGTATACCCGTATACCATGGCCTGCAGACATTATAATCCCTTTGATCAGGGCCTATTAGTTATGATTTGGAGGGCATTTCCTGTAAACGTGAGGACTATTTAACAGCACCATATGCCCCATGTAATCTGTTTGTTTATATTGGAAGGCTGAAGACAAAATTCGGCACAACCACCACCTTGCAATCTGGTATATATCTAGAACAGTGGGTCAGGACAGCATAAACATCTTATACTATTACTATACTCTTCAAGATACATACTTGCTATAGTAACACAGTTTTTATACACTAATTGTATAAGGCCTTTATTGATTTTCTTGTTGAGTTAGTTATTAGTAGTGATAGGTGTTGTTCACCAGCAGTGTATGCTTTGTATGTCACGGTTGATTAGTGGAGTAAGCAATGGCTCACTAACCAGGAGGTCCTTGGTTCGATTCCTGTGTTTTCCTAGCAAGTTCCACAGGATTTTCTAGTCTAGTTTCCCACTTTTCATTGTCTGGTAAGGAAAAGGATCTAGTTATTCAGATGGAATCAAAAATCAAAGACAGAGAAGACCGTATAATTCACATATCAAGATTTAGTTTGTTTACATATATTTGATTTACAAAGCACTTATAGGTCCTTCATTGATTTCTAAACTACCAACCATGGTGGTGAATGTCTTGCTTTGGCAGGGTATGTTTGTACTTTGTAGAACACCAAGTAAATAGATCTGAAAGCAACTGTGCATGTCCAGTGCACTGAATAAATCTGTCTGCTAAGTGAACTTGCCACAAGTCAATATTCTACAGATTGAGTACAAGTGGAAGTGATACAAGGTGTTCTAAACACAGCAAGCATGTGTCCCCCATCTCCACGGCATGCACAAATTTCATCAGGGGTCAGGCACTTGTGCCAAATGTGGCAAAACTGGGGGTGTAGTAAACGGGGTCCTGGAATTTGTTTTGATTTCTAGTGCACTTTAAGGTCCATTTTGTTGATAGCATAACTTGTCAAAAAAAAAGCTATCAACAAAATGGACCTTAAAGTGCACTAGAAATCAAAACAAATTCCAGGACCCCATTTACTACACCCCCAGTTTTGCCAATGTATTATAATTACTGTCCGCACTAGTGAAATAAAATTAATCATAACAATCAAACTTATTGTGTTTCAGGTAACAAGTATATACAAACATCCAACTATAGAAAATTTCATCGACATTGTAGTCGTTAAATTAATTTTATTAGAATCTGAGCAGGTAAGTTTTTATAAACAGTATTTTAATATGACATAATTAAAACTACAGTAATATTTTAAACAGTTTGTATAATTTGAATCAAAGTTTTCCACAGTGGTATAACCTGTTTTTCAACAAGATGGGTAGTTCGATCTGCAAGAGTAATCTCTTACTTTAAGATTTTCAAGTCTTTCAGATGTGGCGTGCCCTTTTTACAGGGGCCTTTGGGGATGCTCAAGCCTTCTAACAGCTCTATCTGTTTACACTACTAGTTTTCTAAAGCCAAAGCGTGAATTGAAGCGCTTGCTTTTGTGAGAGAGAGAGAGAGAGAGAAATGGAGTTTAACGTCCACTCGACACAAACTAGGTCATTTCGGGACTAACACATGGTTTAACTTTATTTCAATAATTCGCTTGCGCATAGGGGTCTTTAGCAGTGGGAGGAAACCGGAGGACCCGAAGAAAACCCACGAGGTTGGACAGGCAACCCTACTCCTTGTCACGTACAACCGGGGATTCAAATCCTCGCCAGTCGACTCAATGACAGACTTTATGATACAGCGCGTGCACGCTAACCATTCAGCCATCCAACCCCCCTGCTTGCTTTTGTACTTTGGTACAACGTTCAATATATAGCTGAATATTGAAAGTTGTTTCTGTTGTATATTGTTTTATATTACTATTATTATTGTTTGTATACAGGTAGGTCCGAGAGTAACAGCCAATGCTGCAACAACATTAAAAGAATTCTGTCGCTGGCAGAGTGCTAGTAACGAACCTCTCGATAGTCCAGGACATCATGACACTGCCATTTTACTTACTAGGTGAGTGACTTCTGCAATTTTTTCCATATGACAGGTCTTGGTTACACATTAGAGAATAAATTGTACATTTACTCCAAATTGAGAACTGGTCCCCCAAAAATCGAAATGATAAATAACAGTAGTCCAACCATAGGATACTTACATTTAAAGGGATGTAACTCTCCTCTCAAAGATCAGATAGCAAACCAAAGGACTGATAATTACGCTACAGGTTCAGAATTTTAGCCTGGATTATGCCAAGATTATATCATTTAATAAACTCTTATTATTTATTTTTTAGAAAAAATATTTGCCGGGCAGAAGGGAAATGTGATACATTAGGTAATTATGTCATATAACACATTGGTTTTTTTTATCCACTATTAGTATTTCTAATAACTACCTTCATGGGTTGTTACTCTTGTAAATGCTCTCATTACCTAGATCTTGTGGTGGGTGGAAAGGTACCAGTACAAATCCAATTCCTATTCTTTCCTATGTGTCCTTGGGTTCTCAAGTATATTGGGTTTGAGTAGTAGATTGTCATTAATTTTTTAACAAAATCACTCTGACTTCTAATGGGTTGGAAGTGGTTGTTTAAACCCCTTTTATATTATTAGCCTGGTATACATATTTCATTTTTCAACAAAGAATTTTTTTTTTTTTAAAGCTAAGTTAAAAATATTGCGTATCCATTGTAAGGTTATACTTACTTATCTTATCCATTGTAAGGTTATGCTTACTTATCTTATCCATTGTAAGGTTATGCTTACTTATCTTATCCATTGTAAGGTTATGCTTACTTATCTTATCCATTGTAAGGTTATGTTGACTTATATTATCCATTTTACAATTATTTTTATTATTTTTCAGGCCTGGCTGAACTGGGAACAATCTGTGATCCAGTCCGAAGCTGTTCAATTATAGAAGATAATGGCATCAGTGCCGCTTATACAGTTGCTCATGAGCTCGGACATGTGTAAGTTTTTCACATTTATCATGTGGTGAATCCATATTCCATTTGCTGTTTCTGGATTTCGCCAAATTTTCTGCAGAATTTAGCATTGTATATTATGTATGCCTACCATCTTGCTTGCAAAAATGTATAGGCTATGTTAACTTTGATAAATCCAAAATAGACTACCAAGTCAAACCAATTTGATTCTTTCTTTTTCGACTTCTAAGTTTTTCAGAGAATGTCTATTAAGTCTGTGGATAGACTTTTCTTGCTATTAGTCATTTATACTAGTAGATTATAGTAGAAAACAAAAATTTCCTCAATGAATAAATGAATAATAGAATTCCTGCGAGATATGGCATCTGTCCACAATACAATAGTTAAATTGCTCTTCTGGAATAAAAGATTTCATTATCATGAATAAAATTGACTTCAAAAAGTAATATTCTAGTGAAATACCTAACTACAGTAATGTCATTATGATGGAAATTCTTTCCTCAAAAGACATTGGTCAACATTAGGTTCCCATATGTACATGTATGGTAATTATTTCTCTTAGCAATTCTATTACTGGACAGCAAATAACTTTTGTGTTCCTTGTATATTCATGTGTATTGAGTAGACTTACAAGTGTAGGCAACAAAACCAAACAAAGAAAATATGTTTATTCCATATAGAATTTAGACACTATCTTGTCGTTGTCTATTTTCTGAAAGCATTTTAGTATCTTAATAAGTTTTGAAAAGAGATTGTCGCTAGTATGTCAATTAAATCCGCCTGAAGAATAAGAGTCAATTTTTCCATATTCAAATTTATCTATGACTACTTTTTACTTTTTAATGTGTATTGACTAAAAGTCTATATTTGCCTTTAATTCCGTAATATTATGCCTTTAATTGCTTTCTTCAAAATTTTAAAATAACAGAGGAAAATGTTATAGACATGCTCTTATTTTTTGGGGTCAAATACCAACACAGTAATGCATATCGTTACAACATATACTTGCATTGTTAACAAATAAGTCATGCTAACGTCAAAGTCTAGAAAGAAAAAATTTGACTAGCAGTTGTAAAAAGAACTGTTTTGTCATGTGGTTGTATATTGTTGTCAACCCTGTCAGTATGTTTTGTATCTAGTTATATAGGATGGAAAAACAAAGTCAACCTGTTTACTTGTTGATGTGCATGTAAAACAACTGTTGGTATTTGATGTATAGCATGTAGAAACACTGGTGTCCGTGCATAATTGTCTTCATAGCACATTTCATGGCATATGTCTGTTTTATTAGCCTGGTAGTCAATGCCCACTCTGGGTTCCATTTTTTTCTGCCATTTTTTCATTTGAATTTATTAACCATATATTTTTTCTGCCAAAATTATTTTTACATTTTTATTTTTGATATAAATACATAAAATTTTGATGTTATAATTTACAAAGCTTTTTTAGTACACTACAACCAGCTGTGAATGAATTTGTAAAATTAGCTGATTCACATATAGAACAAAACGTTGTTTTGGTAGCTGCATCATACCTTAATCAAGGACTTGAAAATTTCCATTCTTGTCTAAAAGATCTGCCTTTTCCAAATACACTTAAAATTTACTCTTTTCGAGGTAAGCCTAGACCTATTGTGGAAGTGAAAATCACTTCAACATCCAAGAATATAATATCATCATATGAACGAGAGTATCATCTGAAACTAAATACTCAAGTGCGGCTTATAAAAAAGGTTCTTGCTGTGGTCGACCGTGACCACTTAGCTGTATAACGTTGTGGTGATTATAGTCGACAATGACCGGTTAAGGGTTAAGAAAAAGATCATACAGAAGGTATAAACACAAGCAAAAAGCCACTGATTCGTGTTTGAAAACAAATAAATAAATCTGTTGTCTTTTAATTAATTTATTACTACTCTTACTGTAAATACTTATCAACACTAATCAGAAATTAATTAATACACAAAAGATAGCTCTGTTATATCTAATTGATTGATAACTGACTCAGCCAAGCGTAATAGACTGTAACGAGCTGGAAATCAATCCTTTGTGGCAAAAAAAAATTATCATCATGATTAAAAAGAATCGCCATATAGGAAAACGTTATCGCCAAAAATATTGCCAGGTTGAACATTTTATCGCCAAAATTATATTTTTATCGCAATTGGAGGAAATGACGATCGCCAGCGTGAGCATTGCTGGTAGTGGGAACAGGAAAGTAGGATGTTAAACCCTCTTTCATATGTATTGAATATCCTTTGTACCTGTTTTTCTTGTAGTTAATTGTAAATAAGAAAGAATGATGAATACAGTATTTTACCAATTACCACCAGTTTAACATATTTTGCTAACTTTTGCCAGTAAACATAGTTTATTTATTTAATTTTAGGCATTTTGCTTTTTGCCATTTGAATTACCTGTAATATCTTTGTTGGCACTTAAAATACAGACGTTTTTGAATTCTGAAATTATCTTTCAACTTATTAATATTTTCTCTTTGAATCTGCATTTTTTGTGCGACACTTTCTTGGAAAGAAGTCAACAATGGTGTTAATGGGTTGATGAATGTCGGTTGCATGTAATTATTATCTTCTCGTATGCTTATTTAATGATAGATTGACGTGTAAAAATAGTTGTTCATCTCTGACAAAGCAGAAGAAAGATGCCAGCAATAAATATTTTCTTCAGCTTTTTGGGTATAACATCGCATTATTTCTGTTGCTGTCATTTCCCCAAAAAAATTCATATTGTTGAAATAATATTTCTCTACGCCCATAATTCCACCTCTAAAAAAATGATGTACAACATCTAAGGATTCTAACACTGCAAAAAATTACTGTACCTAAAAGTTATTATTTAGAGGCAATTAGCTAATTCAGCACGATTGTAGTTTTGACTCAGTTTGCTGTTTGGCTCGGTACGTTATTCATAACAAATTTTCTGTACAGTGTAATATAGCCACAAGAGGTAAAAATTAAAAGTCAGTAACCGTGTTAACAGGTAGTCAGAATTGGCCCAGTTTAAGGTCGTCTGGCTCTCATGTAAACCCCTCACAGTAGCAACAGTACAAATGTTGCTGAATAATGTATCAGTCTTGTAGAGGAGTTTTCACGCATTGCCATCCCAACCTTGGCTGATCTCTTGTGGATTCTGTCTGCAGGAAAGGATGGTAATGTGATGGCATCCAAACCTTCCAGATGATGACCCTTGCCTTTTAGAATTAATGCTGTGGTGGTTTTCAGTGTTCAGGTGTGAACCTTGGCATATCTTTAATTTCTTATTTAAAGATGTAGTATGTAAGAGCTAAATCTGCCTATTGCTGGTCGTTATTATTAAGAATTGAAACACAATTAATTTAATTTGAAAATGGATAATCAAGACTTTGTTTATTATTGTAGCCATGAAAATTGAGACTGAAATTTTCAATATATTCCCTTTTCATTATCTACTTTTAAATCTTACATAATGCATCTTTAACAGTATATGATACATTAATTTCTTGTTTAACAGTATATGACACATTAATTTCTTGCATGGCAGAACTTTAAATCGACAAAAGATTGGGGTTAAGATATTTGTAGAATTCTTATTCCGGTCATTGACCAATACTTCATGTAAATAACCTGTTCTTCAACAATTTCAGGAATTGTAGGAATATCGTTGTGAAGATCTGTCTTTGATTAGAACGAACCTCAAGTAGCGTAAACGTAATTACATTGTAATAAATAATAGCCATTTTGCTTGCTACCACCATGATCACTCGACTTTATTATATATCTAGAGTAGTGACGGTGGTGGTATCGTTAATTAACATAAAACTATAAGTAGTTAAGAGTGAAATAAATAGTTTTGAGAAGTGTGTAAGATAATAGTTTACACTGGTGTAAATAGGTAATTAACTTTACTTATCTTTTAACAAGCATGATGAAGGTGAGAAGAAGAATTTGTCTTATGTTAAGATCTGGTATGTGTTTGTCACTACTCAGAATTTCTTGTGATCACTATACTACATTTATCATCTAATTGTTTGGAAATTGATATATGTTCACTGAGATGAAGAAGCCTATTTAATTTCAATAATTTCCATTAATTGTCCCCCGCCTTTCGAAGAAAGCAGGGGACTATTAAAATGGGTTCGTCCGTCTGTCTGTCCGTCTGTCTGTCTGTCTGTCCGTCACACTTTTTGGGACACAATAACTCTCTTCCTAATTGAGCTAGAATGTTCAAACTTGGTGTATGTGTTTATTAGGTCAATGCCTTGATGGAGTTCGAAGATGAGCATTTTCCGCTTAGGGTAAGCAGAGATAAGCAATTTGATTGGTTGATGCTTTGGGACACGATAACTCTCTTCCTAATTGGGACTTGGTGTATGTGTTGATTAGGTCAATGCCTTGATGGAGTTCGAAGATGAGCATTTTCCGCTTAGGGTAAGCAGAGATAAGCAATTTGATTGGTTGATGCTTTGGGACACGATAACTTTTAATTGAGCTAGAATGTTCAAACTTGGTGTATGTGTTTATTAGGTCAATGCCTTGATGGAGTTCGAAGATGAGCATTTTCCACTTAGGGTAAGCAGAGATAAGCAATTTGATTGGTTGATACTTTGGGGCACGATAACTCTCTTCCTAATTGAGCTAGAATGTTCAAACTTGGTGTATGTGTTGATTAGGTCAATGCCTTGATGGAGTTCGAAGATGAGCATTTTCCGCTTAGGGTAAGCAGAGATAAGCAATTTGATTGGTTGATGCTTTGGGACACGATAACTTTAGTTCTAATTAAGTGAGATTGATGAAACTTGGTGTATAGTTTCATTACAGTAATACCTTGACTAAGTTTGATAATGAGCATTTTCTGCTCAGGGTAAGCAGAGCGATACGCAATTTGATTGGTCGAGACTTTGTTTTACTTTATTGAACCATGTGAACGCCAAAAGTTATCATCTGATCTTTCTGAATTTTATATGCATTATTGTCCCCCACCTTTCGAAGAAAGCAGGGGACTATTGAAATGGGTTCGTCTGTCTGTCCGTCTGTCCGTCCGTCCGTCACACTTTTTGGGACACAATAACTCTCCTTCTAATTGACCTAGAATCCTAGAATGTTCAAACTTGGTGTAGGTGTTTATTAGGTCAATGCCTTGATGGAGTTCGAAGATGAGCATTTTCTGCTTAGGGTAAGCAGAGATAAGCAATTTGATTGGTTGATGCTTTGGGACACGATAACTTTAGTTCTAATTAAGTGAGAGAGATGAAACTTGGTGTATAGTTTCATTACATCAATACCTTGACTTAAGTTCAATAATGAGCATTTTCTGCTCAGGGTAAGCAGAGCAATAAGCAATTTGATTGGTTGAGACTTTGGAACACAATAACTCTCCTTCTAATTGAGCTAAAATGTTCAAACTTGGTGTAGGTGTTTATTAGGTCAATGCCTTGATGGAATGTGAAGATGGGCATTTTCTGCTTAGGGTAAGCAGAGATAAGCAATTTGATTGGTTGATGCTTTGGGCACACGATAACTTTAGTTCCATTTAAGTGAGAGTGATGAAACTTGGTGTATAGTTTCATTACATCAATACCTTGACTAAGTTCGATATTGAGCGTTTTCTGCTAAGGGTAAGCAGAGCGATAAGCAATTTGATTGGCCGAGACTTTGGAACACAATAACTCTCCTTCTAATTGAGCTAGAATGTTCAAACTTGGTGTAGGTGTTTATGAGGTCAGTGCCTCTATAGAGTGCGAAGATGAGCATTTTCTGCTTATGTTAAGTAGAGATAAGCAATTTGATTGGTTGATTCTTTGGGACACGATAACTTTAGTTCTAATTAAGTGAGAGTGATGAAACTTGGTGTATAGTTTCATTACATCAATACCTTGACTAAGTTCGATGATGAGAATTGTCTGCTTAGGCTAAGGAGCAATAAGCATTTTGATTGGTCAAGACCTTGGAACATAATAACTCTGCTTCTAATTGAGGTAGACTGTTTAAACTTGATGTAGATGTTCGTCTTGACTTGAGTTCAATGATTAACATATCGAGCTAAAGCTAAGCAGAGATAAGCAATTTCTTTGGTCGATGCTTTGGGACAAGATAACTTTGATTCTATCTGATAGAGAGTGATGAAACTTAGTGTACAGTTGAAAATCAGTTTGATTGCTCGATACTTTTGAAAAAAATAGATGTGCGATTAATTAATATGTGTCATCTATTTATTTGGGGATTTCGGCGGGGGACATCAGCCTCACTGTTGGCTTGTTTCTTCTTGAGTTATGGTCCTTGTTTGTTGAACCTTGTGAATGCTCTAATGACATAAGTTATCATCAGATCTGTATGAAATTTATATGAATCATTTAGATTAGTGAAACGAAGAATCCTATTGAATTTCAGCAAATATCCGTTAATTATGTCTAGTATTATGGCCCTTGTTTCACTTTTTTGAATTTTGTGAACACTCTAATGACAAAAGTTATCATCTGATCAGTATGAAATTGATATCCATCATTTAGATTAGTGAAACAAAGAATCCTATTGAATTTCCGTTAATTTCTTCTACAGCTATAGCCCTTGTTTCACTTTGTTGAACCTTTCAAACACTTGAATGATGAACATAGGCGTACGAGCCAGGGGGGGCAGCTGCCCCCCTAACTTTCGGGCAAGCTGAATTTCCGGGCAGACGGGTAAAGTGAAAACAAAAATTTATTTCATCTACTTGGCAAAATTAAGTGCCCGAAATCTAATAAAACACTCATTTTACGGGCTGGAATAGCAGGAAAACGCGTTTGCTGCTGTCAAATATTCCAAAATTTTCTTGCGGGGTCCATACAAGGTCAGTTCCGATTTTTCGCCTCTCGAAGAAAACCGGCGCCGCTGTCAGTAAACCCGAAATTTTTTCGGGCATTTCTAGTTTTGCTTCCCTTACTGTTATCGAGCCCTAATATAACACTAATTTTACTTTTCTTTTAATTGAATGCCATTGGATACTTTTGGAGTTTACACGTGCTAGAATAGCAGAAAACGCATTTGCGGTGGTTAAATTTTCAAAATTTTCTCCAGGACGATATACCCCCGTACCCAGCGACGATTGATTGGTTGTTTGGAATTTGGGTCAGCCAGCTATATTGGACCAAATTGAAGTTGCTGTATTCACAGGCTGGAATAGCAGGAAAACGCGTTTGTGGCAGTTAAATTTTCAAAATTTTCTCCCAACGGTCCCGTCTTCGTGGACTGTAAACGATAGATTGGAATTCGAGTCAGCCACCTGAAGGGGGGGGGGGGGGCAAGGTAAGCTCCGCTCTCTTCGCCTCTCAAGGAAGACCGGCGCTCTCTGTAAACCCGAAATTTTCTGGCATATTGCGTTCTGCCCCCCTAGCTGTCATCGGGCCCGTACGCCTATGATGATGAAAGTTATCATCTGATCTGTATGAAAATTATACGCATCATTTAAATTAGTGAAACAAAGAATCCTATTGAATTTCAGCAATTTCTGTTAATTTCTTCTTGAGTTGTGAACGCTCCAATGACAAAAGTTATCATCTGATCTGCATGAAATTTATATGAATCATTTAGATTAGTGAAACGAAGAATCCTATTGAATTTCAGCAATTTTCGTTAATTTCTTCAGGAGTTGTGAAGGCTCCAGCAACAAAAGTTATCATCCAGTCTGTAAGAAATTGATAAGCATCATGTAAATTAGTAAATTTCCAATAGTTACTTCTACAGATTGTACAATATATATAGACCCTCAAGTTTACTAAATGTCATTGTGCTTGATAACGATAAGAGAATACTTATCGAAACGTCATGATAGTGTATAATAAACCAGTGATTGTTGTCCCATACAACTGTGTTAGTTTTGTTTTTTTTTGCAAATGTTTATATTTGTATATTTTCAGATTTAATCTACCTCATGATGACGACATACAATGTAAAGGTTTCAAAAGACGTCGACTTGGCAGGAAATATCATGTGATGGCACCAACTTTAGATTTCAACTCTAGTCCCTGGGATTGGTCGTATTGCAGCGCCAAACTATTAACAGAATACATTGAGTAGGTCTATTAATTTTTCTTCATAAATAGATTTCATTATACTGCTGTCTTTTGAACAATGTTTATTTTTCACTATGATTAAGCCTATAATTAGAAGATGGACTAATTGGCTAGTTAACAACATCCAATGAAATGAATAATGCCCTGTATTAAGTAACACATTAGAACAAATTAGAAAAATTAAATAATCAACAAATGGGAAAACAAAGAGCTGCTGAGATCTCTCACCATAGTCGCAGTTCAATATTCTTTCTGGATGGATGTCTTTGAATAAAACTTTTTAGCCCTCCGTTCCTGTCTAGCTAGCTGTAATTGGTTTCTAGTAGAATAGTGCAAGGTGAAATCAACGTAGCACAAAAATTATGCTTTTATAGATTATGTGATAATCATCCAATATGTGATTTGTAAAATTATCATGAACTTTTGAAAAATGATGGTTTGTATGCTATGGTAACTTGAAATTTTCTATGACCAATAAAGATATTTCTTTTCCCCTCTTGTGCAGTGCAGGTCTTGCGGAATGTCTTTTAGATCGACCCAAAGTTCGTAAATATGTTGAGATGGTAGATGACAGTCACTTGAAGGCACCTGGTCAACTGTATACCGTGGAACGTCAGTGTGAGCTAGTGTTTGGCCAGGAATATACCATCTGCCCTTGGTACATGACAATGGTAGGTATCATAATCATTTTATTGCAAATAAATTTCATGATTATTTGTTTTTTTGTAAAATATAATTCAAGTCAGGGAAGAAGACATTTTTTTGAAACAGTTTCAATCATTAATTACATTAGATAGAAGTTTTGCACAATTTTTTTTTCATCAGTCTACCGAGTTCAATCAAGCAAAATAATAAGACAATAAAATGCTTAACAATCAAAATTGTTTTCAATGACAGATTAATCCTAAGAATAACTTATCTTAACTAATGGTATGAAGCTACTTGATGATCAAGTTTTTCAAACCTCTCTTATTTGAGTGAACAGCCTTGAATTTATTTTGGTAAATATACCCAGCTAAAAACGTACTTGATTAAAGGGGTATGTTTTAATATTTACAGGGAAGTTGTGAACGTCTGTGGTGTACCAATAAAACTGATTCTTCTTCTGGATGTAGAACACAACACATGCCCTGGGCAGATGGTACAACTTGTGGCAGACGCATGGTAATTCTGGAAATTTATCAATGACATGAATTCATGTTTCAATATTTGCTTTTTTAAAAAAAATAAATAAACAAGAAAAAAAATCAAGTCTTAATTTAGATATGTCAAGTCCTCAGTCAGAAATGGTATGAGATGGTCTAAACAAAAGTACTTATACCCTGCTTCCTGCACAACACCCATGACTATTTTATTTTTAACTGGAACAACGGTTTAGACCCTTTATTTCACATATATTATTTGTATATTTTGCAGTGGTGTAAATCTGGAAAGTGTGTAAATATGACACAACACAATGGACCGCCGATTGATGGAGAGTGGGGAGATTGGGAAAAGTATGGGCCATGCTCTAGAACATGTGGTGGCGGTGTCAAAGATAAAATCAGACATTGCAATAATCCAGAGTAAGTGGAAATAAATATATTTTTCATTTTATATCAAAAGATTGATTTCATTTTCTGGAATTTAATTACTGAAATAACCCATTTACATTCTTTATAGAATTTGTTGATTTTCTTTATTTTCAGACCTTCCAATTTAGGGAAATATTGTCTTGGGAAACGAAAAAAATATAAATCCTGCAATACCAAAGTAAGATAACCACTTTTTTTCTATCTCAAATATATATAATTGTCCAAACTTTTTGTTACTATGGACATTTTACTTTTGACGAAAAAATATTTGTGTAAAACATATGGCATTAAATGAAAAAAGAGTATTGCGGTATATTTAGATCTAGTAATATTCATAAACACTCATCTCTAACTGAAAATGTTTGTCTCTTGAAAATGCCTGTCTTCATTAGCTCGGATCAAACAGAAAAGTAGGACATTAAACCAGATTAATTTCATGATTTTGATAAAGATGCGTGATGTATCAATGTTACCTTGCTTTATCTTACCAATGTAAATTAATGTATAATCTGTTTTCAGCCATGTCCACCATCAAAAACTGATTTTCGTGAAGATCAATGTAATAATGCCAGTAAGAAAATCCACATTAATGGTTTACCTGCCAATGCAAAATGGGTGCCAAAATATTCTGGAGGTCAGTATTTGATGGATGACTTTATTTATTGAGAAACTGTCTGATAACCTTGCAAATTGTTGAAAGGATTAAAATCTTAGATATATTTTACCCTTTGTTATTACAATACACTTTTCTGCAGAGCTTGTCATGTGGATTTTACATTGCCAGGAATCCTTTACTGTGGGCCCTGATTCAATTATACCTATTGCACCATGGTAAATCCTGCACTGGAAAAAAGACTGTGGTTTATTTTGCAGAAGAGGGTAATACGGGGCTTTTAAAGTCATATCATTTTCCATATATTCAGTGCCAATCTAAGTTATCATATTAATACAAATGTTTTTTATTGTATCATCTCATATTATTATTTTGGGTTTATTACAGTACAAATGAAGGATGCATGTAAATTATTCTGTCGAACTGATCAAGGTAGTGCCTATTATCAACTAGCTGATAAAGTTATAGACGGAACTAAATGTCAAGCTAATGAAGATGATATCTGTGTAAATGGAAAATGTCGAGTAAGTTTATTATATTATTTAACGGTTTCTACAAATTACATATTATTATTATTACATAATCTTAATATTGTATAGACTCGTTTTACTTGAATTGTTAATTATTAAGTTGATAAAACTGTCAAGAATGGATGCCCATAAAAAAATATATTATTTAGATTGTCGACCAAAAAGGGATATTGTTGTGGGTGTTGAAGTTGTTTCTTTCGTTTGCTCTGTTTGTATAGATTAATTGTCCATAAGTTTAAATGCAATTTACGATTCCTTTGACTAGCTTACTAATCCATGCTATTAATTAGAAATAACTGGTTTATTTCTGTGTTATATATTTTCACAACCATAAACATATCTGAGCTTTGTAATATTTATGAAAGGAGAAAAACCTGAAATAATGTAGTGGGATAATATTTCCTTGATATACAGAACTTATATTAAAACTAGAACTGCGATGCAGTAATGACGGGTTTCACCGGTGCCACATTACCCTTGAACTTATGTCACTTCCGGTGCCAGTTACCCAGCAATATTAATTTCATTTATACATTTGTTACCATGTGTTACATATGTCAAAAAAGTGACCCTTACAAAATTTGTTACTAACTTACTGCTAAGTTAGCTGACTTTTTAATGGGAAATTTCTCAACAAGGGAAGACGCTAGGAGCAATTTTTGGACATCTATATGATCGTATTGATCCAATCTATATGTCCATTGGAATCAAATATCATTATGTTAAACGAATGATAAATATAACTCACTTCAAAACAATTTGAAGGCTAATAATACAGTTTTTGCCAAAATTACATTACTTCCGGTGATAATAAAATTTGTACATTAATGCTATGAAAATATAAACGGCATAAGGCCTCACATGGTGAAAATTTTATGATAATCGAATAATAATTGACACTTTTATAGACCAAAACCTATATCTCTGCAACCAAACAAATTAGAAACCATTTTGTGATATCCGTATGGTCGTATGGGTTTTGCCCAAATGTCGTCATTTTCAGTGACAGTGAAAATGTTAAATTGGATTGACCTAGTCAAAGGTGGCATGAGGCATCACATGGTAACAAAAATTGAAAATCGAACGATAATTGACTCTTTTACATGCAAAATAACGTGAAAAGTGACGAATGCAAAATTGCCTATTTCTTTGCAACTGCGCATATTACAATCTAATTTTGACATACATTGTCCTCGTATGGATTAATGCTACAAAATTATGAAAGTTGCGTAGAAATAATTTGAAATATGAAGACGATGAATGGGTTGTAAATAGCTGATTTTTACTCCTTTTTTCATGCTTAAATCCAAATGGCGCAAATACAAAACTGATATAATAAAAACCCAAAAAACTAAGCCTGACATATTTTGTGCCTGTAGTAGGAGGATTCATCTTCATTGATAAGATTTGTAGAAATCAAGATTTTTCCTTAGGAAAAGACCTCCCGACCCGTCAAAATTTAAATTTTAGGCAAAATTACGTCACTTCCGGTGCCGACAGAAAACTTTATAGGTAGAAACAAGTTGAGAATTTGCACCAAGGAGTATGAGCTTTTGTTTTATACAAATCAGGCAATATATAATTAATTTAGAACCCATAAACTGTAATAATAAAAATACGAAAAGTCTTAAAAAGTGATCCTGACGAAATTGGTTATTTATTTGCAAAAGAAGATGTTAGAAGCTATTTTTTGACATATTTATGATCGTATTAATCCAATCTATATTTCCATTGAAATGAAATATCATAATGGTAAACGAATACTAAATATAACTCACTTCAAAAAAATATTTGTTTTGAAGGCTAAAAATACAGTTTTTGCTAAAATGACATTACTTCCGGTGAGAATGAAAATGTTAAATTAGTTTTATGAAATCAGAAATGGCATAAGGCATCACATGGTGAAAATTTTATGAAAATCAAATAATATTTGACACTGTTATAGACCAAAAACCTTGAAACGTGACTAGTAGAAAATCATCTATTTCTCTGAAACCTTACAAGTTAAAACCCATTTTGTGGTATCTATATGGTCGTATGGGTTCATTCTATTTGTTGATTGAAATTAAATATCATACTTTTAAACAAATAACATATACGACTCATTTGAAAAAAATATCGGTTTTGAAGGATAAAATTCAGTTTTTGCCCAAATGACCTCACTTCTGGTGACAGTAAATGTGTTAAAATGATTTAATCTAGTCAAATGTGGCATTTGGCATCAAATGGTGAAAGAAAATTGTACAGGTAAAATAGCACGAAATGTGACTCATGCAAAATTGCCTATTTCTCGACAACTGCTGATATTACAAACTAATTTTGACATATATTCTCTTTGTATGGGTTATTGCTACGAGGTTATGAAAGTTACGATGAAATATTTTGAAATATGAAGATGGTGGATGGGTTGTAAATAGCTTAATTTTACACCTTTTTTCACCTTTTAATTGAAATAGCCGGAAAACGAAATCGAAATTTAAAAAACTGAGTCCGATGATTTGTGCACCTTTGCATGGCGTATATTTTTGGTAATATGAAATTTTGAAAAAATAATATTTGCTTTCAAAAAGTTGTACCGAACTGTCAAAATCTGTCAAAATTGTAGTTTTTGCTGATTTTACTTCACTTCCGGTGCCGACACGAATCTTTACCGATAACAAAAAAATGACATTTTGGACCACGCAGCATATGAACTTTCTTTTGTACAAATCGAATAATAAATAATTAATCTAGGACTGAAAAACTGAATTAGCCAATGGCGTCCAGGGAAATTTACGGACACAAAAAATGTTGACATTTTTAGTCAAATTGGATAACTCTTCAACCCTGGTTAAAATGCCATATAAAAATATTCATAAATAAAAAAGTTTTTTTGTAAAATTTTAAATTTTCGAAATTTGGCGCTTAATATCTACGAAGATTCGTCGACAATCAAAAATCAAAAGTAGCACAGCTATGTGCCTGGTCTCCGGCTATGTCAAAATGCATCATATGTTAAAATTCGATGATTATTGTTAATACTACGGCATTTTTTAAAAAAAACGACAACTTCGGTGATTTCGGACATTTCGCATTGTCACAGAATGCCCAAAATAGCTTTAATCTCTAAGTCACACCCACTTTCCTAATAAAACCGAAGAAATCGTATCGATCCGACATGTAGTTTCTGAGATACAATCAAATTGGAAAAAAAAAAATAATAATAAGAATAAGAATAATCTTAACAGAAACAATAGTGTTTCACACAAGCTACGCAGTGTGAAACCCTAATAACATGTATTAGAATGTTGGATTTAGTTATAACATTTAAGGTAATCCCATGATAATACTCAACCATTTTCTGTCTTGTTCTTTTAATTTTGTAAGTCTCTATTAAAAGAGAGTGAACATTCTCAACCAAGAATTTATCTTTGTATTTTTAGGCTTCAGGATGTGATAATCGTTTAGGTTCTCGTATGAAAAGAGATAATTGTGGCGTTTGTGGGGGTGATAATTCTTCATGTAAAACCATTAGAGGAACTTTTAACAATGCTATCTATGGTAAGTATTTTATTGACTTGGTCAAACATTTGAAATGAGTTTTCAACATCTTACTTTACTGCACATTTTTTTGTACGACTGGACGCTGTCCCTTGCTGGGCCCTTCGTCCTGCACCACAGACAAGGGGAACCACTCCAGAAATTTCTCTGCCATCCCTGGAATCGAATATTTTTTGATAATTTTGAATAATTATTGCTCAAGCATATTTTTTTCCAGGTTATAATCGTGTTATTACAATACCTAGTGGAGCAACAGATATTGATATTAGACAGATTGGTTATCAGAATTCTAAAGATGATGACAACTATCTTTGTAAGTATTAGTGTTTTTATCATGTCAGTAATTCTGAGACTTCCAAGGAAATACTTTCAACATAATTTTAATCTCATTCCCCCTGTGCAAAGGACTATCTAAAAGAAATTTAATGGTTGTTGATATCCATCATTAAAAGCCATTTCTGTAAAAATATCTTAGAAAAATTGGTTTGAAAAATATGATTAGCATACCATTATAGAAAAAAAATAATGCATTTAAGAATTTGTCTTTCATTTTAAAAATAAAATTTTTCATTTAGTTTCTGCCAATCATTTTAAAAATAAAATGATCCCATTAGAGTTTGCCTATCATTTTAAAAATAAAATAACCCACTAGAGATCTTTTAAAACGTAATTAAAAACTATTTCTATTACAGCTATAAGTTCGGCTGGTGGTGATTATATTCTGAATGGAGGCTTTGTGGTTAGAACAGAAAAGTTTAGTATCAAGGTTCAAAATGGTGTACTTGAATACAGTGGATCAAGTGCTCATGTTGAACGTATCAACTCTACTAGAATGATTGGTGAAGTTATCACTGTTTTTGTAAGTTTGTAGTTTTTAAACTTATATTGAGTGATTCTGTACATTGATATTCTTTTGTTCTTAGGGGTTTCTCGATTGTTATTCTAAATTGACAGAATTGCTATCAAGTGACACATTATTGAGTTTTGTCACAGTTTTGCTAATCCTGAAAACACAGGTACTGTGGTTAGTATATAATATTAACCGGACTGAGTGTGTGTTTCTTTTGGAGTGAATCAGGATTAAATTTGAACAATGTGGAATATGCAATGATTATTTAGTCAGTTAGATTTAGATATAGGTGTGTAATTGATTAAATAGCAGTACATGATAATCTGGTGTTCCATAGCCTCATATCCAAATCCAGATTGCACCAAGACAAACAGTTACTTCTGTGACTTCATATCTAATATTTGAGGACAATAAAATCAAGTAATAGTGCAGCCTCTTATCTAGAGTTATCCCCCTTGACACACTATTTTCACAGAAAATATTTTCTTAAGCTGCATCAGGCAATATTTTTGTGAACAATGTAAGATTGCATACACATATTCAGATACAGAAGTACAACAATAATGTTTAGCAATCTGAACTTCTTGAATAACTAAATAAAAGTCTAAAAAACCTGTTACATATGGCAAATCTCTCATTTCCTATTTCAGTCATCCAGCTACATTTGGTAACAGGATCCATTTTGGGTGTTTTTAAATTTATAAATAATTATGATTTCAGGTTCTGTCTGTTGGTAAACTTTACCCCCCAAATATAACCTACACATACAAGATCTCGGTAGGCCCTAATGTCCAGTATAAATGGAGTAATGGTGGTCAATGGAGGAAATGTAGTCGTATTTGTCGAGGTTTGTTGTATGATGTTCTTTGTTTATTTCAATCTGGCACAAGAAGGGGCTAAATGCTCTTCTCTTTCATGGTGAACCTATGAGCACCTGTTACTTAAAGCGTATTGCATTAATTCAATAATAAATGGTAGGTCTGTACCAGTTTTAAAAGTTAATATGTTCAGTTTAAATCTTAAGACAGATCCCAGAAGTATAGATGTAACGGAACTCTGTAGAGATTACATAAGAATTATTTTTTGTTAAATCAGGAACTCGTAAGAGAAAGATAGTATGTATTAGAGAAGATGATGGATTAAATGTATCCAAGAAAAGATGTCGTGGTAAACCTAGACCAGAACGTATTATAGAAAGATGTAATACTAATTGTCAAGTCGAGTAAGTACAATTTATGTTACCATATTCAACCTAATAAGAACATGTGCAGTCTTTTAAACATATATATAAACACTTGAATGTATTTCTCTTAGTTTTTATAAGACTAACATGGAGATGTAAATGTACAAGTGCAGTTGTACATGTCTATCCATCAGACATAATTTCTTGTGAATGTACTACAGACTATGTTTAATTTCTGATCTTTTTTTAAAAATTAAACAAGTTTTTAGTGGGATGAAGAAATCTATGTAATTTTAGCAAATTCTGTTAATTCCTTCTAGAGTGAAGGCCCTTGCTGACTTGTGATGAATTAATCTATATAGTTTAAAAAGAATTGTGATAATTTTTCCTACATTTCGCAATATCCATCCGATTAACAACTAATGACACAGGAGTGATATGTCCACATAGTATTTAAGATAAATAATCCATTTGTTATTTACAGGTGGCGAGTAGCGTATCAGGAGGAATGTCCAGTTAGATGTGGAACAGCTCTCAGACGACAATTTGTCAACTGTGTCAAACAAACCTCATCTGAAGTTACAGATATTGATGATCGACATTGTCGTCACCTTGGTGCCAAACCCAATGCTTATGTTGAATGTCATGGTGAATGTTTACCAACATCTTGGTCATATACTTTATGGTCTCCTGTAAGTAAAAATATATTAAGACTTACAATATTTATTTATCATAACAATATAATTTATCAATACATGCTGTTTACAAGATTTTATGTTCTTCATGTTTAGTTGACAATTCACATATAAGTAATGTCTACTAGAATGAAAATAGAATTATAATATTGATAATAATAATAATAATAATAATCGTTTTCTATAGCGCTGAACATTCAATCAGTCTGACTGCTCTGTGGTGCTTTTACAATGTAGATATGATTATAAAAAACATACATGTATATACAAATAAACAAAAGAATACAAAGGAATAGTCAAGTTACAATATACAAATGGAAAGTGAAGCATTATAATTATAGTTCAAATGTTTGGGTAAAAAACAGCCAAGTTTGGACTATTTTGGACTTCCAGAGGCAATTTGTTTCATTCTTTTGGTGCTGCGTACGCAAAAGCTCTCTCACCAAATTTTGACTTCTGTACTGGACATACAAGTTGGTTTTTATGCGCTGAACGTAAGGAATGAGAAGGTACATATTGTTTAGTGGTAATGGTTAGTAAATGGAATAAATATTACATGTTTATTACACTGTCATAACTCGATCTTGCAACTGAGTGAATACGATCATCCCCGACACAGCCAAACTGAGTGTAGTGCTTATCCCATCACATGATATATTATGATTGTTTTACATGACTAGGCAGTCCAAAGAAAATGGACTCAACTATATCCTGAAAAGTAGCTCATTAGCAATTGCTAAAAAAATTAATTTCCAGTCAGTTGTATAAAGACTGAGTAGACCTACCTGTTTCTAGCAACTACTGGTTGCCGTGAGTTGCCTCCGTTCAAATTTCTTGTAACTACCGTAGTTGTACCCAGTCACAAGCTCTGGCCTATGCTAGACTTTATGCAGGTTAGTAAATGAACAAGCTAAATGATCATTCATCTATTTCAGTGTTCTGTTAGTTGTGGTGTAGGTAAACAATATCGTCAAGCCAAATGTGTTGATGAAGCTGGTAAAGATCTACCTGAGAATGAATGTCATATCAAAGATAAAAAAATTATTCAAGTCTGTTTTAATCCTGAATGTGCTAGCTGGCAAACTGACCTTTATACTGGGGTAAGTCTTATATGTACCATATTCATATTCAGATAGGATATAGCTTTAACCGACGGCATATTCACCAGTCCTATCCAAATATCAATTAAAAATCTGTTCATTTACATCTGAAAAATATCGATAATATTAATTAAGGACACACACATTAAAATTAAAACACTATCAGTTTGAAATGAGAAAAATAACACCCATGGTTCATTGGCTATTGATAATCTATATTTATTACAATCCTAAAACTTAAATTAGTCAGAAAATACAATATTTGTTATGAATCAGAAAAATCAAATTTTAGATTGAAGGTAAGTAAGCGAACATTCAACCACTAGATTGGACAAGATGGCAGTAGATGTTCTGGAGTGAGGGTTACATTAAAATTTGCAATATGAATAGAAAAAACTTACCCACACAATACTTGTGTTTAGGGAATCAGATATGTTTTCACAGGTAATTTGGATATGACCTGTAATTGATGGCTGTGTAATTAAAATGTCAGATGTTGAAGGATGATGTCTTTAAAAACAAGATCCTAAAATGAGACAAAGCGAAAAAAATATCTGAATTTTAGTCCAACTTGTAAAATGAACAAAAAAAGTAACTTTTAGACAAACTTTTGAAATGTTATTAATGTTATTATTCATATAGAAAGTAATTAATTATTTGTAGTGTACTGTCACTTGTGGAAGTGGTAAACGACATCGTAAAGTATGGTGTAGTAAAAGTGGGGAGGTGGTTAATGAGAGATTATGTGATCGTATGAAGAAACCAACACCAACTAAAGAATGTTATATGGGTGAATGCCCAGAATGGTTTATAGGCGGATGGGGAATAGTAAATATTATTTTCGTATTATTTTAAGTGTATATTTCAGATACAACATTTTGTTGGAATTTCGAGAAATTAAAAAAAAAAACAGATGCAAGATTCTATTTCCATGACCACATGATTTGTGCAGGCTGTTTTTAGCTAATCACAGTACCCATGTATCTTTTGCTCCAAACAGAAATGTAAACTACTGAAAAAGAATTGTTTTGAAGATTCATTATTTTTAAATCTTCACAATTGGTATGACTTAAAATCAAGGCATTTTAAAACAGTCCAATTGACGATCACAATGAATATTTTATCCCTGATTTATGTATTTCACATGATGATGTCATATGTTGTTATGGACAATTTGTGCATAAACTTTGAAGTTATCATAGTCATTGTGGTTGTAATTGTGACGTCTGATGGACAATTTTCTGTGGTGTTGTCTTTTTGACATTTTATCTCCCCTAATTGTCAAATTACAAATGTATAAAGTATAATTTTTGTTTCAGTGTTCTGTAACATGTGGTAAAGGGCACGAAGAACGAGCTGTTAAATGTCGTCTTCAGGATGTATTACAAGAAGACAGTATTTGTGATGCCAGTAAACGACCTGTGGATCAACAACCATGTTATCGTGATAGCTGTCAAACAACTCCATCTTTATCAGATGTTGAAACAACATCATCTTATCCTGATCAAGCTTACTGGAGATTTGGTAGTTGGACAGAGGTACAATAAAACTAGATCTTCTCTAAAAGATTATAGTAACCCTAATTATAGAAACTTGAAATATGATATTTTTAAAGATGCAACCTTTTTATTAGCTTACAGCTGAAATTTTATACTTGGATTTAAACTCTATGCAACTTTAGAATATTTTAGTCTATGGTAAAAAAAAGCTCCAGGTTTATCATAAATCAAGATGATTAAGATGATTTAATTAATACAAGTGAGTTCTTGTTTGGATTTGAAAAATGATCCTGGCTCCAGGAATTACAGGATTTAATCAATGATTGTCTATTTCAGTGTTCATCAAGTTGTGGAACTGGATCACGAGATAGATATGTTAGTTGTATGGATTATCACAATAGAAAGATAGATAATGAGAGATGTAGCCATTTACCCAGACCAGCCAGTAGAGAAAAATGTTTCTTGACTCCTTGTGGTCACTGGAGTTTTGGAGATTGGACTGATGTAAGTAGTGGCTGATTTTCTTCTTTTCACCAACAGTTTTGTCTGGGATCTTTTCTTGGAAGCCATGTCACAGGTTTTAGTGTGAAATGTATAAAGAAGTAATAAAAATATGTTCCTATTCCACTCACAAACTCCATTATTATGCACCCCACATGGAATTTCAGCTAGTTCTAAGAAGTAAGCCTATTGAAATTCAGAGTCGCATGATAATTTTCCTGTACTGGTCACTATAAAGCCTTGTAAAAATTGTACATGTCAGAGTTTTTGAATTTTTTAAAAAAAATTTGCCAGTATTGCTTGGCAACCCCAATAAAGAAACTTATTCAAAGTTGAGCAAAGGTTTTTTCCACAGATTTACTGCCCTTGTCAAGGCTGTCATGGCTCCCCAGGCCATAGGTTTAGTAATATTTTTATCAAACTTGCAGAAATTATCAGCTAATAATAATCCAATTAAAATTCAGATTCACCCATCAGTTTTATGTCGAGTTATTGTCCGGGGCATCAACAATAATTATGTTATCTGAATTGTCAAGCCCATACTACCTAGCCAATTATATACTGATATTGAAATTATGTTGGAGAAACATTGTCCGCTGCTGTTTTTAAACCATTTTCTCTAAAGACGACAATGCTTGTAATTTTCTTTCTGAATTGTAAGTAATTCATATTTTATGTGTTTATTAATTTTCTTCCTGACTTATAATGTACAAGTAATACATGTTTATTAATTTTCTATATTTCAGTGTACAGTTACGTGTGGTGAAGGTGTTAGAAAGAGACAAGTGAAATGTGTTTTATTTGCTGACCAGATGACAGCTGATGATCAGTGTGATATGTCCAGTAAACCATTACAAGAAATACACTGTAACCGTGGTGATTGTTTAAAGGAAGAAGAATTTGATATAGCTGTTATAACTAGTAATCGTGTTGATGGAACCAGTCATTGGAGGGTTGGACCGTGGAGCCCGGTAAAATTTTATTTATTGTTAACGATGCAATAATCCATACACACGTTTCTATAACATGTATTAGTGTGTCTGTTCATTTTGTGGGACAGGTTGGGTAGCAAAGTGGTATAATGCCTTGCTGTAGATCAGAAGGCCTGTTATCAATGTATGTGACTAGCGGGGTTGTATGTTAATCAGTTATTGTTGCCTGGTTGTCAAACCCCATTACTCCTCGTTTTCAGATACTATGAAAAACCAAGGTGCCATATACAAAAGGGTAGTCAACATAAAAGCGCCCTCTATATTTGGAATCGTAATGAAAAGGCAGAAAGAAATACCTCCTTTCTGCCAAAATTATCCCACTTTGTTTTAATTCATTTCTACTATAACAGTGCTTTGCTTATATTTTAATATTTAATTGTGTTTGATGACAGTGTTCAGCAACATGTGAGACTGGATGGCAAAGACGTCAGGTTGTATGTAGAGATGAGAATGGAGCAAGTGAAGATTGTGATGAAACAGTAAGACCAGATGAAATACAGAATTGTGAGGGAGTTAAATGTCCTGCTTGGCAGTATGAAGATTGGTCCAAGGTATGTTGTCATAAATAAATTATGACTTTATTTTTGAGTGTTTGATGGATTTCCTATATCCAAGAATATTTTTAAAAAGGAATTCTGAATAATATCATCAACTTCCAGAGAAAAATATTTTACTTAGATACATATAGATTTATTTAATAATATGTTCCAAATAACGTAAAAAGCAATAACGTAAGACCCAATAACAGAAGATCCAATAACGTAAGACCAAACAATAAAAATATAATCAATTTTCAATTATATCATATCCATACAATTCTACTCTCACTAATTTTTTAATATTGAAATCTGAGCGCTGTATTTTATGAGCATTTTTTAAAATTCTTGAAAACTACTATATAATTTATACATACAAACACATTTTAATTAAAGTTGTACTGGGTTGTCAGATTTGTCAAAAATAATTCAGCCTAATCCAATTTGACCATCTTAGATTTAACTATCTCACATAGACATCTAGAGCATAACTGCTTCGTTCTTTTATCTTTGTGTAAATGGAAAGCTGTTGCGAACAAGGTAAGGTATGCTTATTCCTTCTAAATACCTTGTACCACTTCTCATTAACTTTATGTAGTTAACATTTTTGTGGTCGTACCTTTGTATTCATTCTCTCTGTTTTATGTGATTTTAATTTAAGATTCATTTATTTAATTTCAGTGTTCATCTGAATGTGGTAAAGAAGGTGAACAGAGTCGAGCAGTCCGATGTCAGTTAGAGCAAGGCCAGATATTAACAAATTCTAACTGTGATATAACACAACGGCCAGCAGATACCCGTCTGTGTATTGGACCATGTAGTAGCGGTTCTTATAGATGGCATGTCGGCAAATGGTCTGTGGTAAGAGACTCTTCTTATAGAACTAGACCTCGTACCCGATCACCATCACAGCCTCATGCAGATGATCCACAACCTTATTCACGTTCTCACCCCCGTCCGAACTCTCCCAATCCCTATTCTCGCTCGCGTTCACAACATCCCTCAAACACTCCCCATTTGCACAACAGATTCTATTCAGATGGCCGACGTTCTCAAAACCGACCACACTCTGATTATCCACGTTCTCAATCACGACCCCGCCCACGTTCTCAATCACAACCTTACTCTGATTATCCACGTTCTCAAGCACGGTTCCACTCTGATTATCCACGTTCTCAAGCACGACCTCACTCTGGTTATCCACGTTCTCAGGCACGACGTCATTCTGATTATCCACGTTCTCAAACACGACCTGCCTTAGATGATTCACATTCTAGAACACAACCGCTTTCAGAAGATCTACGTCCTCAAACACGATCCCACATAGATAATCCACATTATCGAACACAATCCCAATCAGACGATCTACATTCTGAAACACAAATCTCTTCAGATGATTTACGTTATGAAACACGACTTCCCTCGGATGATGCAAATTCTCCTCGTTCGCGCCCTCTTTCCTACAGAACACGACCTAGAGTACAATCTTCCTCCAATGACCAGCGAACTAGATATCAAACCACTTATAACTCGAAGAGATCTAGCACCACTGTCTTGCCCTATAACTCTCAATCACGTAGACAATCAACATCATATAAACATTATCGAAGACGACAGGCCCTTTACCACAACTCCAGATATACTGCATACAACAGGCAATAAAACATGTCGAATCCATTGAATCCCCCATTTCCCTGGCAATTATTTGCTGATTTTAAACCAGGGAGTATTTAATATATGTACATAACCTGGCAATTTGAATAATTTTATCCAATTTGAAAGAAATAAAGAAGTATTGTTGTTCAGTTATAGTTGATGATCGTCATTTGAGGGACTATTGTAAAAACTGTCCAAAATTGTTCAATTCCATTCAGTATTGATGAATGATGAATTGAAAACTTGGCAACATTTGGTATCCTATGCAGATGAACATCACCTTTAAGTCTTTTTTAATCTGATTGAATCTAGATTATCCACTGTTCACATTTTGGTTTGGATTTCTTAATTAAATTGTCAGAAAAATGCGAATGATGATCAACGGCTTTAACTTTCTCCTTTTTCAAGATTTGAAAGCATTATATAAAAGTACTTAATTTAATCAAATAAGCACAAAACAGTGTAAACTATGGAAAAAAAAAAGATCTGACCAGACACTATTTACTCTCTTGACCCATGATTACTAAATTCGGGAGCAAAGGAAAGTTCAGAATACCCATAGTTTTATTCAGTATTTCCGTCCAATGTTAGTCAATGATAAATGTTGTTGTGATAAATGAAATATATGTTATGTAAAAAAAAAAAAATAATTGACTAAAAATGGCATTTATTTAAGTAGGGCATAGATTGGAGTATTTTGTCTCCGCAACTTGCATTTCTTTCCATCCGAATATTTAAATTTTATATTCAATTTCATATTAACATATATTTTTTTTAGAATATTGCTTACCAGTATTATTTATTCTAAATTATAATTAGTACTATCTTTCTTTACGATTATATTGATACCAATTAAAGTATTTATTAATGGTTAAACAATGATTTAATCATAATCTCGTTAAAGACAATCAAACTATCATTCAAATTCAGTAGAATCATGTCTTGTAAATGGCACTTAGGTAATTTAAAGAATAAGGATTTTGGCTGGCTGGTACATCATATCAGACATTTTGGAAATTAAATTGTATGCCAACACTTTGAACATGAAAGTTGTAGTGCCCACAATCTAAGTGATAGGTTCGCTGGCTGTGAATGATGTCGAACCTCCAGGCATCAATGATTAGTACAACTATGTGACCATGGCTTTACGTAACTCATGTTTATATAAAACCTTGATAGGTATCTGTAAATTTTAAAATTGTTAAAAATTTGCTCTTGAAATTCCACTGCTTAAGGCTACCTGAAAAATCTCAAACATGTGAATTCCAGCTGTAAGTGATGATGAAATAAAACACTTGACAGTTGTATTACATATGCACATTAGACCACTAATATGCTGCCCAACATGTAATTCAAATGTTAGTAGAAATTGGAGTTAATAGTCTACTGACGTAAAGCTATCATCATTAAGTTAGTGAGGGTAATGGTTTACTTAAAATTCCACTTTCAACCTTGAATAAGAAAGGTGAAATCACAAGTAGCCTTAAAAAGATAAGCTATTTATCAAACCACAGGAATGTAATGAAATTAATAGCCACAAGTATCAGGTCTTTTGTAAAACATAATGAAATACCACTCACTGGTTAATCTGTGCTATTCTGATGAGACTTGGGAACCATTTGACCTAGTGCTCTAAATACCTGTCAGAGTGTGGTCTGGAACACAGACTTCTGGTTGATTATTCCTCTATCAGCGCTTTCAGACGACCTTGTGTACTTGTTTGCACCTTAGTTTTGAAGTTTTGCCAAAATGTCTAGCAAATTTTCCAAATATTAAAATAGTTCACACATGAAGTGTGAAAGAAAATCAACTAAAATAATTGAATTATAAGGATATGAAGTAATAAATGTTTATAGATATCCTGTTACTGTTTATGATGGGTTATTAATAATTATGTAACCGTGGTGATTGTTTAGATATGACAGCATCTGTTTCATGGTAAATTTGGCATCTAAATTTTGAAACTCAGTAATAAAATTTGAGAACATTTATAAATAAAAAAAAAATGCTTGAATTTGAAATGACCTCTTTTTTTGTCCAAATAGTTGAATTTTAATTTATTTTTTTTTGTGACTTTATAGATTTAAAAGCAAAATTTAATATATTTTTTTCCCCCGTGGCCCATTGTATCTACTGTTTCATAGAAAAATTAAGAATTTTCTCATTAATAAGGGTGTAAATTTTGATTAAGATTTAATTTATTGTGTAATTATTCTTATTTTGATGGTATTACTAATTAATATTTTATATGAATCTCTCTTTATTAAAAGTTATGAATATATTATGATAATTATAATGATGTAAATGTATCTATTGTTAATATATTTTATACCAAAGATAAAAGTGTATTATATATATATATATATATAGGGTCTAGTATATAAGTATAATATTGTTATTATTTATTTAAACAATATTTTATTCATTTAAATTTACAAAATTTATATAATTTATACGTTAACAAGCTTTATCAGCTTATATAAAATAGCTTCCTTAATATTGTTATTAAGATAATTTGCTGTATTTCTGTGTAAGATACTCATTGTATAAGCTCAGGTTGTGATTCGCATGGCTAGAAGACAGAGTTGCTTCCCTTCCCCTTGAATGGGAATAAGCATCTCTGTCTTCTGGCCAGTTTTTAAAAATATTTTCTGAATGACCTTTGCTCCCAAATGTAATTCTATCCCTTTATTTAATTACAAACTATTTAAGAGACAGCCCAGACACATCCCTGGGGTACTTCCTTCAATAATTCAACTTATTGCAATAGTTACCAAACTTACCTTGAGATGTATACACCCCCTCACAGGTGGTTGAACTGTCATTGGTGTGTTTGCCAAAGTAGGTGGAGTTTGTAGCTGTCAGTAAATATTATTTATGTTAATCTAGTGGTTGTAGGGGTTTGGATAATATGTGGGTGGTATGAAAGATTTTGTTAGAGGGAAGGATTTAAGAGAATAGTCAGTTGTTACTGTAGTCCTAGGCTACTTGGTTGTATTAAATGCCATTATATTTGGCTATAAAGATAGAACTCTGTGGGAAGATTCTACATGATTCCAGTGACTTGTACCATAAATTTTATTAATTAGGAATGTTTTCATGAGCTTCTAATCTTAATCTTGATATTAAAAGATCCGTGGATGTCTCAATATTGTCAATCAAGCTTGAGAAAAACAGAGTAGGTTCTTCAGCATGGCTAATTTTGTTAGTTGAAAAAAACTAATGTTGATGTAATGGATCAAGACTCTTTCAAATACAGAGGGTTGGGTGGCCAAATGGTTCAACGTGTGCACTTTAGATCATACGGTGTATCATCGAGTCAAGTGCTGTGGGTTTTCTCCGGGTCCTTCAGTTTCCTCCCATTGTAAGCGAATTATTGAAATAAAATTGATCCATATGTTAATATTTTTCTCTTTCTCTATTTGAAATAGCGTTCCAGACAAAACAAAAAAAGATAATTGGAAATTTCAAAATAAATTAATCAGTAATTTGTCAAAACATAAATACTTTGTAAAAATAGCTTATGGGTTAAAAAATGATAAATTCTAAAGTGAATTGTTATGGCCTCATGCCAGAAGTCGAACTGTCCTGTACCTTATTTAAACTCAACAGAAATAAGGGCTGATTTGTGTTCTTTAGATAGTAATCTAGGCCATTAGAGTTATTATTTATAAGCTGGCTGATGTTCTAAGACAGAAAATGATGACATCATAAAATCAATAGACAGTAATGGGAACTTTAAAGGATAATATTGGCGTCAGTCATTATCACATATGTGATAGAACTGATTAAACATGTTCCAAATATAATTTTAACACAAGAGATCATTGCTACAATAGATGCATTATGAAGATTTCAAAGAAGGGAAGTGACGAACGCAAAAAGAAAACACAAGTTATACTTCTTTTTTGAATTATCAAATATCCTCCCACAGTTTCAAATAACAACTTTTGGTCTTGGAAGGAATTATTAGTGGGCAGAAATTCGCCTGTGTATCTGTTATCACTTGTCACTTCAGTCAGTTATATAGAAGGATAACTCGTGTTAAATTCCCTTTCTTGAAATCTTTATAACGCAGTAGCAATGATCTCTGTGTTAAAATTATATCTGGAATGTGTTTAACCAGTTCTATCACATATGTGACAATGACTGACACCAATATTGTCCTTTAAATGGCCATAACTTACATTAGGATTGATAAAGTTTAATATTCTTTAGATCAATATGCTTTTTGATAGGACAACTTATTAATGCACTGAAAATCTATATTTGCCTTTAATTTACTGAGTAAGTGTTAAGTATATGCAAGCTAAGCAAAAGGTATATATATATATATATAATACAATTTGTTTGTATAAAAGGCAGAACATGTGGTTAAGTTAGACTAGGAAATGGCAGGTTTCCAAGTTAGTGGTTTTTAACAGGGCCAGCGAAAGAGCATGTGTGTAAAACATATGGAGTGTCAGACGGCATTATACAAAACCTTGATGTAGGTCACACTAATATGTCAATTTGTTCTAAAGTAAAACTTCTTATTCAAATAAATAAGTGTGTGCAACCAGACAGAAAAAAAATGCCTTCCTTTTAACTGGGTGCAACGACTGCACTTTCTTTAAAACATATGTGTTAATATAGAGAGTTAGAAAGTATATACGCAGGTTTAATAGAAAACATATTAACTCTATGCTTAATTATATATATAGACCTATTCAGAATAGTGACACCTTGGTTGTTGTTGGAATTAAATAGTGTATTCTAGTATGGCTTATTGTAATACAAAATGTGTGTTAATGCTCTTCTGGAATAAAGGCAGAATTAAGAGGCATAACAATCCAATAGGGAAACGTGTATTGAACATCTGGTGCATTATGTCTATAATATATTATACAATGAAATAGAACAGACATTAATATATTGATTGATAAAAAAAATAAATTGCGATATTTCATTTCTAAAATTAAAGTATTTATTCAGAAATTTTAATTACCATTCCTTTGCTTTTTAATTATTTTTTTTTAAAAAATAAATTAAAGATGGGTTCCCGCGTACAAACTGGGTGATTTAATGGTATATATGGACTAAAAACATATTCAAACTAATTAATTTGTCATAATTATGCTTCAAATCCTTCTCAAACATTGTAATTGCGAAGGAATGCCCTACTATTAAAATTCGATCAAACCAGGTCATGTTTACGTCACGTCTTGGCAGTCAGAGGAGAATTCATTGCATACATAAGACGATGTTGTCTTTAATCGCTTACTATTCATTACAAATATCCAATCCTAATTAAATTCTCGGATTATCCACTACCCGCGTTATTTTCCGTCATTTTTATCTCAGAAAGTATTGTACGTCTAACTCTTCGTAAAGTTTATCAACTTCTACATCAAGCGCTCAATGTTCGCTTGTGACCTTTGACATCACGCGAAAAGAAGTTCCTAATCGTCGGGCTGTTGATTAGGGGAACCCTTACATTTTTGTCCTGTATACGCTCCATGAGTGTTTTTCGGGGAATCCAGTATTTTTCTAGTAAGATTGGGTATCTCTACTTTCCATATATACCAAAATTGCAATACTTTTATTGAAAATAACCACACGATAAATACTTTTCTGGGAACCCATCTTTAAATGATGCAAAATATTTTTAAACTCCCCATACACACACTCACACACAACAATTCCTGAATTCTACTCTTAAAATTAATGCCCTGCACAATTGAAGATTTAAAGGCTGCTTAATGCGAAGGCCAGGGGAAGTAACTCTACTTTATCTTGCCACTGATTTTCTGTGGCTTAAAAGCTTAAATTTCTTTTTCATTTTGGTTCAATGACAATTACTTTAATTTATTTTCACGATGGCAAATTATATCACTTTTTAGACATTGACGGAAGGGAGATAACTGTCCTGGAATTGATTAATTTTTGTTTAATTGTTTAATCATTGTTCAATGACTATGAATCATGATTAATGTTAGGACTGAAGTAGTATTTTTATATGAACCATGGTATTTCTGTATTACAGTGTAGTGTCACTTGTGGTCGAGGTCAACGACATCGTATTGTAACCTGCAATGACCCAGATGGAAATGAACATCTGACCACCCTGTGTCCAAAAAAGAAACCACGAAATACTAAAAGATGTTATCGTGGCTTCTGTCCAAGATGGAGTGCTACACCTTGGAGTAAGGTATGTTGGTTGGAATATTTATTCAGTATGGTTACCTTTTTGTAGACGTTCTAAAATAATATTAAGTTAATATTATTAACTGCATGAAAACTGGATAGGAAAAAAAGGACAGTGTCATGCAATTTAAACCCGTTATGTAACATTGTTTAAATATGTGATATCCCAGAAGTGGGAGGTGACTGGTATGGATCAAGGTGAGATAGTAGGCCTTTAAATTAAATGGAGGAGTAGGCCTGTCATCCTTCGGTGGTGTGTTTTAGTTGAGTAGGTCGCTTATTTCAACAAGATCAGCTCTGTACCTCTCTGATTCCATCTCTTGGAAATTCATGTTTGAGAGAGTAGATGAATTTAGCCAAAAGAATATCTTCCATCAAAGGCAAAAAAGGAATCACGCACAACTGACCGATTTGGTCATAAAATTAGCCGTAACTAGATCTTCATAGCTAATTATAATTGTTGTATTTATTTATATTATTTTTTACAGTGTTCAGTTACATGTGGAGACGGTACAAGAGAGAGAGAAGTGTTATGTCGAGATAACACTCAAAACAGACGACGTATACTGGACCCATTACTATGTTTAGGCAAACAAAAACCACCCACTAAATCAACATGTCACAGAAAACAATGTTCCGATTTTATCTGGAAAGTGGACAAATGGACAGAGGTAAGCCTAATACTTGATTATTTTCTGGGGCCTGGGTCCTTATTAGCAAAAACTTAAAACTAAAATATTTTAAGAATTCATCTTTTTAATTGGATAAGAGCTAAAATCTTGATACAATTTTTAGCCCAATGAAAATTCTGAATCCTTAAAAAATATTTCAGGCTCCTGGAACACACACACCATTTAAATTCTTGTAATTGCTGTACAGGCCTAGTTTTACAGTAATGTTTTGTGTGTATATTACTGCCAACCTAAATTCTCGTTAATAATATAATATATGCCCTCTGTAAACAAAGGCTCCATAAATATTTTATCAGTTTGAATCTGTCATCTCAGAAATTAATGTGACATTCAAAAACTATCTGTAGGAATTTCTTTTTAAAGAATGCTTCTGTTAATTTTGGGGGTAATAAATAATCTTCTTTTTTTTTTACTCCAGTGTTCAAAAACATGTGGGTTTGGTAAAAAAGAAAGAGAAGTAAGCTGTGTTGATCGTCATGGTGAATCTGTGACCTCTCACCTCTGTGATAAAGATAATAAACCGAAAGTAAGAAGAAGATGTAGTGAGTTCCCATGTCCATATATTTATAATGCTGAACCCTGGTCCGAGGTAGGTGTACTTAATTAAAAACTAAATCCATTCTCGTATAAATTTTGATAATAAAAACTTACCTGTGGTTTACACTTATTAGTTGATAGTGTTCTACATCTGTAATCCAGGTCATCCAACTACTAAAGTCTCCCAGCGAATTATTAAAATAAAACTGAACTATTTGGTACTTACAAAATCACCTGGTTGGATATTAAAGCAACTATAATGGAGTTTAATGCCTCGTCAACACATCTGTTAGCTTCTTTTTCTACGAATGCATGTGCCAATTAGGAGAATCTAGCCTTAAAAGTTTTATTTTTTCTATAAAACTTTCATGTACACATAAATCTACAAGTAGACTCCATAAATCTAGGGGGGGTTGGATGGCTGAATGGTTAGCGTGCGCGTGCTGTATCATAAAGTCTGTCATTGAGTCGACTGGCGTGGTTTCGAATCCCCGGTTGTACGTGGCAAGGAGTAGGGTCGCCTGTCCAACCTCGTGGGTTTTCTCCGGGTCCTCCGGTTTCCACCCACTGCTAAAGACCCCTACGCGCAAGCGAATTATTGAAATAAAATTAAACCATATGTTAGTCCCGAAATGACCTAGTATGTGTCGAGTGGATGTTAAAGCCCATTTCTCTCTCTCTCTCCCATACGACTAGGCATACTTTCCTGGTCAACGCCATGGGAGCCACCTCCAATAAGAGAAGGCCAGGATTGGAAAATTCCAAAGATTCAGAGCATGGGCAGTTTTGGGCGCATAGAATTGTTAAATTTGTTTCATCTGATGACTTGTGTTTTTCTAGAAGAACTATTACTATATCAATTCATTGAAAATGATTTTTTTTCAAAATAGTGTTCAGCTAATTGTGGACAGGGTTCACAAACACGTGTAGTAATATGTCAGGCTGTTACTAAAGAAGGTTGGATTTTACCAGGAGAAGTCAAGAATAAATGTAAACCACAAGAGCGACCTTTGACCTTCCAATACTGTAACTTTGGTGAATGTGACGCTCGATATCACTGGAGAGTTGGACCGTGGGGAGAGGTAAATTTTTTAACTTTTTTTCACAGTAATTGTATACTGTGAAATAAAACATCAATGGAAAGAAAACATTAATTGGTTGATCACTAGACTCAGACCTAGAAATAAGGGTTTTAGTGCCTCACATTTTTTTAACTTTGTGCTAGAAATAGATATCAAAATAAAAGTCTAGAGTAAAAGACAAATCAGCCTCAGACAAAATGACAGGTGTCAGAGGGATTGTGCCTGACAAAGTCTGAAATTGTACCTGTCAATGTCTGTGGCATGTACCTTATTTCCAGGCTTGACTAGACTGTCTATAGTTCTTGTATATTTATCACATTTTGGTTTTAGGTCTGACTAATACCTAGTCTCGGTCACCCAGAACCTCCTAGTCTTCAACATATGGAGGGTCTGGGACCGTTGTCAATATTTGACGAAAAGTCCATTGCTTATGTGTAACCGGGAGTTTGGTTTTTAATGTGGTTGATTTATCCAGTATCTTCTGGCCAAGTCAAATAAGAGTTGCGCCCCTTCCCCAATAAATCCATAATTCTTGCATTAATTTGTCATCTGATTTCTTCAGGTAAAAAACTAATTTTAAAAAAAAGGAGTTCTTTGGGCTGTTCAGAAGCTTTTAGTTTCAAAATTTTAAGTTTTGAAATTTCAAACTAAACATCTTTCATGTGATTCAAGAGGTTATTTATTTATCATGAACCGAACAAATAAAAATTAAATTGGGTCTGCCTTTGTTGAATGTCTCGCTGAGCATTTCCTGTTTAGGCTAAGCAGAGATACACAATTTGCTTTGGAACACAATAATGAACATTTTCTGCTCCGGTTAAGCTTATAAAAAAGTAATTAATGAGTGGCTATATTTATTTTGGGATTGAGGCAGAGTCATCAGTCTCACTGTTAGTTTGCTTTTATAGCATTTTTAGCATTTTTATTAAGTAAAAAATATTTTGGTTTTTATTTTTTTACAGTGTTCTGCTAAATGTGGTAGTGGAAAACAAAGAAGAATGACAATATGTGTAGATAAGCATAATAATAAACGATCTCGTAGTCGCTGTGATCTCCGGTATAAACCACCATCATCTCAACATTGCTATACTAATCCATGTAAGTATAAATTCTAATCAGGGCTGTATGGGAAGGGTGGTCCATCCTTTGTGATAACTTGGGGTTGATCCAGGGATGCTGTGTCAGTCAGATTTGCCGGGAATTGGCAAATGTCTGACCACGAATTGCTCAGTTGGACATCAAGCTGTGAATTATATTCAAAATTCCAAACTTTGATCCCATGAGTTTATGTTTTGTCTTCGACTTCTCATCCAGTTATTTATGTATTTATATTTATAGGTTATGCTAGATCATGTAAAGAATTAAAAGAATTAACAACTATTAGAAAAGATGGAGATTATAGAATATTGATATCATCGCAACTTGTCTCAGTAAGTAGCTTACTTTATCAGGCCATTTTGTCACTTCTGTCGCTTCGACTAAACAATATACACTTCCCATTTAGAACCAGTGAAGTGATTTCAACTAATATGTAGTTCAGACACCATAGTTGTATAGCAGTTTAAAAAGACCAGAGTTTTTAATCCAGGCGAGTTTAGCGTTCACACAGACTATAATTGAAATAAAGTGAACTGTTTAATGAGTAGATCTGTTTTGTGGAGTGGGTATCTCTCAAACCTCTGCCATTTTAAATCTTGAGAAAAAAACCACTATTGATATGCAGCTTATTTTGTGTTGAGTCATTGTCTTTATACAATTCATGCAAAATGGGGAGAAATAAGCTTAGAAGAAATAGGAAATTTGAATTCTGGGGGAAAAATGTGCTAACGAGCAAGTCGGAGAACATATTGACCATATGTTTATATAAACTGAGGTGAATATAATGTAACTTCTCAGTCTGGCAAAACTTGATTTGGCATTCTTTTTAAAAACTCTTACTATGATAATACTATTAGAGTGGTTGAACTGATATTTGGAGTGAGGTTGTCAACCATCCATATTGTACAACATGTGAAATATTAATGATATAGGTATAATACGTTTTGAATTATTCCACTTTGAATAGTGTACTTGTTTTTTTCTGGGCCACACAATATATGTGAACTATCTTGCTTGTCATGTGTTTGATAGAAGTACTTTTGATTTTGTTCGGTTTTAAACTCCCTATTTAATCTGTATTCTGGCATGTTGGGAATCTAAATGTTGATTTTAATTAAACAGATTTATTGTAAAGATATGAGAAAACCAACTCCAACAGAATATCTGTCTCTACAAGAATCAACTGATGGTAACTTTGCAGAAGTTTATGACATGAGGTAAGTTAAGTTTTCTAAAAATATTCCTTGTGCTACAGCATGATCATAATCTTTAAGTGGCGCTTAGTGATTGAGAAACCCATTAATAGATCACAATTTTTATGGGAAAGATCAGTTTTATTCTGAAAGCACAATGTTTCGACAAGTATTGTTATCAAGCACAATGAGGATATTAGTCAAAATATTGTGCTTTTAGAATAAACACTACTGATTGTTTTCCCATAAAAATTGTGTTCTGTTACAGTATCTGGATGAGACCAAGAAAAACTGGATCTTACTGGTAGAGAGACGTGATAGATGGTCTGCATGTTTTGCAGATGGGAGTATCCTCGTTGAACCTTTACTTTGTACTTTATGTCATTGTTTATAAGGGTCTAAGAAGAATATTATGTATATATTGTGATGATTACCATAACAACAGTGCTTTGGCCCGTTAAATATATAACTGATTAAAGATGCCTTCTCGCATAGAAACTGTGTGGTTTGATGATATGTTTGGACTAAAAACACATTTAAACTTGTTTATCTATCAAAAGGCTGCTTCAAATCCCTCTCAAAACATTTTAATCAGATGTGCAAGAATCTGCTTTAATCAGCATTGTTTAATTAAAGACTCTTCGTTAAATTTGCAGTGTACAATTTTAATTTATTTTTTAACTCCCATGCAATCAATCCATTTATAGTTGTAAATTATGACAATCTTTTTTTGAATTTTCAGATTAAGAAGACCTGGTAAATGTCCGTATAATGGAACAAGAGTAGAAGGTTGTGATAAATGTCGTAAGAAAGCCTATCGTCAAGCTGGTTTTACTAAATATAATAAAATTAGAATAGATTTAAATACATTAAAAATACTTAGTAAGTAAAAACAATGTTTATTTTTTTTAACAATACTTCTATAATATTTGAAAATAAATGAAAATTTGAAACATTCAAACTTAGTCTGTTTGAAAGGCCACTGCCCAGGCAAAAATAATCTTCCCTATTATTGCACACCTGACCATTGACTAAATAATATGTTAGTCTCCCCCCCCCCCCCCACACACACATTGCACATTTGATCCTAGAATAAATAACCACCTGCTGGTTTCAAAACAATTGTGTTGACAAGATGTTAAACTCCATTCTATTTATGTTTTATAAACAAGTTTTATTTCATAAAAATGTTAAAAAGACATAAGTATAATTAATGAACAGACATGACTTCCACTCTAGTGTATCAGAACTGAATTGTGTATGTATTTAGTCAAATTTTACACTTAATTTGGACTTCAACTATTATTAAGAGATCTAGCCAATTTAAGATTTTGAATGTAACAATATGTGTTATTATGTTTTTGGATGTAACAATATGTATGATAATGTGTTTTGGATGTAATAGTAGGCCTATGTGTTATTATGTTTTAGGATGTAACAATATGTGTTATTATGTGTGCAGAACAGTAGATCGTTAAACCCCATTTCATTTCATTTCGTTATTATGTGTTCTGGGCATAATATTATGTGTTACTATGTTTTTGGATATAACAGCATGTGTTATGTGTTTTGAATGTAACAATATGTGTAATTGTGTTTTTCAGCACAAGATAGTACGTTTAGTGTAAGTGAAAGTAGTAAATTTATACCATATGGTTCAGCTGGTGACTGTTATAGTTCTCACGACTGTCCACAGGTAAAATATATTCTTACTGTTCAAATGTAATAAAATAATAAATACATGCTTTCAGTTACTTTTTTCCTATTGTCAGCCATTCTGGCATTCTTGTTAAAATTAAATTACAGTTTGATTGAATTTATTTTTTTTTCTAATGTGTACATTACATTGTAATCTGACATACTTTCTTTTTGAACCATTGCAAATTACAGTTCTAGTTTTACTATAACCGAAAACCTATACACACTTGCAGTTTAGACATTCTGTGTTAATCCACCACAAAAAAGCCCTGTATTTCAATATAGCCAAATGTTTTCCTTAAAATGTTTCCCTTACCTACAAACTTGAAAATATTGACTAGTTAGACAACTTTACCTGCAGTGGGATTTTTGTGGATGTAAAGGATCACTATTTCTTTGTCTCATAATGAACTAGTTGTGTTGGTATTGCTGTATATTAATTATTATATTATGTGTATATTACAGGGAAAGTTTAATATAAATTTAGTAAATACAGGTTTTATAGTATCTGTTAATACCACATGGATATTACATGGTAGTAAAGCTTCACAACGTATCTGGAGAGTACGGGTAAGTTTATATTCTATTTATAAATATCAGTAGTGCTGATATCAGGTGAAAGAAAACATTGATACCTTCATCAATGCATCAGTAAAATTGCACGTTAGAAAAACTAGCTAATTGAACAAAAAAATTCCTTCTCACAAATCTCCAATATTAATTTTGCAAACGTGTCAATTTCATAACCAAATTAATACTACTGCCTGCCTTGGTTATGTATTCAATAATATCTATCCCTTTTTGTGATGAAAATCCTTGAATTATTTTATCCAAAAAATACATGTTAAAAAAGATATATACTAAAAGCAATCAAGCATGTGTCCTACACTCATTGAAATAACATTGAACAAACACACTGTAATCCTATACATATATGCATCTAAATGAGCAGAAATATTGTCTCTTAGCTTCTCATTTTATAAACTTCTCAGGTAATCCCCCAGAACTTGTGCCAAACTTGACCTTGTCTTCATCTTGGACACCCTGCTGCTCAAATTCTTGGCAATATCTGACAATATAAAGGGCAACAGAAAATTCTGAACTGATAAAATGTATTTTTATTATACAGGAAGGGGAGATAATTAAGGGAGTTTGTGGTGGTTATTGTGGAAGATGTTCACCAGACGCAGCAGCAGGTTTACAACTACAACTTAGACCTTAGGTAAATAAACTTTCAATTTTAACTTAAGTTTATTTTCTCTGATAATAATCTTTACCAGTTAGTGATCCATAGCTACGAATCCCATTGTAGGCTGTGAATGATCTGCAAGGTTTATTCAAGAAGGGCTGACAAGGAGAAGTTCTCTCCCTTACATATTACCATCTATTATGATGTTAATATTAATCCTTTTTGGGGGTATTAGAATTATGGATAGTTAATGTTCGCTATCAGTTTTGTTAATCTGAATATTACATTGATAAGTAGCTTGTATCATCAAAGAAAATGTTTGCAGTATTATCAGTAAGTAACTGGCCAACCTCCGGTTTATTACCAGATCAATATAAGACATGTTTCAATCTGGCCTTTAATTAATTACACTTGTGTTTTCTCTTCAAAATATGTCAAGTTTACTTATAAAATTGTGAGACTCATTGACAGAACATCCTTTGCCGATAATCGGCCGAACATGGAACATTATTTTCTGATAATGAGGCATATAGTATGAGGATAAAGATTTTAAGAATCTGTCACACCAAATTAACCAGTTGTATTCACTAAAATATATCTGGGACTGATTCCTTTAATCCCTAAAAACAAATGCATTGCCTCAAAACTTCTCCTGATAAATAAAGTCAGCATATCATATTCACCATCCATTATTTTCTTCTTCTTTCAGGTACAAATCAAAATAGAGAACATGTGCAAATAGAAAAATATAGAAAGTAAATTACCGTCTGAATATATTGCATCATATGTATAAATTGTGAATATTTCTTTATATATATATTTGGACCAATATATTTATTGGATGTATGTAATTCAATGTTGTGATACTGCCAGTTTGTGATCCGTCCTTAAAAATAACCTTTAATGACATCTTGATAGGCTAAATAATTATTTTTAATATAGAGTTGAAAGCAAGACTGCTTTCACTTCAGTTGGTCAAAATTTTGTGTCATTTTTTTCCCACAGTTAAGGCCATATCAGATATAGCTGTGTCACTTAAAAAGGCTGCATGACCTGTTTTTTATTTTAAAAAATTCAAAACATTCTCATTAATTACCACGCTTTTATATTACCCATAGTAAAGGGAAGTCACTCTATAAAATCAGACGTCTACTTGTAGGCTCAATTATCAACCTGATAAATGTATTTGACAATCATAAATATAATATCTTACTAAGACAATACATAACATGGCCTTGTCAAATAACACCATAAACAACACTGCCTTGTCAATTAAGACCATAAATAACACTACCTTATCAAATAAGACCTTGAAGCTAATTTATATGGAAAAAGTTTCTGTAATTTTTAAAATGTACCACACAGAATCAAAAATTAGTCCAAAGATTTGTTGTTTCAATAGCATTAAATAAATGAATTGGTGGTATATAGTTATTCTATGGAATGCAATTAATGTTTACAAGATATGTTTCGAGGTTGCTTCCCTAGTCTTTATCAAGCTACTACAGAAGCCTAATTAATGCGTCGCTCAGTTATGAACAGTAATTGCATTTCTTAGAATTACGACCTGTGTATGTCAAAGACTTAGTCTGCTCCATTCACATGTAGAATTGGTCAGTTGTTCCGATAAACATACATTTCTTGAAGTTAATATGATGATTAAAAATCAGCTTATTTGCCACAGTTTCGGACCAAACATATCATCTCACAGAAACTTTCCAAAATAAATATTGCAAAGAAAGTGGGCATTCACACAAGAATATTTTTCCAAAGTAGATCTGCCAAAGAAATTGTGCCTATGTAAATTTATAAGTAACATCAGGGAGGCAGAGTACTGAAACTCAGATAATGAAATAAAGGTTATTCAAATGTAAATATATATGTAGATAAGTGTATTATATTAATTAGGTGTTCATTTTATATTAAATATCATTTTGTTATAAGATTTGAATGGATTTTAAGGTAGTGCATGCTGCATATCTATATAAAAGATATAATTACAAACAAATTGTAATTAATTGTAAATATTTTACCTGTGCTATACACTAATTAATAATATTGTGTACCGTACTGGAAATTAATCAAGTTTTTAAATATCTTAAAAAATAATTTATAAAATGATCAACTTGGTATAAAATATGTGTTTGTACCTGATAACTAATACTGATTTAATTGTTTTATTAATAATTATTGGATAATTATCTAAGCAATATACATAAATGGTATATTTCATAATTATGACATATTTTATGAATTGTCATGGGGATATATTGAGTATATCGACATTTTGTGCAATATTTAGAAGAGGTTTTAGGATTTTAGATAGAGTAGTTTTGGTTTAAATGATTTAGAGATATATCTTATATACATAATTGCAATAGATATAGAACATACATCATTATATTAGATGTGTGTATCTTTGTTCTATTTCATACATTTCTATTCTTCATACCATGCATTATTATATATAAATATATTCTCTCATTCTCCATTGCAATAGCTTTTCTTGTGTTATTGTTATTTTGAACATGTGTGTCCACTGGATTTTCTCATTCCCATACCAAATATTCTCACGATAAATAAGATATTCGATAAGCCATAAAACCAAGTCTAGATATATACTGAATAAAAATATGTAACTGTAAATGCGATTCTAAAGCTAGTTTCTTGCCTAAGAAAATTGTCAAACCATTTCGTTAGGCATTTATATTTCTCGAAACACCTTTGGACCTTGTTAATTTGCATAGATGTTACGAGGGGTGAATTTAGGCAATATTTCAAAGGCAAAAGATTAATTATGGATAATAATTAATTATAAGTCGTTATATTTGTAGAAAATCATCATTTTCAGGAGAAATAAAAACAAGTTAAGTATACTTTATCCAAACAAGATTTTATGTAAACAACATTTTTAATTTCTTTTTCATTTTTACTAAAAAACGACCATACCAAGTGCGAATGATCCCCTTAAGGCTAGTTTTTAAATGGCTTTTCTCCTAAGAAAGGGAATAGCATTTTATGCATAAAAGAATATAAGTTTAAAATGATTTATATATAAAAGACAATAATTCAAGGCATAATTGCATATTGCATAATTCTCATAATCATATTCTATAATTTGATCAACCATCAGCTACTACTGCCAATTTTCATAGTCAGCCATAATACCTCAACACACACATTAATAACTGTTTCCAAAATATTTTGTTTAGTTTCTAAGTGTCCTTTGGTTTTTTTATGTTATCCAAGAATGTCTATGTATTGTTTGAATATAATGATGTTTATACATGTATCTTAGCAACAAATCTTCATTATTTGATTTATAATCTTATACTTTATTTGTAATTTTACACTTACACACAATTTTATAGCTTTTTTTTAGAAATGTCCTTTTAGTTAGAGGATTTTTTTGAGAAAATTTTACTATCATTTAGGTTAGTAGGTTATGTAAAATGGCATAAAATGGTTAATTTAAATGAATTTCAGGTAAGCACTAATGTAATAGTGCTTTTAATTTATTGTATGATCTTAATATATTTTTACGGTCTTACATGTATATTGATCTATCAATGATCTGAAAATCATGCTGTTTATGAATTTTGGTTGTTAAATATAGTTCGTAAAATCATCCAAAAGTGCAAATATTTTAGTATGATACCTGTCATAATATTTAATTGCATTCAGCTTTAGGCTTTACTTTTATTAGTATTTTCATCAGTCTAGTCAAATCAAACCTCAGGTTCATATTTCATTTATCAAATAGTCACTTCATAGAAATTATAATATTCAAAGGTTATGGCAATTTTACTAGTATTGCATATTATAATTATTCATCCAACTTAATTATATATTCACACAACAGTTATTTCCATATAGATTATGTATCAGGTCATTTAATACAATTGATTATGTATCATTATGAAATATGTCATAATAATATACAGTATATAGTAACATCCAGACCAGAGTCGTATATACAAAGAGACTGACATAAAACCACCACCACATAAATAGATCAATATCAGAACAAAAAAAAAATATGTAAAATGATGAGTGTCTGTTAAAACAAAGGAGATGATAGTTCTACATGATATACTATGTAAGAATATGTAATTGTATGTGATGCTGGTTACATCCATGTGAATATGTATAAGTTTAAGAAGACAACTTATCAGTAAACATAAGCTACGTTTATTTTTTTTGTGTTTATATATTACCAAAGAACCCAATACCTCACAATTGGTTTAAACGACTGGACCTCTTTGTTTTGGTTCAAAAATAAAATGTTGATTTCTTTGAATTTGATCTGGTTGATATGTTTTATAGGCAGACAATTTTCTGTTTATAGATAGAACCGGCATTGAGATGTAATTGATTTTGTATTCCACTGTCGACACAGTAAAAATAATTTTAAATTAGTGACCTTTGCTTAATCTTTCGAAACAAAATAACTCCTTCTCTAATCCAATTAAAACATCAAATAACCCAATTCATTATTTTATTTGGACCTAAATCAAAGAGATTTGGCTCCTTTGAATTAAAACACAATTTAGAATAAATAAATTTTAATATAACTTTATATTATCCATAAATATAAATTTATTAGTATGTAAACATTATTGAAATTATAAAATATTTTATATATTTCTAAATTAACATGAAAGTTGAAATAAATGCACATGTTGTATTTTTTATTTGGGAGCAAACGATTTTATTGACCATAATAGCAACATATACAGTTGAATTGTATGTATATCACCTGGAAGTCTTAAAGTAAAAGATGTATTATTTCTTAAAAAGAATTTTGGGGTCCTGAAAATTAATTACACACTGTTCTGATTTTAATTTGAATAATTTTATTGACCACAAAACTATTTCAAATATAGTAAATCAGAGAAATAAAAATTAAAATAATTCCCCTTGTGTTACATGCACTTTGTTTACCAAATTTAGACCCAGTAATCCATACTCTAACCAAATTACAATGATCAGTGTTCTGAGAAAATTGTGGGTATCATTTGTTTGGATACACATTTGTGTCATTTGCTGAAGAAAAGATTAACATACCGTAAATAAATCATAATTGAACTATTTTTTTAAAGCTAAAGTCCTGTCACAAAACTGAATTAAAATAGAAAAAAAATAATAGGCTTTTGAGTATGGTCATGCATGATGGCTGCTGTATTTATTAATAGTCAATATTTCTAACATTTTCATTGTAATTTGTTTTATTCTTTTGACAGGAATCAATCTTTAAATATTTTATAAATCATCAAGTTTTTATGTTATATGTAATCTACTAACACTGTTTTGTAAATATTTTAATAAATAATTTTGTCAGTTCTGTGGTATTTATACAGTGTATGTTGTTTTTTTTTCTAGTGTTTTTGGACATATTGTATATTCAGATATTGTATGTCTTTGATGTAATTACTACAGATTTTAAACTTGTATCAGATGTATTAAATATTGTTTTGTATATGTAACTTTGTTTATCATTGTTTTTATCTGCTCACATAGCTATAAAAACTTAAGTAAATTTATACAGTTTTTTACCTTCACAAGATCAACATTTTCCAATGATAATTACTGCCAGAGTTATAGCCTTTTATCATTCTGGAAATTATATTGAACCTGTCTAGAGGGTGAAGTTATCATCTGATTGACTTCAAATTTATAGATAGGGTTTAAGATCGTGAAACGAAGAAGCCTAGTAAAACACAGTGTGGACTTTCAAGAAGCTAATGTTGCCAACTGAAATTTATACAGTGTTTAAGTTCATTGAGTTATGGCCCTTGATCACTTTGAAAAATCCTGTTAAACCCCATTTCATTCAAGGGTTTTATCTTTCATCAACACTGTTTGCTGGGATTGTTGTTTGCTGTTTTTAAGAGACAAATTGTTCTATTGCTTTGCAATTTGGAGTAGTTTTTTGCCAGTGTAAAGTCTAACTATAATTTCAACTGGACTTTGTTAGTTATGAGAAATAGTTTGAATCTCACATGAATCTCACATGACCCCTCAATTATATTTTCTGCTCTGGTCTAAGGTTCTCTCCATAGAAATAAAATAAAATGAAATGGGGTTTAACGTAACATTGTACTTTTCGGCACAAACTAGACTAACAAAGACAGGCATATGCCATGCAGTATGCTACAAGACCAGTGTTTCCTCCTACTCTTCAACAAAGTCCCATCTGAACGACTGTAACTGTTCCTTGTATGCTCCCCCCCACCCTCCTGAACGTGTGACAAGGGGAAACCATGCTGAAAAATACACAGAATCATTCTCGGTGGACCTCATGAGATTAATGAGTCAGCGACTATGAACTGAGCCACTGTCCATAGAGAAAGAAGTGGAGTTTAATTCACACCCTACACAACTAGGTAAGTTCATCTTTTTTGTTAATTTGTTGAAGAATAGCAAAACTGGAGAAAACCCATGTAACCATCTGAGTCATGTTCTAATCATGAAATCAACCTCACAGCTAGTATATATATATTGGAGCCACAGTGGCTAAGTAGGTAAGATGCTGGCTCTCTAGCCTGCAGGTCGCGGTTCGCTCCCGGTGTTGGCCAAGAATTTCAGGAGTGGTTTCCCCTTGTCAGTAGTGGAGGACAGAGGGCCTGACAAGGACAGCTGTCTAGTCATTCGGATGGGAGAAAAACCCAAAGTCCCGTGTACACATTGGAGTGCATTTAAAAGATTCCTTGACAGTTGGAATTCGATTTAGGAGTAGGCCGGAGCAAAATTTCCCTCATAGCACACTGTACGGTGTATACTCATCTTTATTAGTCCAGTTGGAGCAGAACAGTAGGATGTTAAACCCCATTTCATTTCATTTCCTAGGCATATTCAGGCCCCCTTAGACTTAAATTAAGAATTTACTCAAAATTGTTCCCTTATTTTAAATACAATTGTTGGGGATAACACATTGACGAGCCCCAGTGGGAAAATGGAAAAGTAAAGTGTGATTACACATGTCAGTTAATACATATTTGTATCACCATACACAAATTAATGTGTTGATATACCGGTATACATATTGTTATATCAGCTGTCGCTTATGACATGGCCAACAGGTAATTAATCTAGGCCTTTACACCAGCTGTTTGGTTGCCAGAGAAAATAAATATCATTATGTTCATGAAAGATATTTTAAAACAACCATTCAAATGTTCAATTTTAAATATACGATAAGAAAACATAGTCTTGAAGTCGAACAGCAAATCGAAACCTAATCCAATAAACATTGCAGATTAGCGATGACATCAAGAGTTGATTATGGTCTGGATAAGTTAATGTCTTATTAATAATTTAGATAACATTTCAGGCCTAAAGAAAAAACCTGCAATAGGCAGATTTAGTTCTTGCATAATGTATGTTTAAGAAAGAAAACAAAAATTATTATTTCATCTAGTTGGCAAAATAAAGTGCCCGAAATCTAATAAAACACCAATTTTACATTTAATTGAATACCACAAATTTAATAAAACACCAATTTTACATTTCTTGTTATTGAATACCACAAATTTGTACTGATATGACTATGGAATGAAACATTTTGTCTACTTTGTGCAAAATTTTCGGGCATCGATTATTATGTGTGAATGCAGCTGCAACAGTCTGATTGGATGGTTGGAATTCAGGTCAGCATTGAGTGGGATTTCGGTTACAAAACCATTGGACACCGTTAGAGTTGCTTAACTCACGGGCTAGAATAGCAGAAAAACACATTTGCGACGGTTACATTTTCAAAATTTTCTCCAGGAGGGTGAGGCCCCCATACCGCGCGACGATTGGTTGGTTGTTTGTGATTCGGGTCAGCCACCTCAGGTAGGCTATCTTGGACCACATTGAAGTTGCTGTATTCAAGGGCTGAAATAGCAGGAAAACCAGTTTTCGGCAGTTAAATTTTCAAAATTTTCCTCTGCCTCTATGAACTGTAAACAATTGATTGGTTGATTAGAATTTGAGTCTGCCAGCTATACTTGTTAGACCACTGTGTAGTTGCTGTATTTACGGATTGGAGTGGTGGGGAAAACGCATTTGCGGTCGTCAAATTTTCCAATTTATTTTTAAAAAATTGGGGGTGGGGCTAACCGGAATTTTTTCGGGCATTTCGAGTTCTGCCCCCCTAACAGTCATCGAGCCCGTACGCCTATGCCTGAGACCTCCTGGTTAACGAGTCAGCGTCTTACTTGCTGAGCTACCATGGCGCCCCATTTAATTAGCATACTTACAAACAACTTATTCTGGGACCCAGTGAAAACTGACTTCTGCTGCTTTGCGGAGAAAATCAATAAACATAAAGGGAAATTAATGAATGTCAACAATGGATTTCCAAGAACTACATAAAACAATACACTTTTTCACTTTATTTTTCCCCACAGCTTTAATAATATCACACCCGCAATCATAACTATAAACCCAATTTAAATAACACATGTAATCATATTAATTTCTTCAAAGCGATTTTTAAAAATGTAAGTTGTTGGATTCCAAAAGAAAAGATGGTAAAATGTGTGATAGTGACTGAAAATCTAAAATCTTACTTAAAGATATATTCCTCTGAGAATTAATAGACCTTCAATTGACCCATGCAATTTGTCTTTACAGTATCCAATAGTATGGTGCTTATGTGTGAACAAGAAAAATAAAATTGCATAATCTCACAATAAGTATACAATTATTCAATTAATTTAATACTGACTATCATCATAAGTTCTGCCATTAGTATTTATTTATTTTTCCAAGGGGCATATCAAACATGACAATAGAGGTGATAATATAAAGTTACATGATAATAATATGAGAAAGTTTTGATGAGAGAAGAAGTAATGATGTCATGAATAATCAGCCTCTTGAGGATAACCCATAAAAACCTGCTTAAATTAAAACAAGTATTAATAAATCAAAGATAATGACATCGATAACACATTCAAATTGACCTTAATGTTAATATTTCATTGCGTAATACCTGCTTCTCTTGAAATATCTTATAAAAAAATAATTTAAACACATATTTTCTATAGGATATTGATTGTCAAAGAAATATATCTTTAATACTTGCTAAGAAATACTGTTTTAACAGTGTATATTGTTTTTCAATGAATTGTATCAAATATTGTAATTGTTTCCTCCTCCATCAACTTGTGTTGTTTTAAGATATATAATAATTTAATTTTCAACAATTTGCATAAATATATTATTAGCAAAAATAAGTAGTATACCAGGTCTGAGGTATATACAATGATTTATCATACAAAGCCTAACAATAAAAATATACACTATAAAATTAATATACACAGTTTGTGATTTACTCAAAATCTATAAATGTTAACAATTTGTTAAAGCTAATGTTCTCAGGATGCATTATTCCAAATGTTGCATTAATTTGCTTCTACATCATGGGTAATCCATCATAGACTATCAATCATTTACTCTATCACATACTTTATATAAACAAACTGAATTCATAAGCAGATTACTACCACTTAGTTCATAGTGACAAATGATCTGGGTTTCTTCTCACCAAACAGTCATAAGTGAGAGAGAGTGAGAGAGAGAGAGAGTGAGAGAGTTAATGCCCACTTGACACAAACTAGGATGAACATATGGTTCAATTTACTTCAATAATTTGCTTGTGTGTTGGGGTCTTAAGCTGTGGGAGAAAATCGGATGACCCATACCCCACCCCCTTTGAGGCTGGACAGGCGACCCTATTCATATTCTTCTTCATGTACACGTGAGCAGTTGAAATCACGCCACTTGTCTCAATGACAGATCGCATGATCTAACACGCAAAAGTTAAACCATTCAGCAACCCAACACCCCTACCACTAGTCAAAGCATAATTCTAATCACCTTCATGAGAAAATTCCTCAGAAACCAATGAAAGTGGACCTAATCTAATTATAAACAAATATTTTTTAATTCTGTTTTTTATTTCTTCCGTTTATTCTGTACTGTAAACTTTTCTTATCAATGCAAAGACTTGGTCCACTGATGTCTTGTTTATAACTCAACTAACAATGACATCAGAAGGCTTATAAACTTGATGAATACATATACTTGATAAATTATGGTTTCTTAATATATAGCTTAAAGACAAATATAGAATTTAAGACCATATATCCAATCAAAAGTACTTGTATCTTTAAAGAATCTGGTCGAAAATTATTCAAGAATCAAGTCCATCAATTCTAACTTAAATGAAATCCAAGACTGACAAATTAACTCCTTACAATGATGGGTGGAAGAATACGGCTGGAGATTGAAATAAAATATAAATGAAATATATAGGTAAAATTCTGCAAGCAACAAACTTGATAAGACTGTCTTGTCACATTTGTTACTCAGGGAATTTTACCTGTACTTTATTTAAATTACAACTTAAGTAACATAGCCATTTAAAGTTTACATTGGTTTCTTCTGATTTCACATCAACACCCATGTGTCTTAGGTCTTTTGACCAATAAAAACCCAATAATTCTATATTTTTCATACAAGCCAGCATATTCATAAAAAATTGTTTTATAATATCGGTACTCAGATGTTAATTACACAATATCCGAGGGCTTTACATTAATGGCATATTTTGAACATTTGAGTAATATGTGAATGATGGTAGTTCATATATAACACACCATATGCTACTGAAAAACATTTTTTATCTTTCAATCTTGTCAATAGAAAAATCTAGGTTATCATATAGTACTTATGTATCAATCATTTCAAAAGTTTCTTCAATCTTGTTTTAAATACACAAGATTATTTTCAAAAAAAGGAAAGCTCCACTACAACAAAAAAGATAGGTTGCCCGGCAACGAAACATACGCCCACAGCAGCTAAATCATCCGGGCAGTCAACAAGTGTTGTCGCATATTTTTTACTTTTTTTGGTAATGAAACATTTATAATACACTAAAATCTGATTAAGAGTAACAACTCATGAAGTAATTATCAGTCTGAAGTCAATCGGATGATAACTTTAGCCACTAGAATGTCACAATTTTTTCAAAGGGCCATAAGTTTGGTAGTAATTATCGGAAATTGTTGAAAATCAATAGGATTCCTTGTCTCATGACCTCAAACACTGTGTATAAATTTAAATAAATTTAGCCTCAAGAGCATCCACAAGATTTTTTGAAGTGATCAAGGGCAGTAATTAATGGAAATTTCTGAAAATCAATACGCTTCTTCGTCTTATGACCGTAAACACTGCGTATAAATTTAAAGTCAATCGGATATCAACTTTGGCCTCTAGAGTGTCCACAAGATTTTCGAGGTGATCAAGGGCCATAACTCTGGAAGTAATTATTGAAAATCGCTGAAAATGAATAGGCTTCTTTGTCTCATGACCTTAAACACTGTGTATAAATTTAAAGTTAATTGGATATTAACTTTGACCTCTAGAGCGTCCACAAGATTTTTTGAGGTGATCAAGGGCCATAACTCTGGCAGTAATTATCGGAAATGGATGAAAATCAATAGGCTTCTTCGTCTCATGACCTTAAACACTGTGTATAAATTTAAAGTCAAACGGATATTAACTTTAGCCTCTAGAGCGTCCATAAGATTTTTCAAAGTGATCAAGGGCCATAACTCTGGCAGCAATTATCGGAAATTGCTGAAAATCAATAGGCTTCTTTGTCTCATGACCTTAAACACTGTGTATAAATTTAAAGTTAATTGGATATTAACTTTGACCTCTAGAGCGTCCACAAGATTTTTTGAGGTGATCAAGGGCCATAACTCTGGCAGTAATTATCGGAAATGGATGAAAATCAATAGGATTCTTCGTCTCATGAGCTTAAACACTGTGTATAAATTTAAACTCAATCGGATATTAACTTTAGCCTCTAGAGCGTCCACAAGATTTTTCAAAGTGATCAAGGGCCATAACTCTGGCAGTAATTATAGGAAATCGCTGAAAATCAATAGACTTCTTCGTCTCATGACCTTAAACACTGTGTATAAATTTAAAGTCAAACGGATATTAACTTTAGCCTCTAGAGCGTCCATAAGATTTTTTGAAGTAATCAAGGGCCATAACTCTGGAAGTAATTGTCGGAAATTGCTGAAAATGAATAGGATTCTTCGTCTCATGACCTTAAACACTGTGTATAAATTTAAAGTCAATCGGATATTAACTTTAGCCTCTAAAGCGTCCACAATTCGGACGGACGGGGGTGACGACAATATACAACCACATTTCAATGTGGGCGTATAAAAATGAAAGAGAGAGGAATGGTGTGTAATACTGACAAACCAAATGCCCTTATGAAAAAAAAAGAGGAAAAGAGTTGGATATTGGATTAATCATACCAATATATATAGTTTTCTACATATGATTTATATGAATATATATGTTCTGAAAGCCCATAAATAACCTATTTATATAAAGCTCATTTACACCCCATGTATGTGCCCTTCTTTCAAGGTAATACTGTGAGTTTTCAATATACTTTGATGTACCATCCATGAAGGGTTAACATATAAATAAATGAAAATAAATACCTCAATGAAAAGTCAATGAACTGGGTAACAGAAACTTTAGATGAAGAATGGTTTAAGTTAAATCAACATTAATAAAATTTGTTTCTGAGTCACTTAGCTTTCACGATAAAAATGCATCTCTGATTTCCATGGTTTCTACAGAGGTTTATATCACAAAATTTATACAATTCAAATAAAGCTTAACATGCCATTTGATCTTTAATAAATTGTATGACTTACATGAGAACTTTAATTGAAGGACAAAAGAGCAATCTGATAAAAATTCAGACTTAAGTTTCGTTTGGACAGCCTCCACTCCATAAAAACATGAGCAGTTTGTGTGGGAGATCACCTCATTGGTCATATAGATACTATATCTAAATTTCAGGGTTACTTCCAAAATGCTGTGAACAGCTTATGCAAAGCTCGACTAAACAGAACCCTCCACATCAAACAAAACACGTTTTATTTAAAAACTCTTTAAGTCATGAAGACAACAAAATCAAAACGAGAAGAATTAAGATTTGCATTTTAATTAGATTGGAAATGAAATTTAACATTTAATCTGATTGGATAAAATCTGATGAAGGTATCAATCATTTTAATCTAATCAAACTTACAAAAGGTTTAGGTGTTTATCTATTCCATGTAATAACCATTAACTATCTTAAAATATTGTTGAAAAAGCGGTGAATAGAAGATTAGAACAAAATCTATTGTTCTATCATTATCATATGTTACACTTACCTTAGTTAATTTCATTTCCTAGAAAACCTGTCTAATCGATTTGAATATTACAGATGAATTATTAAACAAATTTAATATGAACTGTTAGTGTTCAGTCAGACACACACGGATTCAAATAAACAGAAACAGATTTTTGTAGCTAACGTTTCTTGTTTATCAAGTACAACAAAAACAAACTGCATACTACCAAAAAAAACCATGAAACAACAAAGAAAATCAAAAAAATCACATAATTTCAAAATAGTGGCTTACATTAAATTTTACAAAATTCCCCTAGTTCTTTGAATTTTACAGAAGTAATGTCCTTCAAGGGGAATTTCCTCAGACTCAGTAACTTCCATAGGAGTCGTCATTTTGAATGACACAATACAATTCAATATAACTGGTTGAATGCAATCTCATTTAGATAAACAATAAACATTGGGCTAAACAGTTTTTAATCGTCACACATCAATACGAAAAAGAACAGCTACACATTTTATTTTCCGTTTTGTTTTTATTTGAAACAATATGCGTCCGACTTTAGAATAAACTCCATTAAGTCTGCCACAGATGTTTACATTTTGTGCTGAACAACTGAACATTCAAATATCTGTACAACAGACATGATCTAATTATTGATGACAAAATAAGATAGGATCATAAAATAAATATAATATAGACATATAAATGAAATAATTATTTTAGCAAATACAAAACAAAATAAATATAATTATCTGAAGCCCCAATTTTCTACTTTATGAAAGAATAACAGTTCCCTCAAAGCTCCTCATAAGCTTTTATGATGTAATTGCAAGTGATAATGAAAAGATCTTTTCCTCACTAATAATTAATGGATTCTGATCGATGCATGTACAATTTTGTCTCCTCCCAAATTTTTCTTTAAAAATTGAGAGGTTTTTCTTTTGGTAAAGGTACAAACTTACTATACATATAAACTGCCAGCATTACAAATAGAGCACCAACGGTAAACTGTAAGGTCAGCTGAAAGTCAAAGAAATAAATGGAAGCTATACATGATAATACTATAGATGCAGACGTGGCAAATCCTTTTAAAATGTTGTCAGCGTATTTCACGACTACAGCCACAACTAATCCACCAAAACTTTGTAAAGCAATTACCAGGCAAACAAGCCATGTGTATCCAAAATAAAATCCTTTCTCGTGAACGGATGTGCCATCTTTGATCTCCATGGTAAATAGTCCAACGATGACGCCAAAGACACTTAATTGGATGTTGCGGATCCAAACCGACTGCCTGGTTCCTTTTAGAATTTTTTCAAAGTAAACACCGGCAAACCCAGACAGAACACAGGAAATGACTACAGCTACAAGTCCTTTGAAAGGATTCTGCATTACAGTAGGTGTCTTGGTATTATTACTATCTGCCTGGAGCTGGACGACTGAAACACCTGCAAAAAGTATTAATAACGACACCCATTGTAATTTGGCTATTTCTCTCTTTAGCATAAACACAGAAAATATTGCTGTTGTTAAAATTTTCAGTTGATATGTCACCTGGAATTGAAAACAAAAATCCTTATTATTAAAACAATTTTCATGGTTGGTACAGATGTGTCATTTTTATGAAATGAAATGGGAGTTTAACAATTTACTTTTCTACACCACCTGGGCTAATCCTTATTATTAAAACAATTTTCATGGTTGGTACAGATGTGTCATTTTTATGAAATGAAATGGGAGTTTAACAATTTACTTTTCTACACCACCTGGGCTAATGAAGACGGGTGTACACCAAACAGCCTACCGGTACTAATATATCAAATTCCAACTGTCAAGGGCCTCCGTCTTGCACCACTGGCAAGAAGAAACCACACTGAAAAAAATCCTGGGGATCTTTCTCGATCAACAGAGGCATCAAACCCCAGATCCCCTGGTGAGTGTGAGCATGGTTCCCCCATTTCAATTGGAAAAGACACGGAAGTGATATGGGCCAAGTCACTGGTACACAAATTTGCAAATTCATAAAACAAATGGTTATATGACTATGAGTGTGAGAAGACACGTTTTAAGAGGGGAGAGAGAGAAAAATGGGGTTTAACATCCAATTAACACAAACTAGGTCATTTCGGGATTAACATATGGTTTAATTTTGTTATTGACTCAATGACAGATTTTATTTTATGATACAACTTGCACGCATTAGCCACCCTAACCCTAACCCAAAATATTATTTTAGGGGATATTACCTACCCATTAAAAGATAACAAATAGCAGAGATCCTTGATTTTTACATTTTTGATCGATCAACACCTTGCTGATTTGCGCCAATGTTTTACTTTACATCAATACTTTTTATAACCTTTGGGAAAGGGATGTTGTTTAAAATTATATGATAGCCATGACTGAATTAAAAAATAATAAAGACAAAGTCTTGGTAGCTCAGTAAGTATGGTGCAGGCTCGCTACCCAGGGTTGACCGAGAAAAGTTCCGTAGGATTTTCTGGCATGGTTTTCCAAAGTCAGTATTCTGGCAAGGAACATATTATCTAATTCTTCTGATGAGATCAAAAAAAAAGCTGGTATGCACGTATATTAACAATTGACGGTTTTGAAATAACAGTAGTCAATAATGCTGCTGTCCATACATAATTGCCCTATAAGCTCACACAGCATGGTATACAAGTATGGCCATTTGTTTATCCCAGTTGTTGTAGAAAAGTAGAATGTTAAACCTCATTTTAGTTTTCTTTATTAAGGTCACTATATATATATAAAACTATATTGATTTAGATGGTGAATGTGAATTTCTGTATAAATAATTCTATACAACTACCAGTCTGTGTTCTAAATATACATCTATTATTAATCAATATACTTATATACGTCCACATATTTCTTACTATTATATACATAGACTACTTTTATTCAAGCATGACACTTTTTCATTTCTTTTTGCTTCTTGTTTTGAATTTCTTTTTTTTAAGTTCAAAAAGTGATATTCAGGGAATGGAACTGAATCGAGGTGTGACTCCTCACGATAATGAATGATGGTAAATGATGCAGTAGTTTCATTCAAATAAAGTCTGAGCACATTCTGTCAATTTTTATTTTCTTATTTCTAACTCTTTTTATTTGTAAGTTTTAAAATTTCAGTCAACCCAATTCTTTTAGTAAAGTTGGAATAATGATATATTCTGGGAATGGGCGTGAATTGAATTGAAGTGTTATTCCTCACGGTAATTCAGTGATTGGTTGACAAGACTTAATGACGACAAATGATAGGTTGCCAGAGAACGAAACATAGGTCCACAGCAGCTGAAATGTCTGAGCAGTCCACAAAGGTTGTTGCATTATGAATCTTTATTTTAGGTATTCAACTTCCATAGGTTTCTTCATTTTACTAATTTGAAAAATGCTGCAATTTGTCATACAGATCGGAAGATAACTTTTTGTCATTAGAGCATCACAAGATCCTGCAAAGTGAAAATAGGGCCATAACCAGCGATTCTGTTTTATTCAAAAATACTGGAAACCCTCCTACGTTTATCGGCAAAGGTCTTACTGCGAATAGGCTATGCCGCTATACCCAAATGCACAGTCATAGATATATAACTCTAGTCTAAGTAACTATCTTGCTTCTTCGTTACACTACTTTAAATAACACAACAGAACAGACGATTGCTGACATTCAATAGGCTTCTTCATTTCACTAATTTAAATGATGCATATGAATTTCATACAGATTGGGTGATAACTTTTGTTGTTTGAGCGTTCACAAGGGTCAACAAAGTGAAACAAGAGCCATAACTCTAGATGTAATTAACGGAAATTTGCTGAAACTCAATAGGATTGTTCGTTTTACTAATTTAAACGATAAATTTCATACAGATTTGATAATAACTTTTGTCGTCAGAGCATTCACATGGTACAACAAAGTGTAACAAGGACCATACCTAACTCACAGCGTAATTCATGGAAATTGCTGAAATTCAATCGGCTTCTTCGATTCACTAATTTAAATGATGCATATAAATTTCAAACAGATCAGACGATAACTGTTGTCATTAGAGTGTTCACAAGATTCAACAAAGTGAAACAAGGGCCATAACTCTAGATGTAATTAACGGAAATTGCTGAAATTCAATAGGATTCTTTGTTGTACTAATTTAAATGATGCATATAAATTTCATACAGATCGGTTGATAACTTTTGTCGTTCACAAGATGCAACAAAGTAAAACAAGGGCCATAACTTCAGAAGACATTAAGACAGAAATTATTGAAATTAAATAGAATTCTTCATCCCACTAATGCAAACAACATAATATATCAATTTCAAAACAATCATATGATAAATGTAGTCTGTAGAGTGTTCACAAGAAATTGTGGATGATGGACAGACGGACGGACCGACGGCAATATACGACCACATTTCCATGTGGGCTTATAAAAATGAATCGTATTTTTGTCGTGTTAAGACATCATTCACGTTCCCAACATCCATATTCACGGTAAATTAGATCGAAATGCAACTAAATGTCCGTTAAATGAAGCAAGTCTTTTTTTTTCTGTTAATATTAATTGATAGCTACTGATTCTAAAATGTGTCTGTAAAAAGTTTTGTAAAAAGAATGAGATTTATTTGGAAAACTAATAAAATCAAATTTCCACCTACTTGAATAAGATTTTAGAAATAATTAATGGAAATTGTTTAAATTCAATAGACTTATGTGTCACACTACTAAGAAATAGTCTAATACAATTTGAAAAAGATATGATTAATAATGTAGTCTTTTGGAGTGACAGAATAACAGATGGGGGAGATGACAATTGGCATTCCTATGTGGTCTGGTGGGCATATAAAAATCAACCTAAATTTAACTACCGGGGTATACAAATTCCCTGCAAATAATGATGCCGACACCACAATTTTATTCTCTACACCTATATTTGATTTCTACACTGGAAATTAGCAGTATGTAGGTTGGGTTTGAGATACTTATTCAAACAAGGTGTATACAATGTACATTATTGCACCTAGATAACCTTTTCTTTTAAAGAAGATACACTGAGATAAATTTGAATCAAGTAGGCCTACTTATATTATATAAAGATATTTATTAAACAGCACGAATCTAAATTATCTTAGGTTAGGATTGAACTTTATTATCACCATTTCTTTGCGGATTGGGGAAGTCATATTTCAGTACAGAGAATTTATCTATTGGGAATTTTGTGTTTTAGGGTTAGTTAAGATAAGTCCCCTAACCCTTGACTCTTAACTCAACATGTGAAAATCTCAAACCTCCTCAAACAGTTTGCGAATAAACTTTCTTTACTGCTTCCCTCAAGTAGAAAATCCATGAGGATAGGCCCTGTATAAAGGGGGCTGGATAGCCGAATGGTTAGCACATGCGCAAAGGTCTATCATTGAGTCAACTGGCTTGGTTTCGTTTCCCCGGTTGTACATGACAAGGAGTAGGGTCCCCTGTCCAACCTCGTTGGCTTTCTCCGGGTCCTCCGGTTTCCTCCCACTACTAAAGACCCCTACGCGCAAGTGAATTATTGAAATAAAATTGAACCATGTGTAAGTCTAGAAATGACCTAATTTGTGTCGAGTGGACGTTAAACCCCATTTCTCTCTATCTCCTCCTATCTATAAGTATTTAAGGAAGATATAAACATATCAAAAGTATGAAGATATATGATATTGTATTTAATCAGTTGGATAAAACATAAAATATTTATACTGTAACCAGGTTACATGTATATAAAACAATTTCAGGTTACAAATAACTTATTTAGTATATAGACCGGTTTGTGAATAATTTATCTAAAACAAATACATACCGGTAAGCTTACCTTTGTTCACTATACAGACAGTGGCATGCATGATGAGGGGGATGTGGGGGAGGGTGGCAGAGTGTAGTTAAATTTAAGTTTTTTTTAAAATTGAAATTATCGCTGTTAACTTTGTTGTACATCATGCCATACTTAATTTGAATAAAACATTATTTCATCTTGTGTTCTTGGCCCTATACCTGAGTCTTTGAGGCATAAGCTTACATCATCAAGGAGTTGCACTAGGCACCACTATACAAACAATGGTGGAAAGGATCTAGTATGTATCTTGTATAACCATTTTCAAACGTAAAAAATAATTAAATAAAACAATTACCTGAAATGTTGCAGCATCAAGATTAGAAACCGCTAAATACAGGAGATTATTTTGTACTATATAAACTATTGAAGGCACACATACTTTCACACAGTCCAACGGTTCATCGATTATATCTTTTTTTACTACACTTAGAAAGTTCCTAAAGCCTCCTTCTTGGACAGTTATGATGACCACACAGGTAAAGAATTTACACATCTCTGACATGACCACAGCTGTCGATGATACAAACATATCACCTGTCCGTGTCCGTGTGTAGCGCATGACCAATATAAGAGCTGCATTTTGTAGAGTTAAAACCAATAGTGACACATACTTTAATGGTAGCCTCTCTGAAAAAAAAAATAACCAGTTAATTAGTAGGTTTTGCTTTAGACAGGGAAACAGCATTTTTTTTTTTTTTAAAGATAACAACTTTTCAATACCTTTTTCAAAGATGCGAACTTTACAATAATTTTTCAAAGATGAGAACTTTACAATGCTTTTTCAGGGATAACAACCTTTTAATACTTTTTCAAAGATAACAACTTTTCAATATCTTTTCTAAGATAACTTTTCAATAATTTTTCAAATATGACAACTTTTTCAAATTCACATATATTAGTAAGCTTATGTTATATGGAAGACCAAACAACTTTTTATTCAGTGTTCTTAATTCTTAGTTCTTAATACATAGTCTTTAATATTTTTTTCTTCATTTGTTGTCGTATTTCGACATTTGTATACTAAAGTAGTAATATCAACATTTGTATCTTAAAATTAACATTCATTTTACAAATCTGACATTTGTCATATCAAATTTGTAAATTGTATCTTTGTTTAATTTAATAGTATTTTAAATTTCTTTTAGAAAATCAAAAAATTACATGAATTATTTTATTTAGTGGTAGAAGGCGACAACAACTCTCGTACGGTGGGTCCGAGGTAGCTGGAGGCTAGTAACAAAAGGATGTCTAAGCTGGGATCTCAGCGATGCACAAGGGGTTCAGGGAGGCGCAGAAATAAGTTTTAGGGGCTACCTATCTACTTATCTAATTATTTTATTTGGTTTGCAGCTCCAAAATGCAATGCAGTTATAAATTTACATACTACTAGGGCAGAAAATAAATGTATGTTGATAATGTATGTTAACAAATAAATGTAAATTGGATCAGTTAGCTACATAAAGTTTATGCTTTTGAAATAAATACACATATTTATCATTCAACAAAAATCTTAAAATGCTTTACCAGCATGTAAGATTTAGATAAGTAATGGTTTAAAATTAGATAATAAATAAAAAATTAATCGAAAATTTCAGTCAAATTACTTAAAGATCACCAAAAAAGCTTCATAATTTTTTAAAATAATGCAAGTTATATTAATGTCAACATATCCTTTCCATAAGTATAACAGGATCCCGAATGTCAATGTTACCTGCCACAGGTAAATTTCAATGTTAGCGATTTCCACTGTTCTCTGCAAGTAGTCGGAACTTTCTGCGAATAAAACAGCTGACGTCATTTTAGTCATTCTGCTCTTAGAAATAAACTAGAATATATGCAGAAAGAAAGTTATGTCACAGTTTGTTTATTGGCAGGAATTTACAACTACTCGCGAAGAACGGCGGAAATCTATCTGTTGAAATGTACCTGTGGCATGTAACATTGACATTCGGGATTGTGTTATACTATGGAAAGGATATGTTGACATAATTCCTTGCATTATTTTAAAAATTTATGAAACTTCTCCGGTGACATTTAATTCTGTGCGAAGTTATGAGTATTTGAAGTTTTGACGTAAATAGTCTTATAATCAAGTACTATTGCTACAATAAAACGATAAAAAACAAAGTCCTTATAAGATAAACACAGCAAGGTAAACAAAACTAAAATTTTACATTATTAATTTAAGAAACAGTCTTAGTCTTACCTAGTTTATTTTTTTCTATAGAGAATATGGGCGAAAAAGGAACATTTATCTCAACAAGTTTCTTCATTGTGTATTACAAACATTACAGTATATGCATACAACATAAAGCACAGTTCTTTCTACAATATTAGTTAAAACTCCTCTATTCTAAATCCAATTATGAAAATATCCATTCAATCAAAATTATAACTATACAAAGAAAATGTCAATTTGTCCTCAAATTAAACCATGAAGAAGAGTAAGATTATATAATTATAATGTGTGTTAAAAGAAGTTTAACCAACTAAAATTACTATGTGATAATTTTGTTAACATTCTTTCCCATGTGAAATTCACTGGTGTTATCAATGTATATGTATTTTACTACCGCTCCTATCATTTTTATGAATAATAAAAGGAAACAAATGCTTAATTACCATTATGTAGTATTGCTGTAAGGCATAACCCTCGAGCTATCATTCTTGCATTTCCATTAAAACAGATTTCATTTTTATAAGATATTTAGCTATCACCATTTGTATTATGCAATATTACCTAACTAAAGTACATACTGTGCATGTTAAATAACTTACAAAAAGGACTGTGATATAATAATAAATATCTTCAATCTTGTAAATAAAAGTGGTGTGATGGACATGATTAACCATCATATTGTTTAAGTTGTTTTCTATTTAAAGGTGCATTATGGAAGATTAGATAAAGAGCTGGCAGTTCTCACTATTATAGTTGAAAACTATTATCTCGATTTATCCATTTTTGCATTTAATCATCAATGAGTGTTGAGCAGCAGATCAAATTCAAATCCAGTGAAAATCGAACACATAAGATGACATCGAGAGTTAAGGTCTTTTCATGTTAATAAATGTATAATTCATAGTTTATTATAACATTTCAGGCCTAAAGAAAGATCTGCAATAGGCAGTTTCAGCTCTTACATAATGTAAGTTTTAAAATCTGGTTACAAGACACAATTATTTAATGAATTATGGAAAAAATAATATTGAGGAAAATAATATTGGGGAAAATTATCTTTTTTGATATCAAATTTAATATGGCACCAGCAGTAAACCATCTGATACTGTGAACTGTAGGTAGGACCTCACTGAACTTGTTGGAAACACATAAATAACACATTAATAATGCCATGACATTGTATAATGTACCGTATTGCAAACAATCTTTCTACTCTTAATTAAATCAAAGTTAGGATAAAACACTGCCTCTGATGTTCATAAAGCATATTATATTATTACTTATTACAACACAATGCAGGCGCTTGCCCATTTATTTAATCTTGCAAGTTCAATCTACTAACTATAGTGCAACATTTCCATCAAATTATGGTAAATTTAAATACGAAAAAAGAGTGTGTCCGAAACAATAGGCTAAGTTTAATTTATCAACAGGGTAATCTCACATGAGAAATCACAAAATATGTTTGCAAATAATTTCACTCAGCAATTATTTCTTCAAACATCACAAGCAAGAGTCATTATTAAGGCTTGTTATTTGGTCTGATTTTTATACGCCCACATTTCAGTGTGGGTGTATTGTCATCGTCATCACCCATGACTATCCGTCCAACAGATTTGTCCAATTTGGTGTGAAGAATGAGAGTACGAAACCTTTTGTTCTGAAGTTACACATTTAATGCAATAGAGGCTACAGTTTTGAACAGATTTATTTTTCAAATTTGTTGTGAAGCACTGGCCATGAGATTGAGAAGATGAGCTTATTTCCAAAAACATTGTTGGAACGATAAGAGGAATGATACAGTAGAACAGATTTCTTTAAAATCTGGTGTGAAGCATTGGGACCTTGAGAGCCTGTGACATTTCGTTCTAGAGTTACAACCTTTTTCTGAAAAACTTTCTAATGCGAGACGACTGTTTTATTTCAAATGTGGTTTAACGTATTGGACTCAATTGGAGTCATGAGAAGACAAACCTTACTGAGCGTTCCTTGACCTTCTGTTAAGGCATTACCCCACCCCGGCCATATTCCGAAAACCTTGTGAACACGATAGAGGCTACTTACAGTTTTTAAACGATTTTTTCAAATTTGATGTGAAGTATTGGAGTCATGGCACAACCTCTCGTTCTGGAATTAAGTTACATGTACCCCCACATCCCCCCCTTTTTTGAAAATCTTGTGAACTGTTAAGGCTATAGTTTTTAATGGAATGTTTTCAACTTTGGTGCTAAGTATTGGGGTCATGAACCCTATTAATAAGCAGCTATCTCCTTTTTCCAAAAACCTGGTGGACGCAACATTAGAATTAGAGGTTACAGTTTGTAACAGATTTTTTTTAAATTTCAGGTGAAGCATTTTTGGTCTTGCGAGTGAGAGGACAAACCCTATAGATCCATTTTCTATGTTCTGTGACCTTTTGGTCCCCCCCCCCTTTCTGTAAACCATGTAAACTTGATACAGGCTAGAGTTTTTAACAGATTGTTTTCAAATTTGGTGTAAAAGCATAATTTGGTGTGAAACTTTGAGATCAGAGTGGATGAAGCTTGTTGATTTTTAGCTTTTAGGATATATTATTATTATTATCCAGAAATGATTGTGGACATATGCCGGTATTATCAAGCTTACAGTTTAAAGCTGCTGTTGCATTTTGGCATGGTATGCGTGTTGGCGCCTTCTTACTGACATCAATAAATACAAAAATATGACTAAGTCGAAAGTCGACAAGACGGTATACAAGCCAAAATGCAAGTCGAAAATAAGAAATTTGGAAAAGATAGATTGCCAGGCAACGAAACATACGCCCACAGCAGCTATATCGCCCGGGCAGTCAACAAGAGTTTTACTTTTTTTCGGTAATGAAACATTTATAATACATTAAAATCTGATTAAGAGTAACAACTCATTAAGTAATTATCAGAAAAATAATTAGAATTTGTTTGGTTTTTATAAAGTTCTTCCCCATACTAACGTGAAGTAAACAAAACATTTAATATGGATTTAGCTGTTCAAGTTATCAAAATTCATTGAAAATCAATATACTTGTTCTGGTTCATCTCAAGACCTTAAACTCTGTATATCAATCTGAAGTCAATCGGATGATAACTTCAGCCTCTAGAGCATCACAAGATTTTTCAAAGTGATCGAGGGCCATAACCCTGGCAGTAATTATCGGAAATCGCTGAAAATCAATAGGCTTCTTTCTCTCATGACCTTAAACACTGTGTATAAATTTAAAGTCAATCGGATATTAACTTTAGCCTCTAGAGCGTTCACAAGATTTTTCAAAGTGATCAAGGGCCATAACTCTGGCAGTAATTATTGGAAATCGCTGAAAATCAATAGGCTTCTTCGTCTCATGACCTTAAACACTGTGTATAAATTTAAAGTCAATCGGATATTAACTTTAGCCTCTAGAGCATCCCCAAGATTTTTCAAAGTGATCAAGGGCTATAACTCTGGTAGTAATTATCGGAAATCGCTGAAAATCAATAGGCTTCTTCGTCTCATGACCTTAAACACTGTGTATAAATTTAAAGTCAATCGGATATTAACTTTGACCTCTAGAGCATCCACAAGATTTTTTGAAGTGATCAAGGCCCATAACTCCAGCAGTAATTATGGAAAATCGCTGAAAATCAATAGGCTTCTTCGTCTCATAACCTTAAACACTGTGTATAAATTTAAAGTCAATCAGATCTTAAAGTAGCTAAGTCTCTAACTCAATATCATCCAAAATCTTCGACATTGAAAACACAAATTATTTGTCGGTTTAAATCAACATTGATGTTGTGATCTTACCGGGAAAAGATGGCCTTCTGATATCCATTATTTAAGACAAAATAAACATTTTACATTAGGTACACTAATCATTTACCATAATGCGTTTCGGCGCCATTTGCCATAAGGGACTCGAAAAACGAGGCTCGGCATATTCCACAAGTCATGTCAAACGGTGACGCTATATTCTTATCTGGAGAGCATGGCCAATAAATACTATCGGGGTAGACTGGAATAACCAGACGCTAGAGATTGAAATTTGATTGAGAACCTAACTGTTTAGAAATTACAGTAAAAACAGAAACGATTAAATGTAAATCAATTTATATACATTCTTATTACATTATTGTATGCGTTGCGACCCATTTGTGTCAATTTCTAAGTCCCAAATATTAGCGACTTAGCTCCTTTAACTTTGACCTCTAGAGCGTCCACAACATGTAAACTTGATACAGGCTAGAGTTTTTAACGGATTGTTTTCAAATTTGGTGTAAAAGCATAATTTGGTGTGAAACTTTGAGATCAGAGTGGATGAAGCTTGTTGGTTTTTAGCTTTTAGGATATATTATTATTATTATCCAGAAATGATTGTGGACATGATAAAGATCAAATTATTTTTTCGGGACATATACCGGTATTATCAAGCTTACAGTTTAAAGCTGCTGTGAGGGCGTATATGCACCCCAAACAATAGGGATGTTTCTTAGGGTACAAAGAATAAGTATGCAAGGTTTCAAGATGATACGTTAAGAAATGCGGTCTGCAGACGACAAACAAACAAACACAAGAAATGGGCATGGTTCCCACCCAGGGGGTCGAGCATGCACCAAAAATAATAGGGATCCCCGGATCATCCTTAGGGTATAAGGAATAAGTATGTAAAGTTTCAAGATGATCACTTAAGAATTGGGGTCTATAGGCGACACACAGACACAGACACACACACACACACACACACACACAGGGGTGACGGCAATAAAGTGCAAATTATGAATGTGGACGTATAAAAAAAGCTTATTAATTCAATATATCAAAAGTCACTTATTACAGGCAAACAAGTGAAAAAAAACCCTTCTTTTACTTGTCACAGTGTAAATTGGTGGGCATGGTGGCTCAGTGGGTTAGGCGCATGCTCACTAGCCAGAAGGTTAAGGGTTCACTCCCAGGGCCAAGAAAGTTCCCTGGGATTTTCCAGCTTGGTTTCCACTCGTCTAGGGCCTGGCTAGAAAAAGTGTTTTAGTTGTTCAGATGTGATGGTCCAAGCTTACATCATGATCAACATGATGCCTGGATGTAAAAGAATGCAGAATTCAAGTGCTGTACAGGCAAAATTTGCCTCATAGCAGCACAGGGTAGGCCTATGATATGAAGGTCTTCATCAGGCCGGTATGTGCAGAAAAGTAGGACAACAAATTTGTGTAATTAAATTAGTAGTAATAGTAGTACTGTAGTCATTGATTGAGTTTTTAGATCTATAGCATTGTGACTGTCTCATCATAAATCTGTTTCTCAATGCAAAAAAAAAGTTAGCACTCACTCTTGGCATAGAGGCCATGGGTGATAAGATTACAATCAGTAGACCTACTAAGTGAAGGAATTGCTGTAGATTCTCACACACTGATACAAACTCTACATTGTTGGATTTGGAATACACCCTGACCTTGAACCTGCAATGCGTGGCTGTAAACAATACCACAATTAAACAAATTTTCATGCCAACGCAACATCTTTTTTTCAATTTTTGTCAATAAAATTCACTATAAACACTACGATTGAAGTGTTACCATTTCTAATGTAAAAGTGGGAAGCCATTTATCTAAATCTAAGTATTACATCTTAAATACTAACCAGGCGGTGTCGTCTTTTGCTGAGGCATCTCTTCTAGTACAACCAAAGTCAAAGGCGAGCTCAAAGCATCTCGCGTTTTTCCAATCGCTGACGTCGTTATCGTCGACATGGTGGTCACACTATTTTGACAGTGCCAGCGGGGAGGAGTGTTGTGATTAATAGGCCTATTATATGGTCTCTCTAAAAAATTGGGAAACTATTATTTTGTATATAATGTGCCTAATAAATGAGTATTTTACCAATAGATTTATCCTAATTTTTACAGAATTGGAACATTGTATTTTTGTTTACTGTTAGAAAATGAAACATTCCCGTTTCGGCACCCTTTATAATCTCGATCTGACCAATAAAGTTGTTTCGTACCGACTTTAGTTCTTGATCTTTTCGTATTTACATGGAAACAAACCGATAAAATATATTGGATTATTTTTTTTAAATTCAACAGCCACTAACTGAATATTTAATTTACGTGTACCCAACACACATTCGACCGTATGAGCCTTATAGTTAGGTAATCTAATAAGTGTGGGGCGAAATATCCTCATTTATACAATTCCCACTTTGAGTCTGGATAATCCTGTGTTTGTAATTTATTTTACGGATTGGATATGGAATAGAAATATAAAACCCTGGGGTCATTGGGTATATGTCCCTTATCCCTTATGATAACCTATTGCTTCTTGATATTTTCAATTAATTATTTAAAGGATAGGGGAATCGAATACATAGTTAGGGGGTATGACTTTCGCAGATGACCGCCGACATGCCTTTAACACACCGACGTCAAAATAATATATAATAGCATAAATACATAGCCTACCCAATAAAATATAAAATAATTATGATCATTGCACAACAAAAATAGATGGTACAATACAATACAGGTAAACATATCACATACATGAAAAATAAAAATGTCATTTTTGCTAACTGACACATTATGCTATTGCCGTAAGTGTTTTATATTTTATTGAAAATGTAGTCCTGTTATTAGGCAACTAAATACATAATTATTATTATGTCGTCGGTGTTGATAAGTAAATTATCAGGGGTCGTCCGACTGTCATCGGTGATCGTGAAAAGTCATACCGGTTGGTTACCGATGCAATAATAATTTTAAGAAAACGGATTTTCCTTATGGTGCCCCAATAATTAATATGTGGTTGTTCAAAAATGTTGTTGCTCTGTTTTGTTCTTCAAATTAAAAAAAAAAAATTATTTTCGACGCGCAATCATGCCAAGTTTAAGGTCAATCTTACATGAATTGGCGGAGCCTTAGGCATTTTTCGAAGCGCGTTGCACCCAAGAAGAACGAGATGAGTAGGGCTTGGTAACAAGTTCCTGATCTATAAATTACGTGGAAAGTATTATTATTTGGTGAACATATATAACGGGAAAACGTCGAAGAAAGAGGGTAAATTCATTTATTCCAGGAACATGGGCGCATATAATTGTGTTTTGTTTGAGCCAAATAATGACCAATACGGACATTCGTACCAACAGTCAGTATACGGGAGAAGTACGTCGATTATTATTTGGCGCACAAATAAATAAATTTATACTAGTGAAATATTGGACTCGCGTGATGTGTTTCACTGTAAAAGAACGTGCGGAGTGTCTGTATTTTAAGTCGTTTAATGGTCTTGAGCTTAAGACATTGCGTAATATATTGTAAAAACACTCGGGCCTACGGCTCTCTTGTTGTTACAATTGTCTCGCTCTCGACCATTAAACAATACATAAACGACTCGCTCTTCATCTGTTTGATAGTTGGTCGGAGTGCATATTCCTAAAGCAACGACTGCGAGTTTTACAACATCTAGACGTTGCTTGCTTACTTCACAATTCCCTAACTTATAGCTATTTCATCTACAGACACGTGAGCAGTAGCGTCCAATCAGAGGTTGTGACATCGCGACCTCCACGGAAAGTTTGACATTGAATGAACTTTGAACTTTGCATCTCGATTATCATAGGTATACATTTTAGCTTGAAAGCGCGAGACTTGGTATTCGCGACGATCGAGGAATCTGATAGGCTCACAAGCTGAGCTTGTACCCAATCGAATTTAGTGCCGAAATATGCAGGGTATTGCGTGAAGGCCTTGATAAGATGTACGTAGTTAAAGCGAGATCAAGCCTTCTATTGAAGATGGTCGGAGTGCTGAAATAAAGGGAGAGAGAGAAATGGGGTTTATTGACCACTCTAAACAAACTAGGTCATTTTGATCGGGACTAACATATGGTTCAATTCTATTTCAATAATGCGCTTGCGCGTGGGGGTCTAGCAGTGGGGGAAAACTGGAGGACCCAGAGAAACCCCACTATAATAGGTTGGACAGGCGACCCTACTCCTTGTCACGTACAACCGGATAATCGATGCTGAGATTGAAAAAAAACATCGAACGTGACATAGTTGGTAAATACTATTTCAAGTATAAGCTAAATAACAATATTTTATTCAAGTTGCACAAAGCGATATGGATTTCATAGATAGCGGTGTTCAGTAAAAGAACATATAGACCAACAGTATAATATAATAGTACACAATATATTTATATTATGTAGTAAGCGATATTAAGCAGCAAAGAATCCTCAGAAAGTTATCAGCACAAATTAAGAAGTTAATTCTAAACAAACTGAAAAAAAAAATCCACACTCGATGTTTGCTTATTACCCAAAAAAAATCTGCGAATCCAAATGTGAAAATACACACACAAATGCACAATTCCTAAATGTACTGCATACACACACAAATTTCAGATTGATCCTATGTCTATATTAAAGAAACTGCAAATCCGATATGAAAAGTCCACACAGAAAGTCCTGCCAGGAACAGAATAGCATGCCGTTCCCAGTATTCCACTTAGAAAACAAACAGTATTGATTGGTTAATCAAATATCTGACTTCATAGGGACAAAAGCCGCCAGTATGACCTGTGACGCGACCTCTCAAAACAAATGGTCAGATTTTCATGTAGTGTAAGGCATCGAAAGTATAAAAAAAACGAAACGAAATATAGACCTGTAGCCTATTTTAATCAGATTGGTTGAAAACCCGAGTTCGTAAGAGCGTCCTTTAAAATATTTATAAATAAAGACCTGTTCAGGATCCTACCTTGCTGCTGACAAATAGGGGATCCTCGCTTAATGCACCACTGCTGTTTGTAAGAGTTAAATAATTCTACCATTGTCTGAAAACTAACTATTTCTGATAACAGCAAATTTCAGCCAGTTCTACGAATAGCTTTTTATTTTAGACCTTTTAACTGTTGGCAATCCAAATCTGATCCGCTGTGGATATCCAGTAGACCAGCTAGATTACTGGATAACCTGGCTATCGCTGTCATGCGCAAATGAAAAGGGGCCATGTGCTATGTTATGGAATGATGACAGAGGACAACAACAACCGGCGAAATATTAATGAATTTCATTGACATTATTTCGCGAACTTTATTCTAATTGACACATACAGAGACTGATTGTTTCCTGTGCATTTTAGTATAAAATAAAAATGGCCTACTGTAGAGAAGAGGGTAGGGTTTGGATGTCTTTATAAATTTGTCTTCTCAGCTGTTGCTGTTCAGCGTGACATTCACTTCATCACTCAGTAGTCACATTAGGATTAGCCCTATTTATTAATACGTGCAGCGTCAATTTCTATTTCTCCTTTAAATAACATCTCCATCTCGAAGAAGTACGGTTAAACAGACATTATGCAAGAGCTAAATCTGCCTATTGCATGTCTTTCATTAGGCCTTCTAAGTTCTATGGTTATATAAATTGTTAATGGGCCATGTCACGTGAACTGGTGCTTGTAATAAAGTGACCCCCCCCCCCTCTCCCCCAAGAATATTAGAAAAAAAATATGTTATAGTAAATACAAATATATGTAAAACTGCAAAGTTATATGACTCTAGCATTAATATTGACTGAGATGTGTCTTAAGGGGGTACCCTTTTTGCAAGTTTTAAAATTCTATTTTATCATGTATGACTATATTTTGGTGTCTTATATTTATAAGTTATAACTTATAGTTAGACAATATTCTTGAAATTATGGTGTTTGTAAAAGAATATTATATAGAATAAGAAATCACTATCAAATTTCACAGAACAAGTACCATCAACTGTGTATGTTTGGCACTTAGGGCACTCCATACACATTTGACAGTACTTATTCTGTAAAATTTGATAGTAAATTTTTAATCAATATATATAATATTCTCTAAGTGACAACTTCTGATATAGTGTAGTAAAATTTCTACACTGTATCGAAATAATGATTTTTTTTTGCACAAGTATCAAAAGTTGACAAAAGCATGGAAAATTCAAGACTTTTAACATGTTAATATATTTACAGTTTTCGCCCATTTGAAAGGATACATTATACATGTGATAAGTGACAACTTCTAATAATATAGTGTTGTAAAATTTCAACACTGTATCGAAATATTGATTTATTTTGCACAAGTATCAATATATTCTGTTGTTATAAGCTGTAGTCGAAATGGAACGTAGGTGAAATTGGAGGGTACCGTTTTCTTCCATACCGACATTAGTAAGGATGATCAAGGCTAGGCCTAAAATTCAATCGCTATTATCTCGGTTCAGAGTGGATCAATTTGACTGAAATTTTAGCAAATTTCCATTACATTATCTAGTTTTTAACTATTATAGTGTGAACTGCCAGCTCTTTATCTAATCTCCCATAATGCCCCTTTAAATAACAGAGAAGTAGTTATATTAACTTATATATACCTTGTGTTTGATTTGTTCTAAATTCGTATTTCCCAAAACACCCCACTATTGTCAACACGAATTACAAAATTCATTTAAACCAAAGACCACCTTTTTGTTATTTTTTTGCAGCTAACTGTGTGAAGTATGTTTATTTAACCACTTCCAGCAAGACAAAGATCCAAGTTGATGGCAGACTTGTAACCACCCCCACCCCCATCATATTTGTCCCACTGCGCTGCCTATGTTGCTTGTCAGCGATGAATTTTTGGAAATCTAGTAAAATGGACAGTAAAAAAAGATTTTGTGTGATAAAATGAACTGGATATATAAGTATAATGTGTTAGCAGTGTAGATAACTGAATATTTTGAGTTTTGTTGTCTGCTGAAAGAAGTGAACTGGATTCGCGTCAAGCTTTCGACTGGTGAAATGTTAAATGTTTCGTCGTCAGAATATCAAAGAGTTGGATTACCCCTGCAAGTGGGAATGGGAACCAGATTTTTGAACCTGGGACATTCCAATTGAGAGTCTGATATGACATCCCCTTACTGCTCGACTACCACTGCCCCATCTTCTGTATATGTGATTAACATGCAATCCGTGTTGAAATTGATGATCTATAGTAACCATAATATAGCATTATTTGTTCACTAGTTACTTTTTATTTTTGTAGGGAAGGATAAAGTAATATTTGCAACAAAGGAAGATCTAGAACAACCTAGTACAGCCTTGATAACAATAGAAGATCCAGATGCAGAACCGGGTACTCTCATTATTATTGATAGACATTGATTGGAGGAAGAAGTAATAGATGGGTGACTGACAGAAAGAGCCAAAACTTATTTAAGGCTCTGTTTTTTTCCCCCTGGCCTTTCGAAGAAAGCAGGGGACTATTAAAATGGGTTCGCCCGTCTGTTAGTTTGTCCGTCTGTCACACATTTTGGGACACAATAACTCTCCTTCTAATTGAGCTAGAATGTTCAAACTTAGTGTAGGTGTTTATTAGGTCAATGCCTTGACGGAGTTCGAGGATGAGCATTTTCTGCTTAGGGTAAACAGAGATAAGCAATTTGATTGGTTGATGCTTTGGGACATGATAACTTTAGCTCTAAGCGATAAGCAATTTGATTGGTCGAGACTTTGGAACACAATAACTCTCATTCTAATTTAGCTAGAATGTTCACACTTGGCGTATATGATTATTAATTAGGTGAATGCCATGATAGAGTTCGATGATGAGAATTTTCTGCTAAGGGTAAGCAGAGACATAAGTAATTTGATTGGTTGATGCTTTGGGACACGATACTTTTAGTTCTAATTAAGTGAGAGTGAGGAAACTTGGTGTATAGTTTTATCACATTAGTATCTTGACTTAAGTTCGATAATGAGAATTTTCTGCTCACGGTAAGAAGAACATTAAGCAATTTGATTGGTCTAGACTTTCAAACACAATAACTCTCACTCTAATTGAGGTAGAATGTTCATTAGGTGAGTGCCTTGATGGAGTTTGGTGATAAGCGTACGGTAAGCAGAGATAAGCAATCTGGTTAATGGTTTGGGGCATGATAACTTTGGTTATAATTAAGTGAGAGTGTTGGAAGCCCGAGTATAGATTCATCATATCATTACCTTGCCTAAGTTCGATAATGAGAATTTTCTGCTTAGGCTAAGGAGCGATAAGCAAATTGATTGGTCAAGACTTTGGAACATAACTCTGCTTTTAATTGAGGTAGAATGGTTAAAATTGATGTAGATGTTCATTAGGTGAATGTCTTGACTGAGTTCAATGATTAAAATTTCAAGCTAAAGCTAAGCAGAGCTAAGCAATTTCATTGGTCGCTGCTTTGGGACAAGATAATCTGAATACATTCTTAAACCTAACCCATAATCCACATACAAACCTAAGAAAAAGTAGTCAGATCAACCACCAGCGCCTAACATTTCGAGCTAAACAATTTCATTGGTCGATGCTTTGGGACAAGATAACTTTGATTCTATCTGATAGAGAGTGATGAAACTTAGTGTATAGCTGATAATCAGTTTGATTGCTCGATACTTTTGGAAAAAATAAATGTGCGATTGATTAATATGTGTCATCTATTTATTTTTGGATTTCGATGGGGGACATCGGCCTCACTGTTGGCTTTTTTGTCTGTGTTCGAACATTCCAAGATAATTAGGGTTTTGAGAATTTTCATATATACAATAGTCAGAACCCCTTTCTGATTGATAAACCTTATATTATATGCATTATACATTGATTGAAAGCTTAATTATTCCCAAACCTTCCTATTCTTTGTAAGTTGTAAGCTGTCAAAGATAATACCACCGTCTATCTATTGATCATACTAGTCGGCATAATTTTGTACCTAGTATGTCTGATGTTGTCACATTAGGTTTTTATACCATCTGACGTAAGCATTTTATGTTTTTGACTTGTTAGAACTGCTAATGGGAATGTCAGATGTACATGGAAGTGGTGGTGGGGATTTAGAACACATGTCCTTCTGGCACAAAACAGGGGCAATTACTTTACTACAAATAATTTTTATGATTTAGGTATTATAAATTTAGTTTCAAGAGGCAATGAAAGGGGCAATAAGCAGTTGGCATATTTATATATTTGAATTGAAAGGGTTAGTGGCTGTTTTGGGGGAGTCAAGAGAGGGTGGGGGACATTGTTATGGATGTGAAACTAAAAATTCCCAAAATCCTGTGAACCTTGAGGGGTTTAACAAAAGTTCTCAAAAAAGAATCTATACTCTTCAAAAAAAGTAGGGGATATTGAAATGCAAATACCTATGCAGGTTGTTATATGATAAATAGTCATGGACACTTGACATGCTTTAAGAGTATATTCACAGACGAAGAACTTATCGCCCCAACAGAACCACTGAGCTGCACGTCCGACACGCAATAGCGCCATACACGTGGGAGGCGGGTGTTCCATTGTCAAATTTGCATAAGATTTACTGTTCAGCGTATCTTTGCTTTAGTGTGTTACGTTTAATTTGCAATGAGATGTCTTCGACATGATGAACGTCTATGTGCTATTGGCATGCTTCAAATAGTTTCTACACAGCAAGCAGTAGCCAACATGCTTAATGTGTGACAGTCTGTGATCAGCAGACTGTGGAACCGGTACCAACAAACACACAATGTTGATGATAGACCTCGTTCGGGTTGTCCTAGAGCCACTACACAAGCCCAGGATCGATACATTCGTACACAGGTCCTGCGAAATCAAGGACAAACGGCCAATCCGCTTTCTGTAAATTTGTACCAAGTTACAGGAATTCGAGTTACACCCCAAACGATTAGAAATCAGCTACATGCAGCCCATTTGCATGCGTGACGACGTCGTGTTGTGCCTCCATTAACTCACCAGCACATGGCAAACAGGCGTCAATGGTGTAGACAGCGTAGAAATTGGGGTAATCGTCGATGGGCACGTGTAATGTTCACCGATAGGCGTGCTCGCGTTTGGAGGCAGGTAAATGAGCATAATGTTAATGTCAGACAGCATGACAGATTCGGGCGTGGGTCTGTTATGGTGTGGGGAGGAATCACCATGACTGGCAGAACGGACATGCATATTGTTCAAGGAAGGGTCACTGGTGTATACTACCGTGACCACATCCTGGCACCGATAGTTCATGTTTCAAGATGGTAATACCCTTGGCCATCACACTCATGTTGTGAATGACTACCTCCAGCGTCACCATATTCCTTGGCCAGCCATGAGTTCTGACCTTTCCCCTATAGATCCGGAGACGTGTTCGTTGACGTGAACGTCAACCGACAACACTGCAAGAATTGGCCGTGGCACTACAAGAGGAGTGGGTCAGATTGCCCCAAATCGTGAATGGACGGTTGAGTAGGAGCATGCCACGACAAATTGCTGAATGTCTGAGGATTGGTGGAGCAATTACTCATTATTAAGACAAAAATCAAAAACGTCCATTTTCACTTTTGACGGTGTATATCTTTGCGAGTGAAATGGGGTCATCGGATAAGCCGCCCATATGAACTCTTTATGTTCATGTGTAGGCAATTGGCCTGTTATTAACACACACTAGTTACCTTTAACCGCAGTTTTGTATTGTTTCTGAATATCCCCAACATTTTGACCATCTCCCGGCCATCAACAGTCAAAAAAAAGGTTTTAACTCTTTCCTAACCATCAAAGAAACAAGACAAATTTTTTAAGTCCCATCTTTGTTGACTGCTTTTAGGAATTGGATCAGTTTCTTTATTCAGCTGTTAGATAGTGATGTTTGCTCTGCATATGACAGGAAATACCTAGTCAATAGTGGACATGGCTCATTTATTTGAGACTTCGTTTAATTTCTGATAAATCATGTCTTTTAATAATTTCTTTCTGCCTTACAGGATTGATATTAGAAAATGGTGATATAAATTGGAATTGTCCGTGTTTAGGTGGAATGGCTAGTGGGCCATGTGGTGTACAGTTTCGCGAAGCGTTCTCTTGTTTTCATTATAGTGAGGCTGACCCAAAAGGATCTGAATGTTATGAAAGTTTTAAGACAATGCAAGACTGTATGATTGGTTATCCAGAGTTGTATCCGTCTAAAGAGGACGCTGAAACTGCAGCTGAAAAATTAGAGAAACAGGATGAATTTTTTAATACAAACAATTCTGAAACTCAGGAGATTGCTGAACAATCTGAAGCCAAGTCTTGATGTGTGTTGAATAAATAACTAGGTAAAAATCAATATAGATAGTATGATATTTATGTGTATGTAGTATGTACCCTAAATCAAAAGACTAAAATTACATAACCGAACATCGTGGAATGTCAAATTTCTATATATTGTAGAAAATGGAATCTATTGTAAAAGTTTAAATATTTTTTGATTAACGAAGCATTATGTAAGAGCTAAACTTCATTTCATTTTTCTAGAACATCAGATACAACACCCACACCATATAACCAAACTTTGTTTATTATTTTAACACTGGTACTATTTTCACTATAATTTTGCTCAGAATAAAGTAATTTGAGTGAAATTTCAATATATTCATTTTTTATGTTCCCACATTTTCATGTGGACGTTTTATGCCGTCGCTGCTGCCGTCCGGACATCCAGACGTCCGTCCATCCCCAATTTGTTTGTGGACACTCTACAGGTCACAATTTTTATCCGATTTTGATGAAACTGGATATATAGGTTTATCTACCAAAGATCTCGGTTCTTTTCGATATTGGCATGTATCGAACCATAACTTCATGGATTATGGCCCCTGATTGTACGAAAAATCGGCTTTTGAGCTTGTGGACACTCTAGAGGTCACAATTTTCGTGAGATTTTGATGAAACTTGAAACGTATGTTTATAACCAAAAGGTCTTGGTTCCTTTCGATATTTGCGCATATCAGATCGTAACTTCCTGAAATATGACCCCCTGATCGTATGAAAAATCACTTTTTTAGCCTGTGGTCCCTTAAAAGGAAAACGTTCGAATATATCACCGTTACACCATAATGTCAGTTGAGTTAGAATTTCGAGAAAATCGGACCAAACTGCCGGACAAAATGGCCGCCCCACGAGCGCAATTAGTGTAAACATATGGTATATCAAGGTGACAATTTTTATCCGATTTTGATGATACTTGAAATACATATTTATAACCCAAAGATTTTGGTTCCTGTCGATATTCGCCTATATCAGATCGTAAGTTCCTGAATTATGGTCCCTGATTGTACGAAAAATTGCGTTTTTAGATTGTGATCCTTCTAGAGGTCACAATTATTATCTGATTTAAAAAAACGTTTGAATATGTCAATGTTACACCGTAATGTCGGTTGAGTTAGAATTTTGTAAAAATCGGACAGTAACTGCCCGTCAAAATGGCTGCTCCTTGAACACAAATTGTGTAAAAGTATGTAATACCATGGTTGAAGACCTGATATGGTCCCGGATTGTACGAAAAATAGTGTTTTTTAGCTTGTGGATTCTTTAGAGGTCACAATTTTTTATCCAATTTTAAAAAACGTTTAAATATATCACCATTTCACCAAAATGAAGGTTGAAGTCGAATTGTGTAAAAGTATGTAATACGAAGGTTGTGGACCCTCTAGAGGTCACAATTGTTATCTGTTGTTGATGAAACTTAAAATGTATGTGTATGTCCAAAAGACATCAGTACCTTTCGATATCTGCGCACTTCAGACCATAGATTATGGCCCCTGATTGTACAAGAAATCGCTTTTGTTTTTAGCTTGTTCTCTATCCATCTCTTGCAAAATGTGGGCAGATCTATTTTTGAACTATTGTAGTAAGAACGGCCAACTATTGATCTAAATCTTACATAATGCATCTTTAATGTTGTATAAATATTTCTAAGGGTATGTTGTAAGATATCTGGTATAGTTCACAGGTAATTGATTACATACAGAATTCTGTAAATGATATAATGCTGGCATGTTGTAAAAGACCATTTCATTTCAAAATCCACTTTTATTTACTCTGTTGGAATTTATTTGTTGGACAATGTGGGTTTTTTTTATCTGTCATTGGGACATTCGGCAGTTGTTTTGATACCAATGATTGGCATATCTTGATTAGGAACAGTGGATCATAATTTAAGTATTGCCGTTGTGTCTCTTAAACTATGATATTTATACTTTGAAGAGAAAATAATAATATATATATCTATTATAGTGTTAGAGTTTTATGATAATATCATCCAAATTATATGTCAGTCACAAATAGCTTAGAATTTCCAAACATCAATCCAAAAAGTATTTTCTCTCTCCGGTTTCTTTAGTTACCTGGGCCCTTATTCATGAAAACTTAAACTAAGTTACAACCGAAATTTTAAGAAATACTGCAACTTCATTGGATATATGCAAATTGATTTTACTGGTCAGCCAATCGAATTGCAGTATTTCTTAAAATTTCGATTGTATCTTAGTTTAAGTTTTCGTGAATAAGAGCCCAGCTACATATTTTATGAACTCCAGAAACGATTTGAAATAAAGAAAAATTTGTGATTTTATGACAAAATTTTTTGTTCTGGTAGATATGAAAATCAAACATCATCATATAATCAATCATATGTACAATGTACCTGTTTTATAGTTATTCCAAGATTAGGGGATTGCATTAAAGTAGATAGACTTTAATTAGGCTTGTTAAATTGTGTTTTATGCAATGTACATGTTTTATAGATTTTGTATTGGAGGTATTAAAATGAAAGAGATATTTATAGTTAGTCTGATTAATAGAAATTGTGATTGTGTGTATGAAAATTAGATTTCAATTAATTACATAATTCCATAAACTCATATCAACTGTAGTGTTATAAAATTGTTAGTTATATGCAGTAAGTGTGATTGAATGTGGCAATAAAAATTGTTTATTTAAATTTCTTGTTGCTAATATGATTTATTTGCCCTCCTGAAAGAGTATAACCCTGTTTACATTAAAAATTTTAAGCACAGCACGTTTAATTTTATTTTGTAGTGTAAATGGGTCAAACATAAGCGTCCCAATTTGGCCCACTGAAGTGAGGTCTCAGAATGGTGCCAGTACGGATTACTGTGCATGCGCCAAGTGAACCTTGACCTATTTTCCCTGCAAACTTTGACTTCTGTCATCAGTTATGTTAAAATGGCTGCTCAAACTAAATCACCACCACAATTGTTTTCATCGGGGTAAATTGCATAGTGACTGTAATTAATTTTTTTGTAAGGAGTTCCACATTAGGCATGCCTGGCATGGTTCCGAAACCATTTATTTTAGGGTAATGTAAACGGGTCAATTTCTTGAAATTTATCGCTGCCTGGTAGCGTGTGCCGTTCTCTTATTGCTGCCAAGTGTAAACAGGGCTTACGGCTCAGTGATTATGGCACTGACTAGAAGGGACAAGTTTCGATCCCTGTGGTGGCTGAAAGAGTTCATGGTGCAGGACAGGACAGAGGGTCTGGCAAGGAAAGTGTCTAGTTGTTGAGATGGGACAGAAAAAACCTGTACTCTTGTAAAGGAACCCTTGACAGAATTTAGATTTGTCATTCTGTTTCATTGCATCAATTCAAAAGCTTTCTATTAACTCTGTACTATTTCTTTACGGTCACATCCAGTATAGTTCTACTTGTTATGTCAAATATTGTTGTTGAACATGTGGGTTGTTTTTATGAGACCTAGTAATACAAGCCAGTCCAGGCAGAATTGGCATATTAAGTCATTTTTTTTATCCAGATATACTTCAAACTGCGTTATTTACTTTTCTAATGATTTAAAAAATGGGTTTAAAAGTAAATTTTCTGAAGAAAATATTTAATATTGGAGCTAACCGATATTGCCAGCTAAGCGAATATACAGCTGACCAGTTTGCAGATGGTTATGTTGATACGAAATGTGGTCTGCATCCAAATATTGGAATTGTTGTTGCCTCCCTTTTGCCATGAGGACGACAAAAAAAAAAAATCATAGCAAAAATCTTAATTTCTGTCATTGTAAAATGGGAAGGTAGTTTAATATTATAAATTCCCTATCATTTCAGATTCCAAGTTCATTATTTAATCATATTCATGAATGCATTTCGGTATAGTTCACGATCCGTAATTTTAATTAACAATAGTGGTAGTTATCTCCCTTGTACCAACTTTATATTTTGCACTATATTTTATAAAGAAGATATTTATTGCCAATTGCAGGTCTTGGAAGTCAAAGTATTTGTTATGCCACTACCACCAGCATTAGCAGCTCGGCTTGCTAAAAGAGGAATAGTAAAAGATACACCTAAACCACCCCCACCACCTTTTAAAGAGGCTAAAAAAAATGGCAAGTAGCTACAAATCTACAATTTAGACTAGTACTAGTAGGCCTACAATAAATTGGGAATATTAACTTACATTAACGTGCAACAACCATAACCTTTTCAAATGATTAATCAGTACCGGATAGACAATGGGGCCTAGTGGGGCAAGAGCCCTCGCAACACCCAACAGTGGTGTCTGAACCATCGTAAATTTTAAACGGATTTCTTTGATTATGAACAAACTACTTACCGTAACTTTAGTTATTATAAACTTACCTACCTGTGTGTTTGAAATCACCTCCCGTTAAATAAAATCCATTATCTCAATGAATAAAAAAGTTCTCTTGAAAAATTGAATTCCCACAAACTTTTGTCATCGAAAAATACCTAAATAGTCATAGAAGTTGATTACGTTATTCTTCGGGAGAGATCATTTCATATAAAAGGGTTAGACTTACAGCATGTCACAGTTTGCGGTACTTTTATGACAATTCAAATCTTATCTTAGTTTTGTATAAGAATAAGCTTTAAGTCTCGGCTTGGTATTGAGTTTGGGCGTTCACACACATAACTGCCCGTATTCCTTTATTTTGTTAGTACCGGTACCATCTTTTACATTCTAGTAAAATCTCTGCAAAGTTTATAGGTCTACCTTTTGTTTTACTTTTAGTCATACTGATTAGAGAGTTGAATGGATGAAGTTTCTTTTAAACACAAATGCGGCACAAAAACAATGACATTCTTTCACAGGCCTTAAATTTGACCCTTGAATATCTTTAATAATGATACATGTATAGCATGATACATAACGTATTATGTAAAGACTATTTGCAATTATGAGTGGTGGTGCGATATAAGTATTATTTACAATAAATTAAAAGATAATTGATGATAAAGAGTATATTAACATTATGATCAAACAAATATTGCACCATATCACAGTACGGTCAATTTTTCGAATCTAGAACTGATGGTGCGCTTCTTAAGAGGTCTTACAGCTTTTTTAGCATTATAAACCCACCCAAAAGGCACTTTCAGGGCTACCTCAACAAGCTTATAGATGTTATTGAAACGTTTATTATTGGATTGAAAGAATGATATCAAATTGACAATACACTTGGAAATGTCTTTAGTTGATATTTTTTCGTTGACCAAACTCAAACGATCGAAATGATTGCGCTTTGGTTTGATCGCAACAAGTGGTTTTCAAAATCTCTGTCAAAGTGTTAAACCACCCCCTCAACAGCTTCACTGGTTTCGTCCAGTGGTCAAATTTTTCAAGGGAAATTTTTTTGTTCGTTGGAATATTTAATTGTACAATGGATTTTATTTAATGGGGGGTGATTTCAAACACACAGGTAAGTTTATAACAACCAAAGTTAAGTAGTTTGTTCATAATCGAAGAAATCTGTTTAAAATGTATAATGGTTCAGATAGTAGGAGTTTCGAACAAGTCTGACTCAAAGCGATCAATCCAGATCATGTTTCCCCCCTTGTACCAGACTTTCACTATCAGGTGAAGTCGAGAGGTCCTCCCAATTAGACTAAGTTACTACAACAAGCCACCCGGAAAACATACCTTACCCATGCCAACAATAGTGTAACTGAATACTATCATTCATCAGTAAGGTATCTTTAAGACGATTTATCACAACAAACCGACCACGTTTGTTCCAGTTTCTGTACATAAATACTATTTCAGTATTTTCTAGTAAGTCAAGTTTAAAATAAAATATAGCTGCCAAAATTGGCCAAAAAGGATACTGCATCATTATATTTCACACGCATCTTATTCCACTCATAGAATTAGTTGGTTTCTAGATTTACAGATATTAAATCTCACACATGGTCTATAATTTAATGTTTAATGTAAATTGATTAGTAGATCAGTATTCAAATCAGTTTAATATAACAATTATTTCTAAATTGTTTTTTTAAAAATTATTGTAGATGATGAAGAAGTATTTGCTGAAGATTATGATGACATGCGAAAATCAGACCACCCCCAAATTCCAGAACAATATACAATACCCGAACCTGTAGCAAAACCTATTATACAGGTAGAAGAAGAGGAAGAAGACTATGATCCTAACGAACCAATCATTACAGAAGTCATAAACTGTCCATTTAAAATTAACCCTTATCATGAATGTACCGATTATTGCAAAAATACATATGGACTTAAACCGTTTGAACCAGAATCTAAAATGTTAAAATTACGAGAACGAATGTTACGGAAATATCCATTACCAGATAATTGGCGAGAAGTAGCTGATCCACTTTCGTATGTTATATTTTATTTATTTCTTGTTTTCTGCAGATTTGTATCTCAAATTTAATATGCATGTACATTTGTATACTGGTATTGTCGTCAGATTGTCAGTTATCTAGCAGTCCAATCGTCCGTCCATAATATTGTGTGAACACTCTGCAGATCTGAGTTTTTGCCTGAGTTTTTTCAAAATTGACCGAAACTATAGTGTGTGTGGTCAAAGCTAAAAAAAAAATGTTTAGACTTTATGTTAAGACTTATGGGTTTATCTCCCAAAGATCTCGATTCCTTTTAATATTGGCAGGTATTGGACTGTAACTTCAGGGATTATGGCCCCTGATTGTACGAAAAATCACGTTCTTAGCTTGTGAACCCACTAAAGGTCACATGTTTTTATATCCCAAAGATCTTGGTTCCTTTCGATATTCCACATAACGGACTGTAACTTCCTGGATTATGGCCCCTAATTGTACGAAAAAATCACGATTTTAGCTTGTGGACCTACTAGGGGTAACAATTTTTTATCGGATTTTAAAAATCTTTAAAATATATCATCGTTACACCCTGATGATGGTTAAGTTTGAATTTCGTAAAAAATAAAACCCAAACTGCCTGATAGAATGGCCGCTACATGTACTTGTACGTAAATAGTGTTAATGTATATAATATCTAGAGGTCCCAATTTTGATCCGATTTTAATGAAACTTAAAACATGTATTTATATCCCAAAGATCTTGGTTCCTTTCGATATTTGCGCATATCGGACTGTAACTTCCTGTATTATGGCCTTTGATTGTACGAAAAAATCGCCGTTTTTTTTTTTATCTTATTATCTATCCATCTCTTGGATGTAGTATACATGTATTTTTTAAAAGGAATTTATTTTTGTCTCAGAAATCGTTATTATTATTGGAATATGATGTCAGATCAAGTTTGTTGGTTGTCACCATTACATCCTAGAGCTACTGTTACATTACCAGCTGAAAGATTAAAAGGTAAGCTTAACATAAAATATTGAAAGATCATTTGGAAAATGAATGTCAGTTTGTCCAGAATGTCCAGAATTGAAAATTTGTCATCATCCATCGTCTAGAAACGATGAAAATGGGATGGTAAAAATAATCCATATATTTTAAAACTTTATAATCCAAGATGTAGTTCTCAATAAGAACATAATCAAGTATCTTGGCTTTAATTCACAGGTCATAATTTTTATCCGATTTAAAAAAATGTATTATTATATCACCGATACACCATAAGGACGACTAAGTTTGAATTTCGTGAAAATCATCCCAAAACTGACAGACAAAATGGCCACCCCTCGTTCTCAAATTGCGTAAAAATATGGTATATTAAGGTTGTGGACCCTATAGAGGTCACTATTTTTATCCGATTTTGTTGAAACTTGAAATATAAGTTTATAACTCAAAAATCTTGGTTCCTTTCGATATTTGCGCATATGGAATTGTAATTTCCTGAATTATGGCCCTTGATTGTGGGAAAAATCACTTTCGTTTTAGCTTGTTTTCTATCCATCTCTCGAAAATGTGGGCGAATCCTGCCTGGCAGCCGCTGGTTGAATTAAAAATTATTAAATGGGAATTGTATTTCAATCCATTAAAAATTACAACCATCCTATTCCTATGTTCTAGATAGTTGAATACTGGCTTGTTATGTGAATACATGTCCAATTAATAATTTATATAACATTTGAGGTCAAAAGAAAGACCTGCAGTAGGCAAATTTAGCTCTTACATAATGCATCTTTAAGTTTAAAGAATACTGTTTTTATTACATCACTTTTGATATCTTTCACATACAGAAGTTTGAGACAAAAAATCAGTGTACAAATCTTTTAATGAAATAGCTTCTCAAACCAGAAATAAATAAATACACACCAAAACAAAAGTATTGTAATTTTCTTTTTGACAACACAGATATGCAGAATAATGTCACATGATTAATATGGTCTGATGGATTATAAAATTATGTTACCAAAAAAAAAAAATTTTTTCTAATGACTGAAGATTTTCATAGAATCAATTTTAAACTTTGTACCTACATTTAAAATTATCAATATCATTAAATTGAATAATCAATACTTTTCGGTGTAATAGAAGTCTGGGTCAATTGACATCTTGAAATAAGACCGCTTTTCCAAGATCCTATATTTGTCCAGAGGACATAGACAAGATAATTCTTGATATTTGCTAGGCTTACAGGTTTTCATTACAGTAATCAAATGTTTAAGAAGAAAAATGATTGATTGTTTTTTAGGTTTATTAGATGACAAAGATAATTTATCTGACCAGGAAGATGATGAGAAAATGGAAGAAGGAAGTGATTTGGTAGGTTTCATTTCATAGAAATACTTCTAGTTCAAAGGATTCAATGTATGTTGTTGCACGAACATGTGCTTGATGACTAATTGATTCAATCTTGTACCCAGGTGACCTAGCTACATCCACTAAATGCCAAATTTGTGAAATGATGTATGGTTTAGTTAATTATTAGTATTATAGTGAAATAGTGTGGCTCAGTGGATATGTTGCTGTTTGCCACCAGTCAGATTAATAGAATAAAAATATATGTTCTGAAATGATCAAGATGTGTTGAGGCACGTTTTTTAATCCCATTTTATACTACATTAATATTGCCATCGCCCCCGTCAGTGTGTATGTATGTGTCTGTGTGTCACCTACATGCCGCAATTCCTAACTGATCGTCTTGAAACTTTACATACTTATTCCTTATACCCTAAGGATGATCCCTATTGTTTTTGGTGCATGCTGTCTCCCCCCCCCCCCTCCAGGCGCAGAGAAACGGCCATTTCTTGTATTTGTTTGTTTGTCATCTACAGACCGCATTTCTTAACGTATCATCTTGAAACTTTGCATACTTATTCCTTAAACCCTAAGGAACATCCCTATTGTTTGTGGTACATGTCCAACCCCCAGGGGCAGAGCCACGCCCATTTTCTTTCTGTGTGTCGCCTACAGGCCGCAATTCTTAATCGATCATCTTGAAAACTTTTCATACTTATTCCTTATACCCTAATGATGGCCTCTATTATATTTGGTGCTTGTCCGACCCCCTGGGACAGAGCCACACCCGATTTTTGTGTGTGTCTTGTATTTTGCCTACAGGTGGCAATTCTTAAGAGATCCTGAGAGCCATGGTGGCTAAGTGGGTAAGACGCTGGCAAGCTAGCCTGGAGATCGCGTGTTCGATCCCGGAATTGGACCAGAAAGTTCATCAGGAATTTCTGATTTGGTTTCCCCTTGTCACTTGGTGCAGGACGGAGGGCCCGACAAGGACAGCTGTCTAGTCATTCGGATGAGACGAAAAACTGAGGGACCGTGTATTCCTTGACGTACAAATAAAAGATCCCTTGGCAGTTGGATATAAGAGTAGGGCATAGTGCCGCTGCCCGGGCAAGATTTCCCTCTTCACTGCATGGCGTACATGTATGCCCATCTTCATTAGCCCATTCGGAGTAGAACTTGGAACTTGGTATAAGTATTCCTTATAGTCTAAGGATGGCAACTATTGATTTGGTGCATGTCCCGACTCCTAGGGACAGAGCCATGCCCAATTTTTGTGTTTATCATATACTGTCCGCAATTCTGAATGGATAATCTTCAAACTTTGCATAATGTATTCTTTATAGCCCAAGGGCGGCAACTATTGATGTTGGTGCATGTCCTGGATTTATCTTGGAACTTGGAACTTGATTTTGGTGCATGATCCGCTCCCCTTGGGTGGTGCCACACCCACTTTTTGTTAATAGTTGTTAAGCTCATAACTTTTTATTGTCTAGCAAACTAGAATTCTCATTCTAACCTTCCCATCAAATGGATGACACAGAAATTGGGCCAGACATTGTCCTATCTTTAAAAAAGATTCAAGAAGTGTTTGAATAGTACATGAATTTTCAGTTGTGGTTGGTTTTTACTTTTAGAGTGATGACGACAGTATGTCTGGCTCTGATTCAGAAGAAGATGTAATAATGCCTGATAAAAATAATAAAAAGAAATCACAAGATTATGGAGGAAGACAAAACAGAGATGATGATCGGGGTAGAGGAAGAGGCAGGAGGGGCGGTTCGTGAAATACAATATGATTTATTATTTTATAAATAAAGTCACATTTATTCGTCACCTTAGGGGATCTTCGAATGGATCAAGGAAGTTGTGATGATTTTCGGTACAATTTAGGGAAGCAAATTAGATTTTTATATACCTACATGTACTTACTATTTATATTACATCCATTACACTCACAGAATCATGTTGATAATCATCACTTCTCTCAAACATGAGATTGCACGCAGCTAAAACCTGTGTTAACCATGTGAAATAAAACTTATTAGTATTTATATGATTTACTCTGTAATAAATAAAGTTCAGCAGTGTTTAGTTATTCACCAATCTCCATCAATTTAGCAGTCAAGGTGTCTATCTCGGGATACTTTTGCTACTCCACTACGAGCTTACAGGATGTACTGACTGACAACTTGTAATCCTTGTATGTTATATTGAATGTTATTTACATGTCATCCAGCGACGTAAAGTTGTAATCACAACCACTATTAAACACACTATTACAAGAATGGAAGATTTAGGCCCATTGACCACTTTTATTTTTTATATGCCCACATTTTCATGTGGACGTAGTATGCAGTCGCCCCTGTCCGACCGGATGTCTGTCCGTACACAATTTGTTTGTGGACGCTCTACACGTCACAATTTTTATCCGATTTTGATGAAACTTAAAATCTCCTAAAGATCTCGGTTCCTTTCGATATCGCCATATATCGGACCATAACTTCATGGATTATGTCCCCTGATTGTACAAAAAATCACGTTTTTAGCTTGTGGACACTCTAGAGGTCCCAATTTTCACCCGATTTTGATGAAACTTAAAAAACATGTTTATAACCCAAAGATCTTGGTTCCTTTTGATATCTGCGCATATCAGATCATAACTTCCTGAATTATGGCCCCTGATTGTACGAAAAATCACATTTTTAGCTTGTGGTCCCTCTAGAGGTCACAATTATTATCTGATTTAAAAAAGGGTTCAAATATATCACCGTTACACCAGAATGTTAGTTGAGTTCAAATTTCGTGAAAATCGTACTAAAACTGCCGGACAAAATAACTGCTCTTCTACGCAAACAGTGTAAAAATATGGTATATCAAGGTTGTGGACCCTCTAAAAGGTCCCAATTTTGTTCCAATTTTGATGAAACTTGAAATACATGTTTATATCCCAAAGATCTTGGTTCTTGTCAATATTCGCGCATATCAGATTATAACTTCCTTAATTATGGTCCCTGATTGTACGAAAAATGGACGCTCTTTGTACTCAAATTGTGTAAAAGTATGTAATATGAAGGTTGTGGACCCTCTAGAGGTCACAATTTTTATCTGATTTTGATGAAACTTAAAAACATATCTTTATATTCCAAAGATCTCAGTCCCTTTTGATTTTTGCACATTTCAGACCATAACTTCCTGGATTATTGCCCCTGATTGTACAGAAAATCGTGTTTGTTTTTAGCTTGTTCTCTATCCATCTCTTGCAAAATGTGAGCATATGATTTATGGGTTTTATTTTTAGGAAGAAAACAAAGAGATGAACTTGATCCTATGGACCCTGCATCCTATTCGGAAGCCCCTAGGTAAGTTAATGATCATTCGAACTTTTTCAAATATAGAGACAGAAATGGTAGGTTACTGTCCTGAAAATTTGGCTTGTGTGGTCTAAAGCAGGGCAGAAAAGAACATAACACTTGATTAGATGTTGGGAAATGCCATGCTATTAGTAAGTTCAGTAGGACCGCACTACATGCAAACAAAACAGATAACACACAAAACAACATTTATAAAATCAAGTGAATGGATCCAGGGGCCATCCGAAAGCATCCACTGTGCTGTATAGTCCCAGGCCTATAATGATACAGACTTCACTCAAAACGAAACACAAAACAATTATTTACATGAAAGATAATGCGACCGATCTTGACGGTGGTTGTATCCTAAATGGTGTTTCCTGATGGCGATAGTCTGCCAGTCGATATTATTATTAGAAAGAATGTAAAAAATTAAAGATGCATTATATAAGAGCTAAATCTGCCTATTGCATGTCTTTTTATACGCCCACATTTTCATGTGGACGTATATTGTCGTCGCCCCTGTCATTAGTGGACGTGAGGACGTCCGTTCGTCCACAATTTGTTTGTGGACACTCTACAGGTCACAATTCTTATCCGATTTTGACGATACTTGAAATATAGGTTTATCTCCAAAAGATCTCAGCTGCTTTGGATATCGGCATGTATCGGATCAAAACTTCATGGATTATGGCTCCTGTTTGTACGAAAAATCACGTTTTTAGCTTGTGGACCCTATAGAGGTCACAATTTTTATCCGATTTAAAAAAACGTATTATTATATCACCGTTACACCCTAAGGACGACCTATAGAGGTCACAATTTTTATCCGATTTTGTTGAAACTTGAAATGTATGTTTATAACACAAAGATCTCGGTTTCTTTTGATAATTGCGCATATCGAATTGTAATTTCCTAAATTATGGCCCTTGATTGTAGAAAAAATCACTTTCTTTTTAGCTTGTTCTCTATCCATCCCTCGAAAATGTGGGCGTATCCTGCCTGGCAGCCGCTGGTTTATGGCTTCAAATGTTCTATAAATTATTATTTAGACATTTATTCACATTACAAACCATCAAATTTAACGATAAAATGGATAATGGGTTGTCAAGTACCGTTGCTACAATAATGAATGACCTATGCTACATTTTCGCCTGAAGTAAAGTAATTTGAATGAAATTTTCAATATACTGGTATATAGTTTTCATTATCTATTTTTGAACTATTATAGCAAGAAATGCCAGGTCTTTATCTAAATCTTACATAATGCTTCTTTAACAAATATAAGGGCGATAATCTGGATAGAATTTCGGAAAACGCTGAAAATTAATAAAAAAAAACTGTCATGAGCTAACAGAGTTCTGACTAACTGAAATAAGGGTAGAAGTTTTATATCACAGTTTTATTTCTGGACTTTTTGAAATACACCATAGTTATGTTATATTATTAAATTTTGAAACCTAATTAATTTCTTCTTCTCATCGGATATATTTAATGAAAAATTATATGTATAAATAACTATCAACAAGGCTGATGTTACAAGTACATGTATGGATTCCTTAATCATAAAAGTATAATCTTTGCTCAGTGTAACAACATTATGGCCTCGACCTAATATTGGTTTCAATTTCGTAAACAAGTTTTGTTAGATATAGGACAACATGTAATACTGCGGAAATAGAGGATAGATGTATATTATTTATGTATTAAAATCACCCATAGGTTAACAAAATGCAGACTGGCTAGCACTGCCATTTCCTTTTTTTTTATCAACAACACACCATATCTTCTTTTGTTTGTGAAACTACACAATGGAATGTAGCAACGCTGATATAATGTATTTAGTTGATCAAATTAGTACTTGGTTAAGAAATTAGTACTTTGGTCAGTCTCTGACGTAAGGAAATTAGGGGTGTTCGCATCTTTTAAAGAGAGAGAGCGAGGCTGTGATTCAGGAGAGCTCAGCTCACTCAGACTGTCGTACCAGATCATTCGACACTTGTAGAGGGACAGTATGTAGCGTTTTCAGAAGTTATCGGCTCAAACATTTTATTTTGAGTTATTATTATCCGCCACCAAACAAAGTGTGCCAACACCCAGTGGGGGTGATAGTATAACCATGTAGCTTAATTAGGATGCCTGATACCATACTAGTATTTGATTTTTGATTACCAATATATCACAGGGATTGTCTTTCTGTTGACCTTCTAAAACATGTCCAGAGGCACAGGATATTGATGACTTGAGTTTTCTTGTTAAAACTGTTACTTATGCTTCAGATTTCCTGAGTAAATATTGACTGTAGAAATGAAACCTTATCAAAACGTGTATTTTATTAATAGGTCATCATGATCTACAGTATGATTGTTTGTACATGTAGCACTTCAAATACAGTACTTTAGATAGAAAATACAATGTGTTTTTTTCTTGGCACAGACAAATTACATTTGTATTTTTTCTCTACTTTTTATTTTAAAATCCTTCAAATGTTCATTGATTAGTTAAAGTAACATTTATGACACATTCATTAATCTCATATTTGGTTAATTGTCCACCGCCTTTGATTGGTTGATGCTTTGGGACAAAATAACTTTAGTTCTAATTAAGTGAGAGTGATGAAATTTGGTGTATAAATTTATTACATCAATGGCTTCAAGACTAAGTTCGATAATGAGCATTTTCTGCTCAGGGTAAGCAGAGCGATAAGCAATTTGATTGGTTGAGACTTTGGAACACAATAATTGAGGTAGAATGTTCAAACTTGGTGTAGTTATTCATTAGGTCAATGCCTTGATGGAAATCGATGTTAAACATTGTATGCTTACAGTAAGCATAGATAAGCAATCTGATTGGTTGATACTTTGGGGCACAATAACTTTGGTTATAATTAAGTGAGAGTGATGAAACACGGAGCATAGATTCATTTTATCATTACCTTGACTAAGTTCGATGATGAGAATTTTCTGCTTAGGCTAAGTAGCGATAAGCAATTTGATGGGTCAAGACTTTGGAACATAACAACTCTGCTTTTAATTTTAGTACAATGTAGAATGTTTAAACTTGATATAGATGTTCATTATTGAGTTCAATGATTAACATTTCGTGCTAAAGCTAAGCAGAGCTAAACAATTTCATTGGACGGTGCTTTGGGACAAGATAACTTTGATTCTATCTTGATAGAGGGTGATGAAACTTAGTGTATAGTTGATAATCAGTTTGATTGCTTGATACTTTTAAAAAAAATAAATGTGCGATTAATTAATGTGTCATCTATTTATTTTGGGATTTTGGCGGGGGACATCAGCCTTACCATTGGCTTGTTTTAATTGCAGAAATGGAGAATTTGTCTGGCAAGAGATATATCAAAGTCTGTTGCAACCTACACCTCTTTGCTGCTGTCTGATTAGTAATAAAGATATTAAAAAAATCATAAATAATTATATTGAAATTACTGCCTTTTGTAATTACTGGAGATTGAGTGATCCTGTCCAGATATATGACAGTACTCTTAAATTAAATCATACGTTTATTACATTTTTTTATACGACCATATTTTTATGTGCACGTATTATGCCATCACCCCTGTCTGTCTGTCCGGACGTCCGTCCACAATTTGTTTGTGGACACTGTACAGGTCACAGTTTTTATCCGATTTTGATGAAACTTGAAATATAGGTCTATCTCCCAAAGATCTCGGTTCCTTTCAATATTGGCATGTTTCCGACCATAACTTCATGGATTATGGCCCACTCTAGAGGTCACAATTATCACCCGATTTTGATGAAACTTGAAATGCATGTTTATAACCCAAAGATCTTGGTTCCTTTCGATATTCACACATATTGGATCGTAACTTCCTGAATTATGGCCCCTGATGAGACAAAGAATCCTATTCATTTTCAACAATTTCCAATAATTACAGCCAGAATTAAGGCCCTTGATTACTTTGAAAAATCTTGTGGACGCTCTAGAGGCTAAAGTTATTATATTGTTTAAATTCACGAGACAAAAAATCGAAACAAATTCTAATGATTTCTGATAATTACTTCATGGGTTATTATGTGTAATCAGATTTTCATGTGTTGTAAATGTTCTCATTACTGACAAAAGAAAAAATATGTGACAAGACTTATTGACTGCCCGGACAACTTAGCTGCTGTGGGCGTATGTTTCATTGCCTGGCAACCTATCTTTAACCTAAATTATAATAATTTTTTGTTTAAATTGTATTTTCAGGGGTACTTGGAGTAGTGGTTTGGATCAAAGAGGATCAGCTAAAACAGGTGTGGATGCCACAGCTTCGGGTCCACTATTTCAACAAAGACCGTATCCTAGTCCTGGTGCTGTATTACGTGCTAATAGACAGATGGAGGATGATAAATAACTGAACATACCTGAATCAAGGAACAATATTCCTGTACATGATCATACATGCAGGAAAATAACAATAAAGCTACCTGTGAACTGTTAGTTAATGGATATTCTCTGCTGTGAATTATCTGTATGTTGAAAGCATCACTTATTTAATGAGACATCTTAATATAAAATGTATGTGAAGATTCTTTGTGGTTTCAGTCAGTGCAGAAAAGTAGAACCTTAAACCCCATTTCATTTCTTTGATGCTTCGATCATCATTGACCATTTGTAAATTTTTCATGTTACCAGATTTTATAGATCTTCAAGTTTGATCTATGGGGAATATCATCAAACATTTTCATAGATTGTAATTACATATACCATATTCTATCACAATAAACAAATAGGTCAAATACTTTACTTGTATGTTGAAACCACATATTGTTTAACACATCTTTTTTTATAGGATTCCTTTTACCAACTGGCACATTACGGAAAAATATTAGATTGTGTGACAGTTTCTACATATCATTCAAATACAGGCAATCTTTTTTTATACATCCACATTTTCATGTGGACGTATATTGTCGTCGCCCCTGTCGTCCGTCCATCCACAAATGTTTGTGAACACTCTAGAGGTCACAATTTTTATCCGATTTCAATGAAACTTGAAATATATGTTTATCACCCTAAGATCTCGATTCCATTCGATATTGGCATGTATCAGACTGTAACTTCATGGATTATGGCCCCCGATTGTACGAAAAATCGCGTTTCTAGATTGTGGACCCCATAGAGGTCACAATTTTTATCCGATTTGAAAAAAACGTTAAATTATATCACCGTTACACCCTAAGGATGGTTGAGTTCGAATTTCGTAAAAATCAGACCGAAACTGATTGACAAAATAGCCACCCCTCGTTCGCAAATAGTTTCAAAATATTGTGTATCAGGGTTGTGGACCCTCTGGAGGTCACAATTTTCATCTGATTTTGATGAAACTTAAAATGCATGTTTATAACCCACAGATCTCGGTTCCTTTCGATATTTGCGCATTTCGGATCGTAACTTCCTGAATTATGGCCTCTGATTGTACGCAAAATCATGTTTTTAGCTTGTGGTCCCTCTAGAGGTCACAATTATTATTCGATTTAAAAAAAAACGTCCGAATATATCAACGTTATCGGACCATAACTTCCTGAATTATGGCCCCTGTACGAAAAATCACATTTTTAGCTTGTGGAGCCCATAGAGGTCACAATTTTTATCAGATTTGAAACACTGTTTGTATACATCACCGTTACACCCTAAGGATGGTTGAGTTCAAATTTCATGAAAGTCAGACCCAAACTGCCGGACAAAATGGACGCCCTTTGTAAGCAAATTTTGTAAACATCTGGTATATCAAAGTTGTGGACCTTCTAGAGACCACAATTTTGATCCGATTTTGATAAAACTTGAAACGCAAGTTTATAACCCAAAGATCTTGGTTCCTCTCAATATTTGCGCATTTCGGATCGTAACTTCCTGAATTATGGCCTCTGATTGTACGCAAAATCACGTTTTTAGCTTGTGGTCCCTCTAGAGGTCACAATTATTATTCGATTTAAAAAAAAACGTCCGAATATATCGACGTTATACCGAAATGTTTGTAGAGTTCAAATTTCGTGAAAATCGGGCCAAAACTGCCAGACAAAATGGCCGCCCCTCATACGCAAATAATGTAAACATCTGGTCACAATTTTTATCCGATTTTCATGAAACTTAAAACTTATCTTTATATCCCAAAGATCTCAGTCCCTTTTGATATTTGCACATTTCAGGCCATAACTTTCTGGATTATTGCCCCTGATTGTACAAAAAATCATGTTTGTTTTTAGCTTGTTCTCTATCCATCTCTTGCAAAATATGGGCATATCCTGCATGGCAGCCGCTGGTTTTTATTCCAACCCAAAATTCCCATACAAAAGGGGACCAAAGAAAGAATTGCTACAGTACAAATAGCATAACTACATTACTAATCTTTTTGGGACTCACAGTAGCTCAGTGACTAAGGCACTGGTTCATTAAAACCAGGACACCCTGTTGTACCTCAGATTTTCCAGAGTGAACTGTGTCTTGCTGTTTAGATGGGACTAAGAACTGAAGCCCTTCGTTTGTACACATTGACGTGCATGACAGCTAGTTGAAATTTGAAATAAAACAAGGCTGCAGGATTGCCATCAAGGCAAAGTTTTCCCCTCATAGCACACTGCATGGCGTATCCCTGTATTTATTAGCTTTGTTGATTTTCTACAATTTACTATAGATCAAATTTTGAAGGATTTTGAGATTACAAAAACAATCTACTGGAACCCTTATGATGGGAGAAATAACCATCCAGCACTGGTCTCATTAAACGTTTTTCATTAGGGACTCATTTTCTAAAAAAGGTGGTGTTTATACGTCCACATTATGCCGTCACTCCTGTGTGTGTATGGGTGTGTGTGTCTGTGTGTCGCCTACAGGGCGCAATGTTTATACGCCAACATTTTCATGTGGACGTATATTTGATGTCGTCCCCGTCCGTCCGTCACAATTTTTATCCGATTTCAACGAAACTTGAAATATAGGTTTATCAGCCTAAGATCCCGGTTCCTTTCGATATCGGACTGTAACTTCATGGATTATGGCCCCTGATTGTACGAAAAATCACGTTTTTAGCTTGTGAACACTGTAGAGGTCACAATTTTTATCCGATTTGGTTTAAACTTGAAATGTATGCTTATAACCCAAAGATCTAGGTTCCTTTAGATATTCGCGCATATCTGTACATAACTTCCTGAATGATGGCCCCTGATTGTAAGAAAAATCGCGTTTTTAGCTTGTGAACCCTATAGAGGTCATAAATTTTATCCGATTTAAAAAAAAAACGTATTATTATACCACCGTTACACCCCAAGGACGACTGAGTTCGAATTTCGTGAAAATCGGACCAAAACTGACATATCTAATGGCCGCCCTTTGTTCTCAAATAGCATAAAAATATGGTATATCAAGGTTGTAGACCCTATAGAGGTCACAATTTTTATCTGATTTTGTTGAAACTTGAAATGTAAGTTTATAACCCAAAGATCTTGGTTCCTTTCGATATTCGCGCATATCGGATCGTAGCTTCCTGAATTATGGACCCCGATTGTAGGAAAAATCACTTTCTTTTTAGCTTGTTCTCTATCCATCTCTCGAAAATGTCCCAAATCCTTAGGGGCAGAGCCACACCCAATTTTTGTGTTTATCGTATACAAGGCCACAATTCTGAATGGATCATCTTCAAACTTGGCATATGTATTCCTTATAGCCTAAGGGTGGAAACTTTTGATTTTGGTGCATGTCCCAACCCCAGGGGCAGAGCCATGTCCATCTTTTGTGTTTAGCGTCTCAAGGCCACATTTCTGAATGGATTATCTGGGAACTTAGTATACTTCAACTATTGGTACATGGTCCGCCCCCCTTGGGCTGTGTCACACCCACTTTTTGTTAATATTTTGTCTGTAAATAATCTACAGCTTGCAATTATTAACATATTTGGATCCAATTCAGTATGATCCATCATAGGGTTGTACCTGTTTATATTGGTCCATTTCCACCCCCAGGGGCAGAGCCACGCCCAATGTTTGCATTTTTTGACTACAGGCTGGAATTCTGAATCTGAATGGGATCATCTCGGAAATTGGCATATTTATTCCTTATACTGTAAGAATAGCAACTATTTACATGTATTTTGATGCATGTCCTGACCCCCAGGGGCGGTGTCACACCCACGTTTAGTTTGTAAATTTGGCAAAACAAACCCAACACCTAGCCTTCTTTATTTCAAAAAGTACCATATGGATCGAAGCAGAAATGTGGACATTTGTTGCAGCGATAGCGATGCTCTCTCGTTGGATTATGATTTTACATTGTATGCTATTTCTAATTCTTCAGTAACAATAATAAATAATGAATAATACAGCTTTGTATATTTATATATATTTTATAAATGAAAATCTATATTACATAGCTGTACATACAAATATACAATACATTTATATATTAATGACTCCTTTAACAAAATTATATAATTTGTCATTAACATCGCTAACAATGGAATGACATCACCAACAATGGAAAGACTGAAGTTAATACATTTAGTTATCACTCATTTACGTGTTTATAGGATGAAATCAATCTGTTTTGTTTTTAAAATAATTTCAGTTGAATATATCATCCATTATGAAAATATGCAGAGATCACACTGTTAATTTATGACTGTTTAGCACCGTCTGATGTTATTTTACACATTTACACATTTCATATGTACAAATACATTTATTATATACAAATATAATGTATATTTCATAACTATACAAATTGGTGAGTTTCGAAGTTCATAAATTAACTGGAATACATCTGCTGTTGAGAGTTCATGGAATAGTATGGGTTGATCTGTTGATAGTAAGGATAACCGGTATACATATTGTAAGTACTGTTACCATAGTTACAAGACTGGTATGCCGATGGTACCATGGAAGAACTGCTGACATCATTAAGTAAATGAGACATGAGTAGAGGATTGGTAGTAGAGCTGCTGTAGGAGGTCGGTGTTGGGGGGCTACTGGAATGGTTGAAGGTCGTTTGTGAAGGGTTATAGCCCAATGCACTGTAGTTGTGAGTAGGGTCATAGCTTGCAGACGTCATCGGCATATAATGAAGGCTGAAAAACAGAAACAGATAAGCATGATACGACTGGGAATCACTGGCAAGAATATGTGTTTCAACTGGGGCCTCCATAATTAATTATGAGATAAAGAATCGAATACAAACATGGGTGAGCTTGATATGTAAACCGTTATTTATGTTTTCTAGTTTCATCTCCAGAAAATTAGTCTTTACAATTACAAGGAAAACGGAAGTCACATATTGTACTTACTTGGATCTAGGTTTTTCATTTACATTTTCCTTTTTCGGTGCTTCTTCTGGTGGAGAGAGCACGTGACGATTCTCTGCTGGTGGGGATTGGCTAGGTGGAACAACTGGCAAACCAACTGGAGTTTGACGGGAATCTTGATTAAAAATCTGTTTTCGCATCCAGGCCATGTGAACATCTTTTGACTGCCGTTTAAATTTGGAACGTCTGTTTTGAAACCAGATCTGTAAAGCAATTAGAAGGTGGTTTAAGAAATGGTTGAGATATGGGAAATCTCTCTATCAGTTCGTTTATAGACAACGGAAATATGTGTACAAGTGAAGCAACATTATAAAATATATTGTCGGATCTTATAAAATAGGTTCCATACGAAATGATATTAACAATGAACAAACTACAACACCACACCCACATAATATTGATTTAGACAACGTGAAATTCCTTATAAAGAAACTATATAAAATTGCCCAAAAACTGTCGTCGGATGCAAATAATCAAACTGTCGTGCCATCAAATCTATTCGGACATATGATTAAGTTTAAAATCGAGACCAAATCATTTTATGAGTTGGATATCTTTCAAGGTGTGATTACCCAACTTAAAAACCTTTATAATCAATGATTATTGAAACTTACCGATATTCTTTCAATGCTGACACTGAGTGATGTTCCGAGTTCTTCGACAGTTGTAGAATCTGGATATTGGGATACCAGGAATAAACTCTCTAGAGCATGAAGCTGTAAAGACAAGTACACTGTAGCAACCAAGATGCCAACACGCACATTTCCTAATTGCTTCACGATATTTTGCAAAATTGAAATTAATTTATCAATTATTTATTCAATTCTTTTATAAAAGATATATATTAAGTGGTTCAGGCCATCGTTCGCCTTTGTCTTAGATATATTTTTGTTTAATGAATTATGCGCAGCAGGACAAAAACTGTTGTTATTCTGGAACTGTATCTTACCTGTGAAGCTGAATATTTGGTTCTGTTTCTGGGTTGTATTCCTCCTCGTTTCTTCTGTTTATCATCAGGACTTGTTGTAGTTTTAACCTTCATGATTCTTTATAAATACTAACAAATAAAATATAAAAACCAAATTATGTCAGGCGGTATCAAAATTTACGCGGATTTCTTGTTAAAACAGACAGTATAACATTTAGAAGACTATTATACTTGTTGTGCATGGATGCAGAATTTGTAAGATCTTTTAAAATTAATATATAAATATACGATATGTTATTTAGTTTCTATATCTGAAATGTAGACTATCGCTCGCAATTCTTTAATTTGAATTAGACCTACCTTATAGATATAATTTCCCAGATGTTTAATATCAGCCTAATATTGCAAAAGTGAACACACGTTGAAATGTAGAATAAATTGAAATGATGAAATTGACGGGGCACTGTGGGCTTTTATACTTTTTGTATACGTCACAAAATTTGTCAATTAGCTTCTACGATGAAAATTGGGAACTGTGTAGGGGGACTTCAATATACTTTGTTATGAAAACAATACAGGTAAGACCAGGAGAATGATCAAAGGGAAAATAACAGATGGAAGCCGACCATACGGCTAGTATCATGAGTGGAATGGTTTCAACAAACTTTTCATCTACCCTTTCTCTTTGGTGTTATGTTGATTGTTTGTTTTAAATATTGTTGTATCAACCTGTGATTGTTTTTATTGTTTTACTGTTATATTGTTATCAAAATACTCGCTTTTCATTATCACTATTTACCTAATGGAAAACTTACTTAGATTTTTACAACTTCAGTCAAATTCTTTTAGCACGTTTTATAGATAGAAATGTATTTCGAAGAAAAAATCGTCAGCATTAATTTTTCTTAAATCGAAAAATATGGGCTCTTTGTATAAAAATAAATTGTTTAAACGTGTTTAAGTAACTGAATCAGAATAGCACGTGCCACAATTATATGGAATGCAATTTATTTAGATGTTTATTTCTGGTGCCGTTTCGACGATGTTTATCTCGTCTTTATCAAGCAAAGAAAGTCTTCACAAACGACAAAACTGGGGGAGGGGGGTTGGGTGGCCGAATGGTTAGTGTGTGCACGCTGTATCATAAGATCTGGCATTGAATCAACTGGCGTAAGGAGTAGGGTCGCCTCTCCAACCTCGTGGGTTTTCTCCGGGTCCAGCGGATTGCCTCCCACTGCTACAGACCCCTACGCGCAAGCGAAATTTTGAACTATATCATATGTTAGTCCAGAAATGACCTAGTTTGTGTCGAGTTGACGTTAAACCCCATTTCTCTCTGTCTCACGACAAAACTGACCGAAATAACAAAATGAATGAGATAACAAAATGCCAATTTTATGAGCTTTATGAATTTTTATGAATTTTTGGATTGTGAAAGAATGAATGAATCGGTGAAAGAAAGTTTGTTCGAAAATAGATGAAGTAATTTATAACTTTTTGCAGGACATATCTAACATTATTGACCTAAATGTCGGCGAAGAAAGGGCTATGACACCAGAAGCCATTGATCAACCATCAACTGATTGGTGTAATCTACTGTTTTACCGACTTTTCAATTGACGGAGTTGCGGTGATGAAAGTGTTTTTAGAGTAAATTGTTACCCTAACCAAACCTTTGTGTTAGTTAAATATTGTTGCGAAAACTTTTGATTATTCTTATGCAAACAACAGTTATTCCGTCTGGAAAATACTGTCTTTCCTTTTAGGCTATTTTTTTTATTACAAAATATTTTGATATTTGGAACCTATTAATGCAATAATAAAGTTTCCATGCCAAAAAAATCAGTATTTATTCTTCGTTATGCACAAAAGTAATTATACATAGTTGTAAATAAAAGTGTATTTTATTAATAATTCATTCATATAATGCGCCCCAAATCAAGCAAAAAACTGCCCGATAATGCTTAAAATTAGATTTAAGTACTATAAAGAAGTACAATTATTTATCACATTTAAAAAATCTTATAAAAAGTTCATTTTTAAGTTTACAATAAATACACATAAAATAAAAGTATTTAAGGACAATAAAAGTATTATTACTTCTAAAAGGTGTTATAAAAAGTTCAGCTTTAAAGATTTTAAAGCTTGAACAATTTTAGGTGTCTTCTGTTTAAGCGATTTGCCCAGTAGAAAAAAGTTTATATTATTAAAAAAAATTCTAAACAACTTAAAAATGCATTATGTGGTCGTTCTTGTTGTAATGTTCAAAAATAGATAATAAATTAATATATTGATAATTCCATTCAACATTACTTTATTCTAAGCGATGATATCACTGTTTGAAGTTTTGACAAGATGTGGCATATTGTTTATTATCGCAGCCTCGCTTCTCCTTTTTTTAAAAATTAAATCATTAAATGGCGATCATATTTCAATCCGTTTAAATGTCTAAATAAATTATATATAAAAACCCTGCAATATAGGCATCGTTAAGAAATATATTATTTTATTTGATTCATTTGCTGTTTTAGAAAACAGTAGTATTTTTCTTTACACGGTGCAAAGTCAACGATTATGAGACTGCATTCAAAATTCTAGCGCCACGTGGTACGTTAAGAAAACAAAAGAAACCATCCTCTAACAACATCTTTGATTGGTCTTGAACTTTCCCGCCGTTCGAGTTTTAGAGGCAATCAAAGGGAGCAGCCGTGTGATTGGTCTTAAATTCGCCGACGTTTACCCGTACCGTTTTTAGCTGATGAAAGACAGATTCGCCGTGATTGATGTGCATTTGACCGAAAAATTGGAAAGGGCTTCTGTTGGAATTTATGAAATCAATGGCCTCGATTATCTGCTACCTATATATACCAAATTACAGAATTTAGTTGCAGTGTTACGCATTCTAAGTCTTGTGCACATCTTCTCAAACTGCGACTAACTTTATAAATTATTACACGAAAATAGTTAAATTATTGGTATGTAAGTATATAAGAAACATTATGCGCAATTATTAAGTAGTAAATATTTTATTCATTTTAAAGTGAAACTAAGTCTATGTCAGTGAGAATAACATGTCTACAATGATCAGCATTTAATCCTACTAATTATGACTATGTATATTAATTTTAAAACTCCAATACTTGTAATATCTCTCGATAACAAACGTTATTTTGGTTGCCAAATGTTCAATAAGTTTGTAGATGACCAATATATATATATATTAAATTTTTTATTATTTTACAATTAATAACACGATTGCTACTTTAATAGGAGAATACATTTTAAAACTAAGTTGAAAAATATCCACTGAGCGGCTGTATATTATATTATTATAATTTCTTTTTCAGCGATTACAAAAATGAAGGTCAAGTCAAGCCCAGAAGAAAAAAACACAAAGAAACGAGGTGGCATACAACCTAGAAGTAGAACTAAATATACAGTTTCACAGGTACTTTTCTTATGACAAGCAAAAATTTCATTCATTTTGCAATTTTAGAAGAAAGAGTAAAAGCTTTCCATTTTTTTTATCAGCGTGGCCAGCTAACATTTAGTGTTTCGACAATAACAATTGTTATAACAAATTTACATTGCAAAACTAATTTTACGGTAAAACGAATCTTTCATAAATTATATTTTTTTTTCATATTTTAGTTACAAGCTATGGAGAATATATTTTTTACAACACAATATCCAGATTCCTGCGCTATTGAAGATTTGAGCAAATCTCTTGGTGTTAGCATTGAAAGAATATCGGTAAGTTTTTCACAAAATTATCATTCTGAAGGACATAGTTTTCTACCCATAAATCAATAACAAAGCATGGAGCCTATATTCCAATTGGCCACAGAGAGTTTTATGTATAACTTTATTCTTTAAATGGGCATGACAATGAACATCGTTCGGAGGAGACATGCACGTAAAAACACACATGACAAAATATCCCTCATGACAATGCATGACGTATATCCATTTTCATTAGCGCGAGTGGAGCAGAAAATTAGGGCGTTCAATCCCATTTCATCCATTCTTGTTGGAAAACTAACAGAAGCCAGAAATCATTATATTGTATTAGATCTGAATATTTGTTTCTTTCAGATCTGGTTTCAGAATCGTCGTTCCAAATTCAAACGCCAGTCGAAAGGTGTCCACATGGCCTGGATGAGAAAACAGATTTTTAACCAAGATTCCCGCCAAACTCCAGTTGGTTTACCTGTTACGCCTGGCCAGTCATCACCAGAGAATCGCCACTTGCTTTCTCCCGTAGAAGAGACAACACACAAAGCTAACTTAACCCAAGAAAACCCCAGATCCAAGTAAGTACATCAACACCGGGACTTAAAACATCGATTGTAATTACCATACTAATTACCGATTTGACATGGTACTGGTACCCGATGAGGTCAGATTTTTAATTGACCTAACAATTTTGCAAGTAGGACCACAGTACTAAATAGACCCATAATAAGCAATTAGAAGATTTATACTAACAGGGGAAAAGCGGGTAATAAATTGTCGACTGTTTTGAAATGGATATCATATGAAAACAGGAAATCGAATAGATTAGCAGACTAGCGGATGCCGTTACACTGGAATCCTATGCAGAAGGAAGAGAATCAAAACATGGTTAATAACTGACCATACTTTTCTTTTCACTCTTGAGAAATTCGCTAAAATTGTGATTTTAACTTTTTAACAGATTAATTTGTTTTCATTTTCAGTCTTCATTATATGCCGATGACAGCTTCAAACTACAACCCTGTCTTCAATACTGTGGCAACCGCTCCTCCATCAACAACCTTCAACTTGAATTCTGTGCCAAGCACTTCTTCGGCGACGACTTTCAACTTGAATTCAATGGCACCTACAATTTCACCAGCGACCTACAGTTCAAATTCTGCGACCCCTCTTTCCTCGCCAACGACCTACAACTCAAGTTCTGCAACCCCACTTTCCTCGCCAACGACCTTCAACACCAGCCCAATGACATCTGATTCATCGCCGACGGACTACAACTATTCCTCGATGACACCATCACCAACCTATAATACGTCTTCTACCAATCCATTCTCGATGTCCCAGTTGCTGAATGATGCTTCATATCCTTCCACGGTAACGCCAGGGTATCAGTCTTGTAGCTATGGTAACGGTAGTGCTTATGATATGTATGACAGTTATTCTTATTACCCACAGATGAATCCTTACTACACACAGCAGATGCATTCAAATTATTATCAACATGGTTTAGGAGTTTAAGGTATTGGTAATACAAAAAGAAATTGGAGTTTTATTATTTGAAACCATGAAATGGGTAACAAATTGCGACAATGAGGAATACTACAGGAACTAATCATCTTTGTCGAATTGTGTGAAACTGATGTGTTATTATGCATTAGTGATGATTAAAATTTACTTTCAGTTATTTTTGGGTGTGTTTGTGCTTAAAATGTCGACAGTGGAATTCAAAATCAGCTTCACTGTGGATATAGAATTTTAATGTAGACACTACACCACAAAGCAAACACAAAGACTTGAATAAGACTATAATCTAATGCAATTTGTAAATGTTTTGTATATAGAGACATTGTTAATTTCGTGCATCATTGTTAGTGCTTAAATATGTACCTAAATCTATGTGTACTTATAGAGGTATATATAATAAATAACATCGAAATATGATCAGTTTGGTTTGTTTTTTTGTAGGGGAGACTGGGGAGAACACCCCGTGTCAACAACCTTGCCCCTTTGACGTTCCGGCGTCCCTGGCTTGTCTCAAAATGACTTAAGACATAGTCCAAGTGCTAAACCCCACACACCATTCCATTATAGGGTTTTAGGACCTTGTAACAGATTTCTGAAAAGGATTGACAGAGTAACTGTTCTGTAGATAAAAAGAGCAAATTGTGTGTTCAGCAGTGTTTGTTGACTGAGATTGAACACTGAAATGAAATGTTGTTTTTTCTCTGCACCAATCAGGCATTCGTTAATTTCAATTACCAACGAGTATAAGGAACCTCGGTTTTCGTCCCATTTGAACCACGAGCTGCTAATCATTGCCAGACACTCCACCCTGAACCCATGACAAGGGAAAACCAGGATAAAAAATCCCCATGAACTTTCTAGGCCAATACCGGGGTTGAGACCAGGACCTACTGGTCACTGAGCCATTTTTTAAAAGGTAGTTAACGTTACTTATAAACCTGTAACGGTAAATCTCTTTGATCTTTGGGATATATTCTATGCCAAGAATAACTTGCGGTCTGAAAGTCGGGGAAGGTTTTGGATATCTACAGGGAATTTTGGGGTTATTCGCCTGAAAGTTTTTCTTTAAACCCGTAACAGGTTATTCTTCCAGGGTAGGTTTTATTTTCCATAAGAAAACATGATATAAGGTTTTTCTTGCGGGAATTCTGGGATATTATTCTCATCTTGTGTACATGTAAACAGACGGTTTATAAGCAAGATAAAGTCCTCGACTTCGGTTATGCTGGGGAAGAAAGACTTCAGAAAAACCTCGGCCTACTGGCCTCGGTTTTTCTTTTTCTCGGTTTATTTTCTTCAGTCTTTCTTTCCCCAGCATAACCCCAGTCTCGTGCTTTATCCTACACATAACGATCGCTTCTGCTGAAAACAGTAAACATAAATTCCAAGCTATGCATGTGGCTGGATAACCATAACTGCATAATCCTATGTGACTGTGGCAAGTGATCCTCGCGATTATCATGTCACTCATATAATTGAGGAATGAAATTCCCTAATTCATAACCTGGTAAGGCAAATCGAGTGGCCATTTCCGAATGGTTCAACGTTAAATGCTAGATGTTTGTCATGTGAAGAAAGCCCCCACATGTGCATAGACTGAACATCTAAAAGCAAATGGTGTTGTTACGGTATCGTGAAAAGGTTTGCCATATGGCCTCTTATACCATGTATTTTGTCCCATCCGAACGACTATACATTTTGTCCCCTGCAGACCCCCGTTCTGCACCTCTGACAAGGGTGAACCACCCCAGAAAATCCCGACGAAATTTCGGAACCACCAGGTTACAGAGTCAACGTCTTACTCACTGAGACGCCATGGCTCCCAAATATTTAAAGAATTCGTGAACAAAAAGCATTAATGTTTTACAGGCAACTTTAGTATTTACCCATCTTTATTAATAATATTATAACTATAAATACAAAATACTAATTATATATAAAAAAACAAAAACATGTATATCCCAATTCATAAAGATATAATTTATCAAGTTAAATGGTTACTGTATATTAGTTCAACATCATAGATCATCTTCCGAACAGATTCTTAAAATTTAAAACATCAGTTTGTGTTTAAAGAAAAACAATCCTGTAACACAACACCCAACTGATTTTAGGAAATACTGTGTGTAAATGTACATATTCATCAACTAAGTTTCATCTGATGAAAACTTTGTTTCTTTTAAGCTTCTATTTTGTGGAATAAAGATTACACAAGTGGTCTGTAAATGCTTTCAGAACTTTGTTAGGAATACAACCTAACAAGACAACAATCATGTACAGTGATCCACATGATTTAATATAGCTTAAATTGTGCCTGTAGGTATAAGACATTTTGTTTCAATTCTATGGATAAAATGAAGCCAGTAGACAAAACGAACAATACAATTAGATATGTATACCCAGAAAAGATATACAACAGAAACCCCCAAAATATTTAAGGTCCTGGGGGAATTCCTTCCATTTCCTCAAACATGACAGGTTCAACAGTGACTTTTTAAAATAGAACTATATACATGTATTAACAAATTTAAAAATTTATACTCGTGTTATATTACAGTACATGTATTATGTAGCTATTATTATTAAATATAAATACAAATAAATATACACTGAGAAAATATGGAAACCTAAATATTTCCATAATGAACAAATGTTGTAGACGGCAGTGTAGTAGTTAATATCATTATTATTAATATTAACCATATTTGTACAAATAATTTTTGTAATAAATATTTACAGATAAAACATGGAAAATAAAATATTTCAATAATGTAGAAATTTTGTAGACGGCAGTGTAGATTAAATAACTACTGTAATAAATAGTTACAGAGAAATGGAAACACAATATTTTAATAATGAACAAGTGGTATCTTGAGAACCAGAATATATTCTTTACTTCTGATTAGTAAGATATTATTTCTAAAGAATGAGAAATTTTAACTTTATGACAATTTTTTTTAGGGTTTTTATAGAAAAACTATAAAAAATCCTACTTTACTACTGACTAAACCAACCAAGCCAATGAAGATGGGTAAATTTAACTGTAGGCTATTTATTGTGTTATACGGTTAAATTCTTTGAAATTCCAATTTTATGACCTGTAAATTGATTAACACGTAAGTTTTCCAATTGGTCAATTTCCCTGCCAGTCAGTCAAGACAGGTAAATAGGACTGAAATGAGACTCTGTTTTCAATAATATAAGATTTCAATAGCAATCACAGAACAATTAGTCCAGTCACTACATGTCTCGACATTAAACAAATTGCAATAAAATAATTACCAGTTTTATCTACACACAACATATTCCTAAATAACATACCAAAGGTATAGAAACACACACTATACAAAAACTTGAAAAATTTTAATCTAAAAATATTCAGAAGCCAATGGGTCACCGTAGATGAAACAAACGTCAACATGGCGGAATTACTTGCACCAAAGTAAGAAACGGTTCTAAATCGACTATAGGAGACATTAATCTTATTCAGGTAAGCAACACAGTGATCCCCAAAACGTTCATATACAATGTGCAGCATTAAAGAATAAGTGTCGAGCAAGGCGCTTATGTTGACGTCGCCAATGGGTAATTTTTACCACTCAACCATGACACTCTTGTTGAGCAAAAACTTTAGTCTGAACGGTCACGTTTTTAATGATTGTTTGTATGATATTAAATATGTGTAGGTAACTTATAAAGGTATATGGACACACATACTGTGTTTTCCGTGAATATTAAATTTTCTTTTTGCACATGCTCTTTTTGCATTTTACACTTCATCCCGGGTGCCTGGTATTGGCATTGCATAAACTACAAACGAATGCAGAGTTCCGAAGATGTGCATCAGCTTTCAATAGCCAACCAACAAAGGCAGAAATCATGGCATCTGGAGAGCAAATAATGGTGTCACACTACCATGGTGAACCAGATCCTCGTCTGGACAGAATGCGTTATACGCGTTTCTGTGAGAAATTTACAAAAAACTTGGCTCCAACAGCGACCGAAAAAAACACTCTTTACGATTCTACTATCAAGTTAGCAACTGGATGGGAGACCGACCAAAAGACATGCTACCTTAAGACTAGGGATAGGAATTACGCCATGGTCGCCTGTATCACTTATACACGCTCAGTAGACTTGCTTCGAGTTGCTTACTGCAATTGTAAAACTGATTGCGCTTCCTCAAGATGCCGTTGTATAAAGCATGGACTTAGATGTTCACCGGGCTGTGGGCATTGTCGAGGAGTCAGCTGTAGATCTCAATGCCGATCAATTTTGAAGATGACAGCATGGATGAACAATCTAATGAGTTGAGAAGAACTGCTTAGGTATCAGACTGACCACAGTCAATTTTTGCTCTGCTGCTACTATCAATGAGATAGATCAAATATGGCTATCTTATATATTAACCTCAAGTTTACTAAATAATGTCTTGTGCTTTATACCCAAAAGAGGATACTTGTCCAAACGTCGTGCTTTTAGAATAAAACTAGTGATTCTTTCCCATAAAACTGTGTTCTGTTAATGTGTTTCCAGATGGCTAAATGCCACTTAAAGATTAAATATGGCTAAGTTAATATCGTAACCCACATTTATTGCTAACGAAGCCTGCTATATATAGTTATATTTTACGATTTTTTTCTTTGCTTTAAACAGTTAAAAGTTTTAATATCGTAACCCACAATCATTGCTAATAAATCTGGATGTTTATAGTTATATTTTACGAAATTATCCCTGGCTTGAAACGTTAAAAGTAACCTAGATACTATAGTACTCTTGTTATATCGTGTTCAGTGATAGATCGTATCTTCAACAGTGTTCAAAAACGGCTTTTGCGTCATCGGTGTAAACAGTTAGCGTATGTGAAATACCATCATTGTTACGGGGAAAGAAGAGTGCACGATCATTTTACTTGCTGGAAGAAGGCCGTCGTCTTGAATATTGTAAAAAAATATTCAGAATAAATCATTCATCTGTTTGTCTTTGATAGCGCCATGGACAGGTTTATATTTCTCTACGTCAGACATGTATTTAATGTGTGTGTATGTGATGAAATACAACTATGACAAACCAATAAAAACAAGCCAAGACAAACACCACTTACGGTAGATCCAATTGTCACATTTTCGTTATCTATACTTTTCTATACTTTTGATTTATTCAATTTTGCACCTATATCTGTCAAAATCAGTGTTATTCCCTTTATTGCAATTTGTTTAAGGTTACTCAGTATCTGTGCTAGATTGACTTGGCTAGTCTTTTTTATTATCTTTTTTGTCTTTTTGTTGGTCTAGTTTCTTCCTGGTCTTCATCTTGTCTTTTTCTTCTACCACTTCTTCTAACAACCTCTTCTCTATAAAATCATATAAATTCAAGTCATAGAATTAAACAAGCTTTATAAATATAACATGATTTCATACAATTAAATCTGACATTTAATGTTCCTATTCTGGTAAATAATATTCAAGATCAATTAGATCTATATAAAGGACAAAAAAAAAAAAATCAAAAAAATCTTGAAATATTACTTAAGTTAAACATAGTGTTTGCTTGACAACAATGTATTTATCAGAATGTATATTTTTTCCATCCATTTTTATGCACATCTGGTTTATAAAATTACACCATTCACATATTTAGAAATACACAAAAATCACAAGTTATCTTATATCAAAGAAACCGTAGATATTTCTGACTCACAATATGCCTATTATATTTATTGCAGATTTTATATTCTGGTTTAACCAGTGGCTGCCAGGCAGGATACGCCCACATTTTCAAGAGATGGATAGAAAACAAGCTAAAACGAAAGTGATTTTTCCTACAATCAAGGGCCATAATTCAGGAAATTACAATTCGATATGCGCAAATATCGAAAGGAACCGAGATTTTTAGGTTATAAACTTACATTTCAAGTTTCAACAAAATCGGATAGAAATTGTGACCTCTATAGGGTTCACAACCTTGATATACCATATTTTTACGCTATTTGAGAACGAAGGGCGGCCATTTTATTTGTCAGTTTTGGGCCGATTTTCACGAAATTCGAACTCAGCCGTCCTTAGTGTGTAACGGTGATATAATAATACGATTTTTTAAATTGGATAAAAATTATGACCTCTATACGGTCCACAAGCTAAAAACTTGATTTTTCGTACAATCAGGGGACATAATTCGGGAAGTTACGGTCCGATATGCGCGAATATCGAAAAGAACCAAGATCTTTGGGTTATAAACTAACATTTCAAGTTTCATCAAAATAGGATTAAAATTAACATATTCAAACTAATTATTCAACCAAAAATTTGCTTCAAATCTCTCTGAAAACTTTGTATTCGCAGGAGTTACCCGAAGCTATAAAAGAAAATCAATCTATTTTTAGAGGCCATGTTTGTCATCTAACTTGATTGGGGGAGGGTCATTTTTTTAGAATGTATTTGTCATTACTTACTGTCCATTTACCATACATATAGTGGCCTAAGTAAATTCTTGAATTATTTTCTCTCAACTTCTTCCCCCAATTAATCGCAGAGTCTGTTATAGGTTTATATCCCTGGATGTTCCCAAAACCACCCAACCATTCAATCGAGAAATAACAACTGCTCCCTCTTTCAAGCTAGTATACAGTAAACTGTCGGACAAGATGTCAGGTTTCCAGTTAGTGATACCCTGACATTTTTGCCCAGTGTTTGCCCCATGGGTGTTTTCGGGTAATCCAGTATTTTTCTAGTAAGATTAGGCGTCTATACTATCCATATATACCAAATTTGTCATACTTTTATTGGAAATAACCACCCCGATAAATCTTTAAGGTAGGTTAAGCAATTATGATCCTAGCTAACATTGGTTGATGTATACCAAATTACACTTACTTTTGTTTTTGTATAGAAGATCTAGTTGGTCTTCTGATAACATCTAGTGATGGGGGCTGAAACAGTCATATAAATGAAGTGAGTAACCTTTGAATACCTAATTCTCCTTGGAAATAGAAGGCCTTTCAATTTCCCTTATTCGGTCTCTAAAGGATATAGGCCTACAGTATATTAAAGCCACTGATTTGCATGATTTTGAAACCCTTGCAAACTACCAACACTGTGAAAGTTGAAACTCTAAAACTAAAGGAATATTGGTCTAAAAATGGTTCATTTCAGTTTTTACAAAGATATGTTGAATTGAAAATTTTGTAACATTCGACATCCTTTGCAACAATATAAACAAGCCAGCACCACATAGAAGTGTTGGGTAAAATGTTTTGATGGGTCTCTTTTTAAACTAATTGCAGCCTGTTCGAACAATACACAGACAGCCAGCAGCTTTAAACCAATTCAAGAAAATTAGCTCAGGGATTAGCTCACTTCAAGACAAACATATTTATCTGAATAATTCACTTCAAGACAAACATATTTATCTGAATAATTCACTTGCCTACAGTGTTGGTTAGCAGTTAGACGAAAACAAGGTTACTCTGGTGATATGGAAATGGAAGTAGCCATCTTTATCACCTTAATCTACATTTTATATGTAATTTTCTGGTAATAAACAGTGGTTTAAACACAAACCAGACGGTTAGTGATCTTTTTTTAAATTTAAATTTACCACCAAAAATAAGGGCTGAAAGGTTTTCTTTAGATAAACTCTAGATGTTTCAATAATAAAATGAACTAGATTAGAAGTCATCTTAACACAATGTTCATAGATAGAAACCAGACATTAATAACTGGCTGACATTCTATGACAGAAAATGAATCAATAGAAATTAAAAGAAACTTTAAATGGACATCCAAAACTTGAATTAGGATTGATCTATTTTAATAATTTTTGGATTAACATGCCTTTTGATTAGAAAGCTGATTTACTGAAGATCTATATATATTTGCCCTTTAATCTGAAATATTGTGTCTTTTAAAATGCAACGGTTACTACACTTACTGACATTTATATAAAGTTAATCATTGTTAATAAACTAAATTATTTAATTCAATTTTATTAAGATATAAACCGACCTCCATAATTTTAACAGGAATAATATCAGAAGTAGCATCACTATTGTCTAATGTATCAATATTATCTGGTTCATTGTTGGTTGATTCAGATTTCTGTGTTAGAGCTGGCCATAAATCTGATACATGTTCATCTGTTGTACATAGAGAATTATCTATAAAATACAATCATTGAAACATTCATTATTTCCAAGTAAATACAGGGAGGGTGTATATTGCCCACAGTGGTGGATCCAGGTGGGGTGCTTTGCCTTGGGTGCAGATATACACCACAAATCACCATTGATACTTATATATTTTAAATGTTTTTGCTCATTGCAGATTCCAATTCTGCTTAAGACCAAAGACCCATCAACGAACCCATTTTTATAGCTTATTCATTTTCAATGTACCTACATATAAACAATTCTTCATAAAATATTTTAAAAATAAAAACATCCTAATTTAATTTGTGAAAAAATCAGTATATCATGGGATATGTAGAAAGCAAAGTATTTACTTTTAAAAGTAATGAATGAATGAAAGAGTGTTTAACGTGCATCTTTTCTGCACCAACCAGGCTAATGAATGCTGACTTTTGAAAGCAGCCAGCCATATAAACTAAAAGAGAAACATTTAAAAACAAATAAACATTGACTTACCAATAATTTGACTAATATTTCTTACAGAGCTGACGTCACCATTTTCAGATCCACTATCATCAACATAACAGCCTTTAAACGGAGACATTTTAAAACTTATCTTCTCTGGCGATGGTGAAAAATAATGATCAATTCTATATGCATTTTTTCTCGGTGATGTAGGAGGCGTAACTTTACCTAAAGTCTGATGGCTAAATAATGACTTCCTACACAGTGATTTACAACCACTTTCATGTTTGTCATCACCATTTTTCAATCTGTTTTCATCCGAATATTTTTTTTTGTCAGAGTAGGTTAAATCTATGTCATTATCCGGAAATAAATCAAATGATCCATGGCTTGATGTTGAAATCTGTCGGGTTAAGATACCTTTAGTTGGGATATCTTGAAGGAAATTTGAATTTAAGTCTGGATCAATTACAGTGGATTGAACACCATTTTCTAATTGTGACAATGGTGCAGGAAGCAAACTTTCAACATTATTAATACTGCTCTCTGTTAAAATAGTAGATTTATTTTCATTACTTGATACATTGACACTAGGCAGGTTGTTTCTGTCTATTTTTTTCATATGTTTTTTCGATTCTAACATCCTTTTCTTGGTTTGTTCAATCAGATCAGTGAATTGATTTTTATGTTTTTTGACTGAAAGATAGAGTAAATGTATTCAAGATTAAAAATTAAAAAGGTTATTTACTTCTTGAGGCTTGCAATTGCAATAAAAATCGAAATAAATTTTAATAATTTTTTTAAAAATGCAGCCAGACAATTAGTTATGCTAGAAAACATACAAAAACTACCAGCAAAAATATACTAGATATCCAACACCTCATATCTTTAATTTTACATCAATGGGGAGTTCTTTTCACAGCCATAAAATTGTATGCAAAATAATTATGTGTAAGTTAGCAAGCACTAAGACATCAACACCAGTCCCAGTAAGAATCTACTAATTACTGTTACTAATTAGGCAATTTGATATCATAATTTTATTATTTACATGCTTAATACAATTATTAATATTTCAGATAAAAATAAGTTTAGAAGGTTTAAAGGAAGATATCTTTAAGCATACATAAACACTGGATTAAACTTTATAATGTATTGATGTAATGATAAACCACACATTTCACTCACCATATGTTTTCTGTACTTTTCTAATTTGAGTGGCATCTGCATTTTTATCAATATTCAAACCCTAAAATAATAAAAAGATGAGTTACCAGGCATTGAAACATATGATCACAGCAGCTAAGTATTGATGCTGCAAGTGGCCAATCTGATTAAAACACAAATACTATTTCGTTTCGTTTTTTATAGTTCAAAATTTAGTTTTACTTGTTTTTACTACACTAGGACCTGGAAGAGTTGTTATATAACCTGCGTTCTGGATGATGTGAGAGATTAGCCAATGAAACGGTCTGTTCCAACGAGTATTTGGAGTGAGGTGCACATAACTGTGGGTAACCCACTAGAAACATCAACGCTGATTGGCTAATCAAATGTCTGAGGTCATAGGGTCAAAAGCCATCCGTATGACCTCTGATGCGACCTTCCACTACACTGGTAAGATCTTCATGTAGTAAAGGCCATAAAAAGTATAAAAGATAGGTTGCCAGCCAACAAAACATACACCCAATGCAATTAAGTCATACGAGGCAGTCAACAAGGGATGTCACATATTTTTTTCTTTGTCGTTATGGAAACAATTACAACATACTAAAATCTGATTATAACAACACATTATAGTAACGATGTGCCATTTGCATTTTATGTTAAAATGTCAAATTTTTCCTGGCTTAATCTACGCTAATATGTACTCAGATTGATTATCTAATATTTAATTAAGAAAACAAAATCAAAAAAGTAATACTAATGTCCCGGCTTGGATTCAGTCAGATTTTAAAAAAATAAATATAAAATGAAATGTGATTTAATGTCCTGCTATTCTACTCTAACTGGGCTAATGAAGACACGATATACATAATGGCACAACTGACAAGGGGGAACCACGCCAGAAAATCCAGATGAAGTTTCTAGGCCAATGCAGGTATCAAACACATGACCTCCTTGGATAAAAGATAGGTTGCCAGGCAACAAAACTTAGTCAAGGTATTGATGTAATGAAGCTATACAGCAAATTTCATCATCTCACTTAATTAGAGCTTAAGTTATTGTGTCCCAAAGCCTCAACCAATCAAATTGCTTATCCCTGCTTATCGTAAGCAGACAATGTTCATCATCGAACTCCATCAATGCATTCACCTTATGAACGACTACACCAAGTTTGAACATTCTACCTCAATTAGAAGGAGAGTTATTGTGTTTCAAAGTCCCAACCAATCAAACTGCTTATCCCTCTGCTTAACCTGAGCAGAAAATGTTCATTATCAAACTTAGTCAAGGTACTGATGTAATGAAACTATACTCCAAGTTTAATCACTCTCACTTAATTAGAACTAAAGTTATTATGTCCCAAAGCATCAACCAATCAACCAATTTGCTTACCATAAGCAGAAAATGCTCATCTTCGAAGTTCATCAAGGCATCGGCCTAATAAACACCTACACCAAGTTTGAACATTCTAGATCAATTAGAAGGAGAGTTATTGTGTCCCAAAAAGTGTGACGGACAGACAGATAGCAGGACAAACCCATTTTAATAGTCCCCTGCTTTCTTCGAAGGCGGGGGACAAACATATGTTTATATTGCATGATTATCATGCACATGATGTATCTGTACACATTGTTATTGAAAAACATAGTCTTTAAGTTTAACTAATTCTGCATATTAAAAATTCTTGAACCATTTAAAGAAGCTAAGTTTCTAAGTCAATATCATCAAAAATCTTCGACATTGAAAACACAAATTATTTGTCAATTCAAATCAACATTGGTCTTGTGATCTTACAGGGAAAACATGGGCTTCTGATATCCAATATTCAAGACAAAATAAACATTTTACCATTGGGTACACGAATCGTGTACCATAATGTGTTTCAGCGCCATTTGGAACAAGGGACTCAAAGAACAGGGCTAGACATATTGCACAAGTCATGTCAAATGGTGATGCTATATTCTTATCTGGAGAGCATGCGCAATAAATACCATCGGTGTAGACTGGAAAAACCAGACGCTAAAGATTACCATTCACATGAGATTTCTGGCATATTTCGCCGAATATAATTGATTAGAAATTACAGTAAAAACAGAAACGATTGAATGTAAATCAGTTTATATACATTCATATTACATTATTATATGCGTTGCGACCCATTTGTGTCAATTTCTCGGTCCCAAATATTAGCGATTTAGCTCCTTTAAAGTAGTTGGTCATGTAGAAAGCAGTTTTAACAAACAGATGAAATAATCATATTGTAGCTAACTGATTTAACTGATGAACGAAGCATAAGAAAAAGACTCAAATATTCCATTACCTTTATGGTACTGGTAGCAGCTAATTTCTGTTTTAACTTTTCACTTTTCTCATAACACTTTATAAGTTCTTTCGCTGAAGTAAAATGAAAACTTGAGACACAAATTTGAAAGAGGCAAATAGTTTCCATTTAATAATTCTTGTCAGATGTTAAACATCATTCTTGAATAGCTACAAGTCAGATTTTTATATAAATGAAAACTTTATACTATAAACTTGGCAAATAGTTTTCATTCAATAATTATTGACACATCATGGATCACTACACCATTCTTCAAGAGCTATGAAGCGTCATTTTTACCTACTCGGAATTCAACTTTCAAGGTCACGTTTTTCTGGCCCACCTGAAGGACTAGATGCTATCCCTTTCAAGAGAATTCTGAAGATCAAAAATGGAATCTCCTGGTTAATGAACCAACAGCAATATCACTGAGTAGCTGTCGCTTCCCAATGCAATCAAATTTTTTCTACATTCCTATATGAAGGAAAATATGATGAGTGGATATTATTTCAATAAATCTGGATAGACTTTAGATCATTACTGCACAGGACACTTTTTTCTATTGTAATAGATAAATAATATGTAAATTTTAATTTCAACAATACATGTGGATACCTACTTGTTTTAGGATTTAATGAATCACAATCAGAATTATGTAAGAGACTAAAATCTTGATGGCGTTTTATTAGTTCCTACAAAAAAAAGTATAAAGTCAAAAAAACTATCTTTATTTATTTCATAAAAGGGCCTGAAAAAAAAAAGCTTTCAGTTTATTAATTGAAATGTCTATATTTGAAGATCATATCTTAATATGACAGGCATCACAGATCACGAACAGACACAACAACAAATGTATGATGGCCTAAATCCACTTTAATTGTAAATGATGCACAACTATGATTTTTGATACTGTTCATCATTATGACTAGTTTAACCATCCTTACCATAATATAAACTATAATTTAGAGTTAGTAGTAGAAAGGCAGGGATCCAAGTCAATATATGGCCAACTTTACAAGTGGGCATTTAAAAACTACATTAAATTACATATCTAATCTCTAACCTACCTGTCTGATCCCCTCTGTAGACAGACCAATTTCTTGTAATTTCTTGCGGATATCCTTATCACTCATCAAATTATACACCAATTTGGTTAACGGTTTCTTTCTTGAACTACATTAAATAAAAGATAGGTTTCCAGGCAAGGGTTGTCGCATATTTATTCCTTTGACTTTGTAGGTATTTGGGGGACTTTACAAGACAGTTACATACAAATCAGATTATAATTTTTGCCGTTTGAAGGTTCACAAGGGGTCTTAACTCTGGAAGTAATCTACAGAAATTGATGAAATTTGAAAGGCTTTTTCGTTTTACTAATTTAAATAATGCATATAAATTTCATACAAATCAGATGATCACTTTTGTCATTCAAACGTTCACAAGGTTGACCAAAGTGAAACAAGGGCCATAACTCTAGAAGTAATAAACGGAAATTGCTGAAATTCAATAGGATTCTTCTCTTTACTAATTTAAATGACGCATGTAAATTTCATACAGATCGGCAGATAACTTTTGATGTTAGCGCGTTCACAAGGTTCAATAAAGAGAAACAAGGGCCATAACTCTAGATGTAACAAACGGAAATTGCTGAAATTCAATAGGCTTCTTTGTTTCACTAATCTAAATAATGCATATCAATTTCACAAAGATTGGGTGATAACTTTTGGCATTCACAAGGTTCAATAAGTGAAACAAGGGCCATAACTCTAGATGTAATAAACGGAAATTGCTGAAATTCAATAGACTTCTTCGTTTCACTAATCTAAATAATGCATATAAATTTCACAAAGATAGGATAATAACTTTTGGCGTTAGAGCTTCACAAGGTTTAACAAAGTGAAACAAGGGCCATAACTCTAGATGTAATAAACAGAAATTGCTTAAATTCAATAGGCTTCTTCATTTTCCTAATTTAAATATTGCATATAAATTTCACAAAGATTGGATGTTAACTTTTGGCATTAGAGCATTCACAAGGTTCAACAAAGTGAAACAAGGGCCATAACTCTAGATGTAATAAATGGAAATTATTGAAATTAAATAGGCTTTTTCATCTCACTAATGTAAACAACATATATCAATTTTAAAACAACTGGATAATAACTTTTGGATTTAGAGCGTTCACAAGAAATTGTGGACAATGGATGGACGGATGGACGGGGGTGACGGCTATATACGTCTACATTTCCATGTGGGCATATAAAAATGTAAAAGATATTTGTGTGTATTCAATTGATCGTATCAAATCTGAAAAGCATAGACAAGTTTTAATTTCTAACAATGCCATTCAATAAAGGTGGAATGTCAGATACACTTCAGTGAATAAAACTGTTGAATTCTTTGTTGAATGTAGAAAGCTCTTAGAATCTTTTATTCTACTTACAATGTTTTCAATTAAATATCAAAAAGGTATACGAAAAAAAGAGAAAATATCTGGCATGCACTACATCTGACAAGCCCTGCGCTACACATTAACTGATGATTTCCAAAATTTGTAATTCAACATGGTACTTCATTATGCCCCAATGGACAATTTCATCAAGACTTCATAAATTTCAATGTAAACTGGGGATAACTTTGAAATACACCATCAAACTTTGTTATAATTAGGGAGAAAACTCTGAAATTTGCAATAATTATTTTTCGGAATTTTGAATTTATCTTCCTTATCACCAAATGAACTATCCCTGCAAATCCAATAACAAAAGTTGAATGGACCGACTGGACGAGGGTGAAAACAATTATATATTAAATATCTATGCATATTGGGATCTAGATAATAGACATGTTCAATAATAATAGACAACAGAATAAAGACATAACATGGGCATTATCACTCTAAAATATTGTTAATTGGTTATCAAAAATTACTTAAAGTTTAAAGTAGGGTATTTTTTAAAGGTGGTGAAAAAGCCTAAACTTTGTATGATTCATAAATTGATAGCTAAAACAGTATCTCTGCAATGGCTTGAAAGAAATGACTTGAATACAATATAATTTGAAAATGCTGATTTAACTGTATAGTCAAATCGCATCAAATCGCTAAAAATATTTACAAACCTGTGTAGACATCAGGTTTTTTTTTTAACAGATTACCAACAATATTGGAGATCTTAGTAACTTTTTGATATAAAATAAGTAAGTAAGATACAAAACAAACCTTCTGAGGCTTTCCTTTTTTTCTGATTTATTAAGACAATTATCGAGATGTCTGTTGACTACCTCTTCTCTAACACTTATACCACAGACTGGACAATCAACTACAAATATACATGTTAAAATAGCTATAATAATAGTGCCACTTTACATTTGTGGTGCATAATTAACGAGCAATACAACAGTAGTAATAAAACATAGATAACCAACTAGTTATTAAATATAAACAATGTGACCATCTGTGTAATCGACATGCACATAACACTCGGATGAAGAGTGGATGGACATACAAAATGTTTCACAAAGTACACTGTACGACATGTGCCCATCTTCATTAACCCAATAGGATGTTAACCCTCACCCCCATTTCATTTGTATTGTATCAATATTATACATTACCTCTTTTAGGATTTTTACCATTACTGACTGGAGTACTACAGCTTGGTTGTGAATCAATGCCATCACTCATCTGAGACGTGCTGGAATCTATTCGTGGAGAAATCTTTGTGAAATTATAACTCTGCTTAAAGGGAGTGCCAACTTCACCCTTCCCGTTATTGTTCAAGATAGGAAAAATATCATTAAATGGAGCAGAGGTTTCGGGATGTCCTTTTGTTTTATTGCAAGTTTCCTTTAAATGTTCATCAGGAGAATCAATATCTGATTCGTAATCTGTAAATTTAGTCATTTTTTCTCTGTTGTTTTCCAAAATTTCTACATCTGAGTCAATCGCTTCTGTAAGAACCTGATTATAAAAAAGATATTGTATCAAGATGCTATATCTTTGATAACTGAATAATGGAAAAACCTTTTTATGCTAAGGACTAATGAGGACTGAAAATTTATGTTTTTGGAGACTGCAGTTGAATTACTTTAACCTCTGTGAGTTAAATACAAATATACCTTGATTTTAACTGCCCCAATGAACAATTCAACAAAGTTTTTCAAAATTCCAAACTTCAACTTCAAAATGAACTTTCATAAGTTTGAATTCTGAAATTTGAAATTTTTATAGTTTGATAGGGTTCTTCCTACTTTTACCACATAAAGCAGTGTTCAGCCAGTGTTATGCGGATAACAACGTCCCACCAGTAGCACTGGTGGTATTGGTTTTAATATACCCACATAACATTGACTGAACACAGTCAACAGGGGCGCATAGCGCACAACAGCTTAGTCCAGATAGACAAATGGGCTGATTTTTTTTGCCGAATGGGACGTTTTTTTTTCCGGGGGGGGGGGGGGGGGGGGGGGGGAGGGGGAATGGACTGGTTTGCCGGAGTATCTAGCACATTCAATCAAACCAAAAGTTTGTATAGTCAAGTATTAGATGAAATCACCTCATAATTGCTCATGAGGAAACTACTGCGCACCGTAACTACATTGTCCAGTATAATAGAAAGTAAACATCTTACATTACATGTAAATGATAATGATCACTGTCTATTTTTTTTGTACTTTATTTTGGAATACAAATTTTGAGATTATGCAGGCGAATTTCCCTTTGTTGCTGTGTCAAATTTTGCTTCATGGGGGGTGGGGTGGGGTTTATTGATATGGTGAGCCAATTTGATTTTCTAATGCTGAGTGGCTGATTTTTTGATAACATCCCGCCCCCCCCCCCCCCAACCCTGGGGAAATGTGTTTGGGCATCAAATATAAAAAGAGAGCAGCAAGCTGGGGGTCATAAAATGCCTGGCTGATTTTCATATTCACATCCGGATTTATATAGTATAGAAATTTATTATTATTGTTACTTTTATATTTTTCATATTTTTCTATTTTATGATAATTTTACGATTAAATGACGAAATTTTATGACCAGCGGCTTCCAGGCAGGATACTCCCACAAAAGCGATTTTTTCGTGCAATCAAGGGCACAATTCAGGAAGTTACAATCCGATATGCGCGAAAATAAAGATATATTTTAAGTTTCATCAAAATCAAATCAAAATTGTGACTTCTAGAGGGTCCATAACCTTGATATACCATATATTTATACTACATGTATTTGCGTACGAGGGGCAGCCATTTTGTCCGTCAACTTTGGTTCGATTTTCCCGAAATTTGATCTCAACAATCATTACGGTGTAACGGTGATATATTCACACGGTTTTGTAAATCGGATCATAATTGTGACCTCTGGAGGGACCACAAGCTAAAAACGTGATTTTTCGTGCAGTCAAGGGCCATAATTCAGAAGTTACGATCTGATATGCGCAAATATCGAAAGGAACCAAATCTTTGGGTTATAAACATGTATTTCAAGTATCATCAAAGTTTTGTTGAAATCGGATAAAAATTATGACCTGTAGAGTGTCCACAAACAATTGTGGATGGAGGGACATCCGTAGTATGGACAGGGACGACGATAATATACGTCCACATGAAAATGTGGGCGTATAATAAAACTTGTGATGTGTAGAGTGTCCACAAACAAATTTTGGAAGGACGTCCGGACGTATAAAAATATAAATGTTTTTATATTGTATGGTCCCTGATATTTAGATTTGAAACAGAACAGGATTCTGTTGTTTTCAGCAATAAATTTAGTTTTCTGTAATTCGAATATAATAACCTCTAGATTATGGACAACAAAAGAGATATCTATAATGCACATGTTTTTTATACTTGAAGTTCAATATCAATGTATTTTTAGCAAATAAGTACTGAGCAATTGATTCCAGTTTTTACCTTATTTAGTGGCTTATTGGTATGATTATTTGTAAGGGAAGATAACTGTGTAATAACAGGTGACTGGAGCTTATTAATCTTACTTGTACTAGCTGTAGGATCATTTCTATTTAAACCTTTTTCTTTCAGTAAATATTTGAATGGTTGTCTAGAAAAAAAAGATAAGTGAATGTACATATACGATACAGGTAACAGACCATAGCTGTCAGTCAATTCTGACTATTTTGTAAAGAAACGGTAACAAAGGTTTCATTTACCGATCAAAGTGTTTGTTTTTCTTGAATCAGTAGCCACATACCTTAGTTTTTTATATTGTTCAATAACACTATCCAATAATCGATTATTTCGTAGTTCTGGTCCAGTAGCAGACTGAAATGAAAAATCAAAAAACAAGATTTTTAATTCCTTGCCAATGAAGGAGGATTTGGATAAAAGCATATTGCTGTCAAGCCCCACAAAATCTTAAAAAGCTGTAAGCTTACATTATTGTTTTAAAAGGAGCAGTCTCATATTTGACCCTGGTTAAGCCCCTTAAAGAAACCTTTATCCAAGCCCTGTAAAAATATCTAGAGCTCCGTAATACATTTTCGAAGAAATACAAAAATACTGCGATACATAACAGTTTGTTTATACTTGCTGCAGTTATAATGGAAAGTATCGTAATTATTGTTGAAATTATCAAGTCACAAATACAACTAACTGATTAATGAAATTGAAAAGGTGTATTACGTAACTGCTCAATATTTTTATTTAAAAATTTCAGGCAATATAATTGGCTTATATCTCTTCAAATTTTGGCACTTGATTTGGGTATTTAAACCTATGTGAAATTAGAAACTGCCCAAGATCCTAATACAAGTAGGTTCAAATGTTTTATATCACAGCCCATAAAGTACATTTGAGACTAATCTACTAGATAGAACAATCGATCGAATTTTCGATTTTCATTAGCCCAGTATAGGAGCAGAACAGTAGGACGTTAAACCCCATTTCATTTCATTTATTTAAAAGAATAAATCATATGGGTTTCGAAATATTAAATAACTTTAAAATGTGTTCCCACAAATAAATTAACTATTGCATTGTCTATTTGTGAAATTTTGTATAGTACTTACAGCTGAACATGTAGGACATTGTGTTTTATAACATAAATATTTTCTTATACACAAAGAACAATCTGAAAAAAAACAACCCAAAACAACAAGATAAATATATTACAAAAGATAGGTTACCAGACAATAAAACATATGCCCACAGCAGCTTAATAGTCCGAACTGTCGAGAAGGGTTGTTGTATATTTATTCTTTTGTATAATTGGGGGCATTTACAAGACATACGGATCAGATTATAATTTATGGCATTTTAATTAAATATAATTGAGATTGTTCCAATTGAAGTTGCCTTCAAAATATTAAAACAACCCTTTGTTAGTGAAATAATTACAGTTTTATTACATGATCAAATTGGAGATGCATGCACCAAGTTACTAGATTACATGACTACTTGAGAGATTCTATAGTTTCGTTTCGGTTATTTTTTTTTGTTTTGAATTTGCACTACAATTTAATCTAACACACTTTCTATCATCACAATATTCTTCTAGGAATTGAAATAAAATGAAATGGGGTTTAATGTCCCACTGTTCTGCTCCAACTGGGCTAATGAAGACCGACATATGCCATACAGTGTGCTACGAGGAAATTTGTGCCTGGGCAGCGGCACTATGGCCTACTCTTATATTGAATTCCAACTGCAAAGGGATCTTTTACATGCATGAGATTGTACACATGGGACCTCGGTTTTTCGTGCCATCCGAATGACTAGACAGCTGTCCTTGTCAGGCCCTCTGTCCTGCACCACTGACAAGAAGAAACCATGTCGGAAAATCTTCTAGGAAGATTTCTGTGTTAAAATCAGATCATTCCAAAATATTAACCCCCCCCAAAAAAAAAACCCAAGCCAGTGCCACCAATAATAATCTTCCCTAAAATTTTTAAACTGATTGGCAATGCCTAATTATTTATAGACTTATTATATTGGTTCAGTATGTACAAGTATTTAATAGCGTATACAAATTTTTATAGTTTATTTAGATACTTACAATTATGTTGACAATTTGGAAGAATCATAGCTGTGTTCATATAATCATAACATGATGGACATTTTAATAAATCATCTAAAACCTGAAATAAATATGCACAAACATCTTATACAAATACATCTGTACCATTCTTCTCTATCAAAGTTCATAGGGGAGGGGGTGATGTGATCTGTTAAATTCAATTTCAAATTCAAGTGTTCATTCCCATGCAGGAGTAGAATTGACGGCCAACCCCAAGAGTTTTTTCCACTGACATCATGTGCTCGAATGAATAATGAAACAAAGTTACTCTTGAGTCTCAACATGACCTAACTTGTGTTGAGTCAATTTTCAACTCCAGTTCACTCTCTATCAAGATTCAGTATATAATTAAGTAGACAAGAATTTTTTATAACATAGGATCTCCTGGTTCTTGAACGATATACTGAGCTACTCACTGATCTGCCATTGCACCTAATCTGACTAAATCTCTAAATTAGATACACTATAAAACAACAAGCTAGACCTTGCTATCCGTCGCTCTGATTAACTATATTGCATCATGTAGAGTAAACATCACAGTGGTTACATTACATGTAACTGTTTTAAATATTTGTGGGCACATTTTGTAATCATTTGAAACACCAGAGTTCAAATTTTATGCCATAACTTTTGAAGTTAATGGAAAGTACCTCAGCTCAAGAATTTCCATCGATGTTTTCCATTGCTAGTTGAGCAGGATGAAGGATCTGGCAAGGAAAAGCATTAGGATCTAGTTTATTGGACTGGGAAGGAAAATTACTGAGGCCCTGTCAAACTTCAATTTGTGTACATTTTACTAATTTTAGCATGGAATTACGTTTAAAGGGACAATAACACTCTTGCTGGCTAGAAGCTCCAGAAAATAAATACATGTAAAAGCCTTATTCTAAGTATGAGATGTTTAAGTGTCCTACCTGTTGTTTAAATTATCCATTACTTTTTACATCCTATTTTACTTGTCCAAAGGGTTCAAAAATATTTTTAAATCCAAGTCACATTTGAAAAGGTTTACGTTAGGCTTTTCAAATCATTTAGTTGAATTTCTCCAATTTTTTAAATTAGGTGTGTTAAGATGAAATTTGTATCATCAATTAATTGGAATATATTGTAAAATGGTACAATTTGTTGACCAGAATAAAGATTGGGACATATTATTCAGTTACAACAAGAATGGTATTGAGCCTTTTATATCAGAAAATCTAATCTATAATTTAGTGTTGCAATTCACACTTATTCAGGGGGTTATATTTCATTTTCATTTAAGTCCCATTAATATTATCATTGATAGGTGTACGTTATGTCATCAATGTATCGAGATAATACTAATAGTTCATTAGTTGGGCGTTTCTTTTTCTACTTCAATTGTACTTCTATTTCTAGATAGGCCTAGTTCAGCCATGAACATAGGTCTCATTACAATCGCCCTGCGTGTAATGAGACCTACGTTCAGAGCTGAACTAAGCTACTGTCTGAACCATCATAAATTTTAAATGGATTTCTTCGATTATGAACAAGCTACTTAACTTTGGTTATTATAAACTTACCTGTGTGTTTAAGATGAACTCCCGTTCAATAAAATCTATTGTACAACTGAATATCCCAACGAATAAAAAAGTTCTCTCTTGACAAATTTGACTATTTACTTGTAATTTCAACTGAGTGGAGGACAACTAGCTTTCGTCACGTGTTGGGTGAAACCAATGCAGCTGTTGCGGGGATGGTTTAATCTTGACAGATAGTTTGACAACCATGTGTTGCAATGAAAACAAACCGCGATCATTACGATCGTTTGAGTTTGGGCAACTAAAAATATGAACTGAAGGCAATTACGAACACATTTTAACCCATTAACCCAACCTATTCTTAGAACATAGTTCGTCACTTGGGGGAATCCCTTGGGAATTTCCCATGATCGCAGCATGTGTAGGATGTTATATTAAGTCCTGGACAACTGCCACTCACTGTGTGTAGGGCGTAATATAACACCTTGGAGGTATTTTCCCCCAACCTATTCCTAGAACATAGTACATAGTTCTTTGTCACTTCGTCAAATTAATTACACAATAGGGGGTAGTTAACGTTTTAAAAACGTCACACTTAACGGCGGGGGAAAAAAATATCCTATCTTCTTTATGTTATAGTTATAAATAATTTAACAAGGATCATGAAGCTCACCTCCAAAGTCTCCGATAGCATTCTTTCGATCAAATAATTAATAACCGCTTCAAATAATTAAAACAAATTTTGCAGAGATTTTACTAGAATTTAGTAGAATGTAAAAGACGGTAACAAAATAAAAGAATACGGACAGTTATGTGTGTGAATGCTCAAACTCAATGCCGAGCCGAGACTTATAGCTTATTCTTAAACCAAACTTGAATCGTCGTAAAATGACCGAAAACCGTTTCGATTTCCTATGCTGTCACCCCTTATACGAAATGATATCTCCCGAAGAGTTAACATAATCAGCTTCCATATTCATCTATAGAAATATTTCTATGTCCATATTCATTGGTATTTGTGTCAAAAGTTTGTGGGATTTCAATTTTTCAAGAGAGAACTTTTTTATTCGTTGGGATATTCAATTGTGTAATAGATTTTATTGAACGGGAGTTGATTTCAAACACACAGGTAAGTTTATAATAACCAAAGTTAAAGTACCTTAGTCTCTAACTCAATATCATCAAAAATCTTCGGCATCGAAAACACGAATTATTTGTCAATTCAAATCAACATTGGTCTTGTGATCTTACAGGGAAAAGTTGGGCTTCTGATATCATGGGAATTATTTCCCACCCTTAAAAATCTATGACACAGGAAATAACAACACAATTACCTCCCCTGTTTTGCTATTGACAACATGGGCCATGGGGCAGCCATTTGCCAACGTTGGAATTTGAAGTTAAAAATGATATTTTTGCCAATTTCTCAGCTGGCAATAGCGAATTATAGGATTAATAGGATTATTCTTTAACAAGGTAAGACTGTTTATGGATACCATCTATTTTAAGGCTTTATTTTAATACATTTTAAAAATGTAACTTGAAAATTTGCAATTGCAACTTTAAGTAGTTTGTTTATAATCGAAGAAATCTGTTTAAAATTTACGATGGTTCAGGTAGGTCTACCGACCAAACTTTGTTTGTGTACGCCTAATACTAATACTACTGTGTGAACCATCGTAAATTTTAAACGGATTTCTTCGATTATGAACAAACTACTTAACTTTGGTTATTATAAACTTACCTGTGTGTTTGTAATGAACTCCCGTTCGATAAAATCCATTGCACAACTAATTATCACAACGATGAGAACAAGTTCTCTCTTGAAAAATTTGAAAATTTACTTGTAATTTCGACAGAGTCGATGTCAACAATGTCTTCATGACGTATTGGTCGAATCCAATATACCTGTTGCGGGGGTTGGTTAACATTGAAAGATAGTTTGACAGCGCGATCATTTTGATCGGATATGGGTTTGGGCGACGAAAAATATCAATTGAAGGCAATTACATAGGAGATTTATATGGAAACCATTGATTGCCAGTCTATCAAATCTTCTTCACAATTGCACGGATACTCGTAAAAATAAAGTCATGTATAAACTATATATATCCTATCTTCTTTATGTTATAAATAATTTAACAAGGATCATGAAGCTTACCACCGAATTCTCTGAATGTATTTTTAATTTTATACGCATTCTTTCGATCGAATAATAACCGCTTCAGTAACATATATAATGGTATATAATGCTACTAAGCCCGTATGACCCCGTAAGAAGCGGAACATTAATTCTCGATTCGACAGTTTTGACCGAAGTGTGATAAAGCCCGTAAAACGAATGTATAGTTGTGTTTGTGCGGCATGCGTGTTCAAAAGTAAATAATCCCATCCGAGTCGCTAATCAAATAATTAGAACAAAATATTTCAAAAAGTAAAGCTATAAAATTTGCAGAGATTTTACTAGAATGTAAAAGACGGTAACTAAATACAGGAATGCGGGTAGTTATGTGTGCGAACGCTCAAACTCAATGTCAATTGTCGTAGGTATCCAGACCACTCGGACCAAAGACTACTCGGACTAAGACCAGTGGGACCAAAACAAGACCAGTCGGACCAATTAAATTATATTATAAGGCTAGACAATATGCTATTTATTTATTATTATATCACAATACAAAGAAGCAAATAATTCTTATACGGAATTCTTATATTTAGAGTTGTTTAGTTCAATTTTGTGTACGGAAAATAAATCAACGATTAGTTTTAAAATTAATTAATAATGGTGCCAAAAAAATATCAATCTAATTTTTCTTATTTACTCTTGCAATGAGACTCGGTATGTCCAGACTTTTGACAGTTTCTACATATACGGGTATACTGTTCTTGTCTGATAGCCTAATTTTACTTTTTCCACATTCGCGGTATCCCCAGTGGTTTCATTCCGTTCTACCCCACTAACCCCTGGGTTACTATATAGGGGGGGGGGAGACACGTTTTCAAGTTATCCGCCCTTGATGCGTTAATATAAACAGCACATAATAATACGAAGACCGGACGTTTATATGCCCCTTTTTAAACGTGACTACAAGTGTGGTTCTCGATATTTTGCGATTTGGAATACAATTATCAATTTATTCAAACAACACGTTATTATTAGTTCGAGTAGTCATATTAAAACACACACAATTAGAAATTTATTCAAATAACACTTTATTATTGGTTCGAGTAGTCATATTAAAATAAACACAATTATCAATTTATTAAAATAACACTTTATTATTGGTTCGAGTCGTCTTTCTGTTGGGTACGAATAGTCTTTTTGTATGGTCCGAGTAGTCTATTTGTTTGGGCTGAGTGGTCTATCAGTTGGTCCGACTGGTCTTGAACCGAGTGGTCTTTGGTCCGAGTGGTCATGGATTCTTGTCGTAATTGTACTTGAATTTCCTATGCTGCCACCCCTAATACGAAATGATATCTTCCGCAGAGTGACGTAACCATCTTCCATATTGGTATTTTTCTCTGGGAAAAGTTTGTGATATTTCAATTTTTCAAGAGAGAACTTGTTTTCATCGTTGTGATAATTAATTGTGCAATGGATTTTATCGAACGGGAGTTCATTACAAACACACAGGTAAGTTTATAATAACCAAAGTTAAGTAGTTTGTTCATAATCGAAGAAATCCGTTTAAAATTTACCAAGACTCAGACAGTAATTGAGTAATAGTAATATTATTTTATTTGAGCCGCGAGGACTGACTGATTGAAGTTATTCACCTGTAATTCAGCATTTTGTTCCTTTGCAGTTGGCTTTGAAGAAATGTCTTCAACATATTTTGACATTTCTAACATCTTCGATATAAGTATTAATTTATTAACAACATTTAAAAGATTCGATAAATACAATTTGTATTTGTAAACAAACTTTCGTTTATAATCAATTTTACCCGCGAAACATTCTACTTCCGTACACCAAAGGTCAAGGACCAAGGTTTCATCAAGGTCAAATCGCTAATCTGCAGACATTTACGTATCCTAACTGAATCGATATCTGAGATAACCTACGCAAAGCCTTATTATTAAATATATTTAATCAAACCGATTTAAAACAAAAGAAATCATAAATATGAGTCTGTCAGTTAATTTAATAACAAAATATTATTTCGTTCCCTTTACTATTTCTAAATTCTCGAATATTACAACTGGTAATTGCGCAGAACTATATGCGCATACTGTTAAGTAATCAAGCATGGAGGAATATACGCGTGATCCTTGGTAAGAATAATACATTTGGGGAAATGAGACTTATGTTCACAAATAGATAACAATGACCATTATAGAATATGTTCACATTGTATATACTTAGACAAACTGTTATGTATATGTTAATTTCCCGGCTAATAATATGACAGAACAAGCCGTATTCTTTTCAAGGACCCGTCAAAGTCGGCTCACTAATTTTGAAGTGACGTAACCATCAGATGTAGGGTTACTAGGGACAGGGTAGTCCAAGTCCTACTTAACACTAGGGGCCGGGTATCATTCAGATTTGATGAAAAAAGGAAAGAAACTGAGATTACCATCTATAATCGGCGCTATTGCACTTTCTTACCTCTACCAGTTCCCGTGGTCGTAGGCACTTGAAATTTCCAGAGGATGTTAAGCCTAAGGGGGACAAGCAATGACCAGACCACACACCAAATTTCAGCCGAATCGATCAATAATTTTTTATTTTAGCGACCTTTTAATTTCTAACGAGAGAGAACTTCATCCGTTTGACGCCATTTGCTTTGGGCTTTGAAAATGGTTACGGGGTCAAGGTCAAATATCCCAAAACTGACTTAGAAAAGTTTGAGTTCAGTTTTCTGTAACATGACCTTGACCTACGACTTTGACCCAATTATCTTTTCTGAGGGACCTTGTCTCTGCTTTTACCTCAAGCATTAACTTTGATAATACAGCAAGAAATAAGGCCACGACAAGCATAAACGCAAAGGGCCTGAGATGGATGGGTAGTTTGGAGTCAAGGTCAAAGTCAAGGTCACGGTTGGTTAGCGTTGACTAGTGGAGATCACCACTACCTTTCGCATTGACCGCGCCCATTGACTTCCTTTTGGACAAGGGCCCTCTGCGTTTGACCGTTTTCTGACCGAGCAGTGTGCGACAGGGCCAGGGTAAACGTCGATGGTTCAAGCCAAGATTATGGGCTTTGATAATGGTTACGGGGTCAAGGTTGTAAGTCAAGGTCAAATGTCCCAAAACTGACTTTGAAAAGTTTGAGTTTAGTTTTCTGTAAGATGACCTTGACCTACGACTTTGACCCAATTATCTTTTCTGAAGGACGTCATCTCTGCTTTCACCTCTAACATTAACTTTGATAATACAGTAAGAAATAAGGCCACGGCAAGCATAAACGCAAAGGCCCCAATATGGATGGGAAGTTTGGACTCAAGGTCAAAATCAAGGTCACAGTAATATTCACACCTAAAGGCCAATCCACTGATCAACACCAAATAGTATTTTATAGAAAATGGTGGCTTCGCGCAATATTAATTTTTATGAACTGCAGTGTTAGGCAGCTAGTGCAGTGTCTGTGTCGGTTTCCGTCTTAGTGTCTTGTTATTCGAGTCGGTTTCCGTCTTAGTGTCTTGTTATTCGAGTCTAAATAGTAAACAAAGCAAATGGCGTCAAACGGATGAAGTTCTCTCTCGTTAGAAATTAAAAGGTTGGTAAACTAAAAAGTTATTGATCGATTCGGCTGAAATTTGGTGTGTGGTCATTGCTAGTCCCCCGTAATATCCTCTGAATTGGTAGAGGTACCAAAGTGCAATAGCGCCCTATAATCTTATACACATATTCAGTTAATAGATTGCCATGCAGAAAGTGTTGAATACCATCAAGATTTAGTTTACCATTTCGTTTAGTTTTGATATTGGTCATCCAGTTTATGACCATTTAGTTTCATTAACTAGACAACCGATGCCGAACTAAACGGTAGCACAAACTTGGCGGTTTTTGATAATCTTGATGGTATTTAACACTTTCTGCATGGTAATCTGTTAACTGAATATGTGTATTAGATTATAAATGGTAAGCTGTTTCTTTCCTTTTTTCATCAAATCTGAATGATACCCGGTCCCTAGTGTAATCAGTTGAGACATTTCACCCACTAATGATTTCATTAATTAACAAGCTAGTTTGTAATGTTATTGCAAATAGTAATAGACAAGAATCTTTTACAAATTTGGATATTGAGTTTACACATTCATTAGGCCTAGCAGTAGCTTCAGCTTGCTTCCTTGAAACAACCGTTGAACCATGCTTGTTTAGTATGGGTTTCAGGTCAAAGTTTCATATGACAGAAAAAATTTTTTTTAAATATTTTGTGAAAATATACATAAAACGCTACCCATTTTTTTATTTTATTTCATCAAAATATTCTAATTAGATCCAAAGTTATGGAGCTTTAAAATCTGAGATCAACGTCAAAAATGTAATCAAAATGCTCTATTCCAGTCAATGCGTGGCATGGCACCAAAATAAATGCTTTTCAGTCGTATCTGAGTGACGTCATAAGCGGTATTTTGCTTTCAGAATCGCTAGTACCAATTTTTAAACTGAAATCTGCACGTTATAGTCAGCTAAGATTTATTAAAATCGTAAAAATTTGAATGATAATATGTCAAATATTTATAATATGGGTGATACCACAAAAAAAGTTGGCTATATTTAGTCAAAATTTGGCAAATTTTAGTCAGTAAAACAGATAAATCCCGTTTTATACGGCTGTAATTGTCGGATCTCAAGTATCACGCACCATAATAATCACAAAAATGTTATCTATCGTTTGATTGGTTCTATATGAAAATCTCCTGGGAAACTAACGTGCGGATTCACCAATGAAGTGAGCCGTAGCAATGGAAAATCCCTGTCAGAGCGGTATTTCCCCGTGAGCGTCTTCTGTAAATAAACGGTAATTTCGCTTACATTTCAATAATTTTTAAGGCAGAATCTTTGCAGATATTGAGATCGATATTAAACTATTACAATGCAATTGCTAGTAATACATTTACAAAAAATAGTAAATAAGAATCGTAGATTGGAGTGGGCTATATTTCAGCCACTGGCTGAAACCCCTATTGTTAGTAGCTTTACTTGAGTGTCTTTCGCGGCGGTCCTTCCACCTGATCCAATATTGTTACCACCTAGAAGCATTCAACCATGCTAGCGCACAACCTGCGGGCTGCGGAACATCCAAATCTGCAAGAACTGGCATGTTTACACGTGTACATGTATTCATATATATGCATCAATTTCACTATTAAGACTGCATCTGTTGTAATCTTTCTACATCGCACGAATGCAGTTTTGCGGCTATATTTCTGGCCAATGTTATGGAGCTCATTTTCCATTGGACAAAGTTATTTTCAAAAATGACGGGACGGGGACGATGATGCAGTCGGACCTTCAATATCCCCAGCACATGTCTTTTTCCCTTGCATACCAGAGAAATCGGTCAATTTTTGTGCCTTGCTCGGTGGTATGCGTCACATGGTTCATCAGCTGCTTTGTTTTCAGACATTTTTCACGCAAAAATTGCAAAAAACAAAACTTGGCAAAAAACAGAAAGTGAAGAAAAATACGGAGGTTGGGTACAGAGCCAAATGACGTGATCGATGATCACAATGTGTTCATTGCGCACAATTATTGTTGATTGTTCATTGCGCACAATTATTGTTGATTGTTCATTGCGCACTTGCTCATTGCATGATCACACATTTACAAGAATACCCACCTTTTTTAAAGGCACGGATTTAAGATTTTCAAAGCACAGACCCTGTAATTAAACTAAAACTTTCCTGTCTTCTCTATATTATAATTAATTGTCCCCCGTCTTTTGAAGAAAGCAGGGGACTATTAAGTATTAAAATTGGTTCGTCTGTTCGTACGTCTGTCACACTTTTTGGGACACAATAACTCTCCTTCTAATTGACAATGCTTCACGTTTGACGTGAATGGTCGCTCTTGCTCTTCTCGGCTCGCGTAAACATCAAAATAGAAGAGCTTTTTATCGCTCTGCTCAGCAGAGGATAAAATCACTCTCGTCATGTATGTCAAAAAATGAACCCCGAAACTGCAAATAAAGCCTATGCAAACCAATCCTCGAATAATTGTCCAATGGGAATTTTGTTTCTGGCCCGCAGAAATATATCACTAAATTTGATTCTGGGTGCTGGAAACATGATGTGGCAAGTAAATATTTTTGTTAACGTGAAAATATCCCTTATTTTTATTGTATATAATGGCAAGTAAATATTTTTGTTAACGTGAAAATATTCCTTATTTTTATTGTATATAATTATTTTAATGGCACACTCAGTTGCACCCTAATAAAAGGTAATACATGTTGGACATTGAGGTTATTGATCCAGCCATAATACTATAATGTATGCAATATGCAAATAAGATTGTTTGATTTGTGCATGTATGCTGTTAGCCAATAGTAAAGTGTAAATTTTTCCGCTGTTAGACGCCTCTAACCAATGATAAATGGTTGTTTGGGGCATATATATAGCGAACATTCAGCCATTGTTTTGAAATTTCCTCTTGGTTGAATATAAAATAATGATTATATCGAAGCAGAGAATGATTATTGACCCTCAAAATAAAAAAAATAAAATAATCAACTTTGATGTTGTGATCTTACCGGGAAAAGATGGGCTTCTGATATCAGATATTTAAGACAAAATAAACAATTTACCATTGGTACGTAAATCGTGTACCATAATGTGTTTCTGTGAGTTTCAGCACCATTTGTAACAAGGGACTCGAAGAATGAGGCTAGCCATATTCCACAGGTCGTGTCAAACAGTGACACCATATTCTTATCTGAAGAGCATGCTCAATAAATACTGTCAGTGAAAACTGGAATAACCAGACGCTAGAGATTGCCATTTGATTGAGATATATGACACATTTCGCCGAACATACCTGATTTGAAATTAGAGTATAAACAGAAATGATTGAATGTAAATCAGTTTATATACATTCATATTATATTATTTTATGTGTTGCGACCCATTTGAGTGAATTTCTAGGTCCCAGATATTTGCGATTTAGCTCTGTTAAGTAATTTGTTCATAATCAAAAAGAAATGTTATAAATTTACGACGGTTCAGACAGTACAATGTAGATATCTACTTTAATTTATTGTCCCTCGCCTTTCGAAGAAAGCAGGGGACTATTAAAATGAGTTTGTCCGTCTGTTTGTCCGTCCATCACACTTTTTTGGGACACAATAACTCTCCTTCTAATTGAGCTAGAATGTTCAAACTTGGTGTAGGTGTTTATTAGGTCAATGCCTTGATGGAGTTTGAAGATGAGCATTTTCTGCATAGGTTAAGCAGAGATAACCAATTTGATCAGTTGATGCTTTGGGACATGATAACTTTAGCTCTTATTAAGTGAGAGTGATGAAATTTTCTGTATAGTTTTATTACATCAATACCCATCCCAAACTTAGGCTGCCTATCTACAGCTAGCTCCGGCTGAGAATAGGCCCTAAGCTAATTAACCGACATTTAAATTCCTACATCGACGATTTTAGTCGAAAACACTGAGTATGCTTTTAGAAAATTTTAAAAGTATTTATTTCTCTTTCTCTTCTATTGTCATATTGAATGAAATTAAATGTGTTTATTTAGCCGCTGTGTGTATGAAAGATGTCAAACTAATCAAAGCCGAATCACAAAATAGTCCTCTAATTATTCAATATGGCGGCGCCCATGAAACATAATTTCACAGAAGCGGTTTTGTTTGCGAAAACAAAATTAGGAGTATCTAACCTTGTTCTGAAAGATAAACAGATTGAAACTCTAAAGACAGTTTACAATGGTAAAGAGTTTATTGCAATATTACCTATAGCACATATTATATTATATATCGCTTTTACGCGAGTGTCGGCGACATGCCGTGTTTACATAAAACACACGTGCGTGGGTTATTTTTACTTTGTTGTCTAAACAAAGCGGTGTCGAATCGATAAGTCCCGCCCCAAAATGATCACATGATCGTTTTAAATGGCGGATAATCAGTGCAGTGTCACATTCTGGGAAGTATGACGTAGATGGGTCGCTGCGTGCAGTATGATCAATACCTTGACTAAGTTCGATAATGAGCATTTTCTGCTCAGGGTAAGCAGAGTGATAAGCAATTTGATTGGTCGAGACTTTGGGACACAATAACTCTCATTCTGATTCAGGTAGAATGTTCAAACTTGGTGTAGGTGTTCATTAGGTCAATGCCTTGATGGAGTTCAGTGATAAACATTTTCTGCTTATGGTAAGCAGAGATAAGCAATCTGATTGGTGATGTTTTGGGGCACAATAACTTTGGTTATAATGAAGCGAGAGCGATGAAACTCTTGAGTATAGATTCATCATATCGTTACCTTGACGAAGTTCAATAATGAGAATTTTCTGCTTAGGCTAAGGAGCGATAAACAATTTAATTGGTAAAGACTTTGGAACATAACAACTCTGCTTTTAATTGAGGTAGAATGTTTAAACTTGATGTAGATTTTCATTAGTGAATGTTTTGACCGAGCTTAATGATTAACATTTCAAGGTAAAGCTAAGCTTTGGGACAAGATAACTTTGATTCTATCTGATAGAAAGTGATGAAACTTAGTGTATACATGTAGTTGATAATCAGTTTGATTGCTTGATACATTTTTATAAAAAAAATAAATGTGTGATTAATTAATATGTGTCATCTATTTATTTTGGGGTTTCGGCGGGGGACATTAGCCTCACTGTTGGCTTGTTTAAAATATAGATAGTAGTACATCATAATGACTGGAATAAATTCATATGACTTTGGGGATTGTCAGAGTAGCTAGCCAATATGATTGAGGATGGCTTTTGTTCCAACGACGCTGTACTACCACTACTCGGCTGTACCCAAAATACATTTATGGGGAATATACATGATCTTGTGTGTCATTTCATCAGTGACTACTGTAGCCAAAAGGATCGCAGCATGGTCACTGTTAATTATTACTATTGTACATTTTTAGAGGGCGTGACTAAGTCCTCTTGTGTGCTTTACAAAATATGGTACAGAAATAAAATATACCAATAAAATAAACTACACGTACATCCAACATACATGTAAACATTGAAATCAACTTAAAATCTTATGGATTTCATCAATACATAAACTATCCATTATTAATGAATGAGAACTAAGTTAAAAAAATTCACTTTTATGTGCAAATTTAAATTACAGGGGTAAAGACTCTAATCTTGGAGCTAGGTACGAACAGACATTTTATGCAGTTTAGATCAAAGTGGGTTAACTGTTATTAAATTAAACTGGATTCTTTTTTTTTTTTTTTTTCATTTTTATACTTCTAGTCCCTGGCGTATTGTTGATGATTGTGGTGGAGCATTCTCCATGGGAGCAATTGGTGGTTCATTATTTCATGGTATAAAAGGTTTCAGAAATGCACCAAGTGTGAGTATAAAAGTCATCACAGTCCATGAAGTATATATCTTTATCCATTACTGACAATCATAAATTTTAGCCTTAAATTACAGCCTGGCAATTGTTTGTTGGCTGTATATTCATGGTTGTGGCTGACAGATCATTGCCGACAAATCAGCAGGATTCAAATTTAACCACTGTCCGGATACGTGCTTGCATCAGTCAAGTTAATCATGTATACCTTTTTATAGATCAACTGTAGATCAATAATCAATTGTTGTAAATGTCTGGGTTACCACCGTTACTTCTTAAACCGCCTGAAACTAATTCTCCTTAGACTTACAGCTTCCGAAACACTTGTGAGAAGCCGTGATGCCCCAAGTAGCTAGTATACATTCCAACAATACAAGTAGCTATATTAACTGTTAGAAACTTCCATAATCCAATCATCACAAGATTTGGCCTGTTGACCAAAACTATTTTGTGAAATACGAGATACGTGTATGTACATGTACTTCAAAATAATAAGTTAAAGTGTCTGTTGTTAGACTTTATTGATGTTCTGTGTATATATCTAGAAACATATCAGTTGGTTTACTTATTCAGGGAAATTACAGAAGATTAATTGGAAGTTTTGTAAGTCTAAAAGAAAAGGCTCCAATTACTGGTGGTAAGTAATCATTCTTATAGTACAGTTATTATTTAAAGAATTCTTATCTCTATAGTACAATTATTTTTGTCCCCTGCTTTTCGAAGAAAGCATGCGACTATTAAAATGGTTTCGTCGGTCGTCCATCCGCCTGTCTGTCCATCACACTTTTTGGGACACAATAACTCTACTTTTAACTGAGCTAGAATGTTCAAACTTGGTATAGGTGTTTATTAGGTCAATGCCTTGATGGAGTTTGAAGATGAGCCTTTTTTGCTTCGTTTAAGCAGAGATAAGCAATTTGATTGGTTGATGCTTTGAAACACGATAACTTTAGTTCTGATTAAGTGACAGTGATGAAACTTGGTGTATAGTTTTATCACATCAATACCTTGACTAAGTTTGATAATGAATATTTTCTGCTGTGGGTAAGCAGTTTGACTAGTCGAGACTTTGAAACACAATAACTTCCCTTCTAATTGAGGTAGATTGTTCAAACTTGGTGTAGGCGTTTATTAGGTGAATGCCTTGATGGAGTTCGATGATGAACATTGTCTGCCTACGGTAAGCAGAGATATGCAATTTGATTGGTTGATGCTTTTGGGCCCGATAACTTTGTTTTTTAATTAAGTGAAAGCTATGAAACTCATAGTATAGATTCATTATATCATTACCTTGATTAAGTTTGATGAGAATTTTCTGTTTAGGCTAAGGAGTGATAAGCAATTTGCTTGGTCAAGACTTTGGAACATAACATTAACAACTCTGCTTTTAATTGAGGTAGAATGTTTAAACTTGATGTTTTGACTTCGTTAGAAAATATGAAATTATCGCTTTAAGGTAGAATGTTTAAACTTGATGTTGATGTTCATTAGGTGAATGTCTTGATTAAGTTCAATGATTAACATTTCCCACTAAAGCTAAGAAATTTCTTTAACTTTGATTTTATCAGAGAGTGATGAAACTTTGTGTATAGTTTATAATTAGTGTGATTGCTCAATTCTTTTGACAAAGATAAACGTGCAATTAATTAATATGTGTCATCTATTTATTTCGGGATTTCGGAGGGGTACATCAACCTCACTGTTGGCTTGTTTAAACTCTATCTGTTTAAATCTTTGTTGTTTTATTTACCGTACATGCTTACTTACTCATATGCCCTAGGACGATATTGCCGATAATGTCAGTAAAGCATTTTGAAGATCGATAATTGATGTAAAATATTTAAAATATCGATAAGCGTGCAGTTATAGGCACCAGAGTCACTTGGAAGAAGAAATCCATAAAAGATAATCCTTATGACAGTATTCCTTGCATCATGTACTTGGGCCTAGCACGGTAACTGTAATTATTAATATAAATTAAACAGAAAAGTCATTAAACACAGATTTGTCTTTTCATGTGAGATGCCACCTTTTTTACTCTTTTTTATTTCGTCTGCTCTGGTCCTCGTGATGTAATAATGTATTGTCAAATATTGAAATTATATAGGCCTCATAGTGACCAAGAATTAAAAACGAGACCTTTTTTGCGCAGTAGAAATCAGAATAACTAGTTACGAGACATCAACTTTTATGTGAACTGGATACGAATCTGTTCATGTGATAAAAGGGAAATATCTACGTTGTACTCGTTATTTTTCTGGTCATAAGCGACAAAGCTATGTTGAGCGGTGACAGTTCTGTCTTCCAAATGATATTGAGTTTCGACAGTTGCTTTTGGTATGGAGTTGTGAGTAGGACATAAAATGTTTGCGTTGTCACTGGGATGTGACGAAAAAGTGGCATTGCACATGAATTATGTTTTAAAACCAAATTATTGTGATGAAGAGACATTAAACCCGTAAAGGTACATGTATTTTAAAATAATTCATAACACAATTCTTTGTTTGTAGGGAATTTTGCTGTTTGGGGAGGGTTGTTTTCAGCAATAGATTGTTCATTAGTGTATGTAAGAAAGAAGGAAGATCCCTGGAATTCAATCACAAGTGGTGCCTTAACAGGAGCTATTTTATCTGTCAGAAGTAAGTAATCAATAACTACATGTATTGTATTACTTAAAAGAGTTAGTTGTCAGTAATTGTTTTATCAGAAGTATCAGTAACTAATTGATGAGATAGAACTCTTTTACCAGAGGTACAATGGTACGTGTGTGTAATCAATAACTGTTTGATCAGATAGAACTACATGTATCTTACCAGAGTTCAAGGACCAATTGAGTGGGGGGGGGTCCCCCAAGGTTGTTTTTCCTATATTGTGTTAAGGAACAAAGGTCCTAAATGAAATCGAACTAATAGAATATCTTAATAATTAATCCTCTGGAATGTAAAAATGGTTGCTTTATTATTTTCAGGTGGAACAGGGGCAATGGTTGCTTCAGCTGTGATAGGTAAGAATTGTATTTGCCATATGATTTATATTCTATTTGAAATATATTTTAATGATTTTTTTTAATAGCCCTTTGATAGCTACACAGACATTTTGCATTAAGCTATGATTTTGAATGTCACTGACAATTAGTGCTGGGTATTGCGACTGCAGTCACGATACGATACGTATTGCGATTCATGTGCCACGATACGATACGTATCGCGATTCATAACTAGGTCATAGATTTATCAATAAAACAACAAATTAAATATGTGATTGTGTTTTTAATGAAGTCACTAAAACCAGGAAATAAATAAACTTGATTACTATTTAGTAATGTAAACTCTGATTAACATGGAATTAAAAAAAATAACACTCCACAGAGAAATAAAGTTATTGTCTTTTTGTTTAACTGTAATTTTTTTTAAGGAAAATTAGTTCATCCACATGTTTGGGTTTAAGGTAGTGTCACCTTTTAAAAACCCAAAGTTTTCCCAAACTTTAGATTTATATTTCGCTGGAGGATTTGTTTTGCGACTGTGTATTCCGCCATTTTGATTTTTACAAGAGCTGCTATCTATTATATTTACGTTCTAAATTTATAAAATTCTAGAGTAAAATGTCGTTTTATGTATTTAAATATGTATGTTTTATTAACTAAGCCTTATAAGAAACTTTAAAATTCAGAAACAAAACGAAAGGGCGTTAAAATGTGATTAAAATCTAAACTTACGAAACTAACGGTAATTACGGTCGTGCGCTATTTATAGTAACACACATGTCAAGACTACTGGACATCGTTTGCGAAGTGTCATTGTTTCAAATAAAGTTTAGGGTATAATTTAAAGTTTTTAAAGTTTATAATATATTTGAGAAAACGCAAAAAAGAATCGTGAAAAATCGATTCAGCATCCCGCGATTCGATACAGGTATCGTGAGACGGTGAATCGTGATACATCGATTCAACGATATATCGTGCCAGCACTACTGACAATATATCGTTATACAAACACAGTGTGGATAAACCAAAATGTCAAAGTATATAATGTAGCAAAGCTATTCACAACTATACACCCTTGGCTTCATGTAATTAGATAGTCCAAATCATATTTACTGCATTAATATGAGTAACTGCATACAAGTCGATTTTCTTGCAGCTATATTTGTGTGTATGTTTGTTTTGCTTGACTGTATAAACATATAGGTAGCCAATTTTATAAATATTATATTTATATACTTGCAGGTGGTGTGTTATTGGCAATGATTGAAGGAATGGGTATATTATTTAACAAATACGCAGCAGAACAATTTGATCCAGGTAGGTTCATACAAAGATATAGCGTCTTCATGCTTGTACATATAGGTTTGTTTTATGTATCCTAAAAAATCTGAGATACTTCATATGGTAGTTCATACATGTGCATGCCAAGTAATCAGATATTGTCAGATTTATTATGATTTTATGAATCCTCTTCCAAATTGTGAAATAATCTTTAGATCATTCTGATTTTAATTAAAATCTGATCAATATTACTCCCTCTAAACTCTACCATAAATGACCTAGAGTTCTCCTCTACTCTCAGCCCTGCTGTTGGTACTGATTTGTATATATTTAACTAATTTTGATTGCTTATTTCCAGCAAAGAGAATGGTTTTCGAAGAACCTCCTGCCCCTTCAGCACCATCTCAAGGTGGAGGTATATTTGGAAATTCTCAACAATATCAATAACGAAATGTGATCATAGTTTATGAAAATTATTTATTGAAGAACATAAACATAACAAGTGTTATAAGCTCTAGTACATTGACATGATTGTGACTGTGAAATGCTAAGTTCTCTGAACATATTTCTTACAGGATGACACTGTCAAAAATAGTGTTCATTTGAAGCTACTAGTGTTCTACTTGAGTAAAGATCTTAAAGAGAGGATATTTGTGATGATAATGTTAAAATTTAAAACCATAAGTAATTAATAACCAGATTCAGTCAATTTTAGTGGTATCTTGTGTATCCAGATAAACGGTTTCTCTGCCAGTGTTAATAAAAATGTAAAAAAATCGAAAAAAGGACTATTGAACTAGAACTGTTATATTAATGAATGTTTAGTTTTATAAGAAAGGAAATACCGTAATATATTTATGTATATATTGTTTAGTTTATCAATAGGCCTACTTGTTTTAGTGGTTGAACTGTTTGTGTAACTATTTAAAAGCCACCATGGCTAGCAGTACTTTGCATAGTTTTCTTGAGGGTAATAATTGCATTCTTGATGGGTGGGAAAGATACAAACATCCCGAGGGAAAGATAGAAACACACCCTGGTGTAAAGCCTATATTAGCAAGTTTAGATACTGTCTGCCTTAGGTGCAGGTGAGAGAAAACTATTAAGTTTGTCAGTTCATTGAATCATATTACTTCATTATATACACAGTGTATGTCATATCTGAATATCTTTTCATCACAGATGTTTTGGTTCCTTCGCTTTATGTACACCCTTTCGATTGGTGAATAATTCACCAGGATTATCCGTAACAACTATTAAATAACTGTTGGCAGTTACTGTATCAATATAAATGTGAGGTGGACATTCATTGACAGATATTACTGTCTTTTGTGGAAAAGATGTGCCCTCAGTATCCTAGTACAAAAGAGTTGGGATAATTTGTCAATTAATTTAAATTTCAACTTTAATAAATATATATGGCAATTGGATAGAATATTATGTGATACATGTACATGAGGAATAAATTTTATATAAAAAGTAAAACAGGGGCTTGTTGTTATAAATATGTCCTGTTAATGTACGATATTTTGTCCGTGTTAGAATCTTTAGAATCTTCCAAATAAAATTTTGATTAGAGATGCTTGGTATGGTTGATCTAAAACGATTTGTAGGTCCTTTTTTTAAGCTCAATAATTGGGTTGAGCCAACATGTGAGCAATTTGGTTTGTTGATACTTTATAAAAGGATAAATGTGTTTTCTAGAGATGCAACAAATGCTTAAACAATTTTGGGACCTGTAAATGTCTAATTGTGTTGTTAGGGTGGGTCGATTTGGAGTCAGTATCTTTGGTCTCTACTACATTAAAGAAAAATCGTTTTTTGTTTGGACAGTAGGATACAAAATGCCTGACAATTTTTATACGCCCACTTTTTCATGTGGAGGTATATTGTCGTGGTCCATGTCCAACCGTCCGTCCACAATTGTTTGTGAACAGTCTACAGGTCACAATTTTTATCTGATTTCAATGAAACTTGAAATATAGGTTTATTAACCTAAGATCTCGGTTCCTTTCGATATTGGCATGTATCGGACTGTAACTTCATGGATTATGGCCCCTGATTGTACGAAAAATCGCGTTTTTAGCTTGTGGACCCTATAGAGGTCATAATTTTTATCCGATTTAAAAAAAACGTATTATTATACCACTGTTACAACCTAAGGACGACAGAGTTCGAATTTCGTGAAAATCGGCCCAAAACTGACAGACAAAATGGCCGCCGTTCGTTCTCAAATAGCGTAAAAAATATGGTACATCAAGGTTGTGGAGCCTATAGAGGTCACAATTTTTATCCGATTTTGTTGAAACTTGAAATGTAAGTTTATAACCCAAAGATCTCGGTTCCTTTCGATATACGCGCATATCGGAATGTAACTTCCTGAATTATGGCCCCTGATTGTACGAAAAATCAGGTTTTTAGCTTGTGGACCCTATAGAGGTCATAATTTTTTATCCGATTTAAAAACTCTTATTATTATATCACCGTTACACCCTAAGGACGGCTGAGTTCGAATTTCGTGAAAATCGGCCCAAAACTGACAGATAAAATGGCGTAAAAATATGGTATATCAAGGTTGTGGACCCTATAGAGGTCACAATTTTATCCGATTTCGTTGAAACTTGATATGTAAGTTTATAACCCAAAGATCTTGGTTCCTTTCGATATTCACGCATATCGGACCGTAACTTCCTGAATTATGGCCCCTGATTATATGCCCACATTATAATGTGGACGTATATTGTCGTCGCCCTGTCCGTCCGTCCACAATTTGTTTGTGTACACTTAACAGGTCACAATTTTTATCAAATTTTGACGAAATCTGAAATAATGGTTTATCTCCCAAAGATATCGGCTCCTTTCGATATTGGCATGTATTGTATCGTAACTTCATGGATTATGGCCCCTGATTGTACGAAAATCATGTTTTTAAATTGTGGACACTCTAGATGACACAATTTTTATCTGATTTTGATGAAACTAGAAATGTGTGTTAATAACCCAACCATCTTGGTTCCTTTCGATATACGCGCATATCGGACTGTCACTTCCTGAATTATGGCCCCTAATTAAACGAAAAATCATGTTCTTACCGTGTGGTCCCTCAGGAGGTCACAATTTTTACCTGATTTAAAAAAAAACGATTAAATATGCCACCGTTACACCATTATGATGATTGAGTTCGAATTTCTTGAAAATCGGACTGAAACTGCTGGACAAAATGGCCGCTCCTTGTACGCAAATAGGTCGCAATTTGTATCCAATTTTGATGAAACTTAAAACATGTGACAGACGTGATAAACTGGCCCTGCAGTATGCTACGAAAATTGCATCACTGCCGAATCACATTTCATTTAACACCATATTTAGACCTCTTCATGAGCATTTGTATCTTGTGAAGACTAATTTTATTCCATCATTCGGTATTCGCATACAACCCCTTTTGTCTGAGGCTTGTATCAGCCTTGACAGTATTGCGGATACCCCTTTCTTTAGGATTCCACCGTGGGCTATATCTCCCCCAAAGATTGATTTCGATCTTTCTCAGCATAAAAAGAGGGATACTAGCTCGACGGTGTTCCAATCTCTCTTTAGAGAGTTAAGGTCTAAGTATGGTGATTATGCTCCTATTTACACAGATGGCTCGAAAGATGGCGATCGGGTAGCTTCGGCTACCGTGACGCCACCCGAGACCATTTCTGTTCGCCTACCTCCTGCTGCTTCTATTTTTACAGCTGAGCTCCAGGCTATTTTCCAAGCCTTCGAGTCCATTTAGTCCTCATCAGACTTCAAACACATCATCTTTTCTGATTCTTTGTCCCGTCTTCAAGCAATTAATAACAAACAGCTTGATAACCCATTAGTGGCAGACATTTATCGTCTGCTACTTTCATGCGAGTTGTGCAGCAAGGACATTGTTCTTTGCTGGCTCCCCAGTCATATGGATATCAAAGGGAATGATCAAGCAGACTCGGCTGCCAAGTCTGCTTTAGATCTTTCCATAACTGATTTTTTAACACCATATAAGGATTTTAATAATAACCTAATCAGCATTCTTAATCCAACATCTTTACTTGTAAATTAATTTATAACCCCATGTGTGTGCAACGCTAATCATTATCTACATCGATATGTAAATTCATTTATGGCCCCATGCCTGCAACTTTAGTCGGATTGATTAATGATAGATATTAACGACAGTACACTTTATCAATACACAAAGATAGTTAGATGACCGTTCTCAATCTCTTAATTCTAACGTATAATAAATATTGAGATATTTTTTCGCGTTTCATTTTTACGGTCGATTTCAGAGTAATGAAGTGAAATCCACATGCAGAAAAAAAGACGCCGTACGATGACTACAGGAAATCTAGCTACGGATCGTCATTAAAAAATCACGTTTCAGTCATGTTTGACTTTAATAATTCATTTCGCATGACCACATCTTTTACTTCTGTACTCTTTTACTCGGGGAAATTAGAACCACAATACTCTTCTGACGGAAATATATTTCGAATCGTTTGGACTGCACACGATGGTAGAGTGGCTCTTATCAAAAAGTCACTTTAAAACACAGTTTTAAAATCGCTGTCGTGAGAAGAGAGGGCGGGACATTATAAAACAAATTCTAAATAGGATCTTAAAGATACATTATGGGAGATAAGATAAAGAGATGGCAGTTCTCGCTATAATAGTTAAAAACTAGATAGTGTAAAGGTAATTTTCTGAAAATTTCAGTCAGAAAATTTCAGTTTTGTGCAGCTCAAAACTTTTTGCGCCGATGAAATCAAAGTGAACGGATGCTCGATTTATAGAGCGTATGGAACACGTATGCAATGAGTACACAATGAATGCATGGCGTTTTCAAAGGGGGGGGGGGGCGTTTTTTTCCCCGTTTTACATCCTCTTTGCATCCGTAAGTGCAGTGGGACCGGGCCTTAAGTTCTTGTAGTTGTATGATTTAATAAAAAGATAAGGATATAACTTTGATTAACTTGCGAAATGAAATTTATTCTATGAACTGCTGAACAATTGTGGGTTATCCTATACCCTGAGATGAAATTCTCCTGTGTTACAAATATAAAATATTCAGCATTGTTGTAGAAATATCCCCTGATAATTACTGTGTCGTGATCGGATTAAACACCTGGGGCTTGCTGTAATTTGTTTCATACAGTCATTTTGTAGGCATTGGTACATGTATTGTCCAATAACAATGTATATTTATGGGTTTAAATGAAAGTCGAGGTTGCGGTCAACTTTTATATTTCTCTATGCCTGTAAAATGTGATTGGTTAATTATTGAAGGTCTACACTTCTGTCAAAATGATAATCACTTGGTGATAATGAATTGCTCATTCTTGGATCTCGATCAGAAAATATTACCGTAGTCATTTACTGGTATACACACGAGTTTTACCTCCTTCGTATTTCCAAATATTATAGGTGAATTATTTGAATCTATTCTGAACAGCAGGACAAATGAATAAAATTTATTGTCGCCAATGCTAGAATTTTTGCTCTTATAATTAATGATGGCATTATTATATATTGTATTAATTAATATCTGGCAAGTTAGTAGATTCACATATTTGTACTTAAATCAAGTTAGCGAATGAGTGACAGATGGGTATATAAAAAAAGAGTTATAGAACCAAAACATAGCTATGTTACCAGATTACATGTGATTGGAAATTTACCTATTGCATCATTTAGTTTAAGAGACCAATCATATCAGTAATTGCACAGGTTCAGGGTCATGAATAGGCTAGTTTGTGCGTGATGTCCATAGGTCCTATAAAAGAAATCATAGCAAACTTTTAAGCCAGATTTCATTAGATTCCGGAGAATTTACCATCTGAATTCGCAAGACAGCAGCTTGATTCTAGAAGGGAAAAGATGTAGCAATTTCTATCAGCAGACTCGCCCCAGCGAGGCTGGCTGGCTGTGTTTGAGAATGACTTTAGTATTGTTATCTATACTATGCTTGTATCCATGTATCCGGCTATGATATATAAAATGTAAAAACGAACTGTTGCATTGTTATTCCTGGAAAGACAAACCTCTTGAGAAAACAGTAAGAAGGAAATACACAACGTGAAGGGGAAGCAAAGACGACAGGTGAAAATACTAGACGATCACAGGGCTACTAAGATATGTAGCAAGATGCATGGGTCGTACGTAGGATGTGACGACCGGTTTTGGAATATCCCGCTCTCCACGTCTGACAAAAGACCCATGATACTACATTGTTCCCGCCTTTCGAAGAAAGCAGGGGATTATTAAAATGGGTCAGTCTGTTTGTCTGTCCGTCCGTCTGTCTGTCCGTCATACTCTTTGGGACACGGTACCTTTAGTTCTAAAATTAGTGAGAGTGAAGGTACTTGGTGTATCAATACCTTGACTAAGTTCGATAATGAACATTTTCTGATCAAGGTAAGCAGAGCGATAAGCAGTTTGATTGGTCTAGACTTTGGAACACA